TACGAAAGATATCACACTAGCACATGACCCCAAGCTTATTTGCCATTTTTCTAGACAAATTATTTCGTCTTTTTTTTTTTTTTTTTTTTTTTTTTCTTTTTTATCCCTGCAGTACTACAACCCCACAAGATCTCCTCCTGATATACAGTATTATTAGTGGTGAAAATGCCCAGTAATCATGGCTGTACAACACAAACAACGGTCTCTCTGTATGGAATCATAGTTCAAAGTATTCATACATACTTGTACAAGTATATCTACATATGTCACTTATTCCCCCTGATTGCCAATTTGGGGCTACTGCATGATCAGTTGACAGTCAATGAATGGCAGTGTATCAAATGTATCTCTGATCTCTGCACTTAACAGGATGTTAAAGTTCCAAACCATTTGTGGTAAAGAGGCCGCTGCGCACATCACCCGTCCGGGCCTCTTTTGCCAGACTCCACCCCGGTCCTCTGGCAGACAACTTGAATCGCAAATCTCCACATTGAGACAGCCTCTCAGTGGCACAGATCGTACGATAACACCATTTTTGCCCCACTGGCTAATCCACTGTGGATTGCGTGACTGGGTCTGAGTGGCCCAAACCCCATTCTCTACTCATACCCAAAACAGTCAAAACCCCTCGTTTTCTCTTCGCTTCCCCCCCAAAGTTCTCTTGAGATGAAAAAAAGCGTCCAATAGAATCATCTTACCCACAATACCCTCAATCGGGACCCACCCACCCGAAAAATAGTACGACCCAACATTCATCCATACAGACCGTCCATCCATACCGTATGACCTGAAGATTCACCTTATATACCTGGTAGGCTCCATTCTATGTACAAATTTGTACTTTAGAAGCCTAGTACCTATCTCTATTTTCCCTCCCTTTTCTCTCTCTCCCTTTACTTTTTTTTTCACCCTCAATTCTTCTTATATCCATCCATCTCTCTTTGATACCCTCTCTTGTTGCTTTGTTTTGTCCTCTTTGTTTGTGCACTCATACCATACATACAACCGCAACAACAACTCATCTCTGATCCTACGGAGTACAAAGATTTGATTTCTTTCTTGCCTCTCCTTGTCCCACATTTGCAACAGACAAATCCTCTTGTTCCAAGTTGCTTGACCCTCTCCCATTCTCTGCAGCACACTGTTTCTAGCGTGGCTCCTGTCAGAGTACGACTTGGACATCGGACAGGCACAAACAAAGAAAGATCCTGCAAGTGGAGAGTCTACGAGGCGAAAGAAAAAAGGAAAAAGGAAAAAGAAAAAGAAAAGGAAAGAGGAAACAAAGGGATTTGATTGCTCAACGAGATCTTTTCAACGTCCCTGTATTGCCAACCTTGGGAGGTACACTATACATATCTTACTTATATATACCTTCCTCGACCACGTCAACTTCCGTTTCACGAGCTTGGTTTTTCCACCTATTCATCTTGCCTATAAATCCATACCCCATACAGTTGTCTTTTTTCATCTTGGAAGCACACTTTACTTTCTGTCTCGTGAATTGCGTGACTCGTCTCTGAATCCGGATCGCTCCTTTATCTCTATTCATAAATTTATCCTCGACCACTACTATAATGGCCACCGAATGGTCTCTGGATTTCTGTCTGGTCTGTGATCGACAGACACTCGGAGGCCCCTATTGTTCTCAAACTTGCAGACTAGCAGAACTGGATCTCGTTCCATCCGAACAATTACATCCTTCGTCCAAAGTAACCACAACCACAACGAAGTCCTCCCGTTCACATTCGTCTCGATCCTTGTCACCTTCTTCATCACAAACATCCCTCTCATCGCTACGAAGTAATGCCTCATTGAACTCCGCCCAGTCGAACCAATTCCAGAATGAATTACGGGATTACGCCAGTTGTTTCGATCAAGTCCGCGATTTGAAGCGACGGATGACTTCATGATGCAATTCCATGCTACGCCTTGCTTGTTCACCTTGCCCAAAGGGCAAACTCGATTCATTTCTATCCCTGTTTTTCTACCACCATATTCGGCAGACTGAAATAGCGTTGTTTTATTGCCTTTTCTAAAAATTTCCTGTGATCATAATGGCGTCCCAACTCTCATTTTAACTTCCTTTTTTTTTTTTTTTTTTTCCTTTCTTGCTCTCCCCACAAGGTTAAGGGTACACACGTGTGAATGTTTGGGCATAAATATACCTGTATTATTGAGTTTGTTGTCTATTAATAGCTAATGGGTTGATGCTGACACGAGTAAATAAAAAGGGAATTTAAAATATATAAAAATAAGGCTTCGTTCCACTCTTGTCCACTTGGGAAACATAACTAGGGCATCGGCGCAATCTTTTTCTTCCCGGTCTTGCAAAGCTACAGACTACCTATGCGAACTATGCCACCCGGAGCCACTTTAGATCCAAGGCTCATACTTTCCTTTACCCATGGATACTTGGTATTCCCTTCATCTCCCCTAAACTCTGTTTGGGCGTCGATTCAAAGCTGTAACGACTACTGATAGAAAGTGGATCATTGATGGCGACAACGAGTGTTCTGGGCAAGAATGAAGTTGTGTTCAGTATACCAATATGCTATCATGAAGTCCACTCCAAGACCGTTACTCCGGGTATATGGGAAACCAATATCATAACGTATCTCTTAGTATGGTCAACATACCTCTGCCACTCTGAAGCATTTGCGATAACAGGGGCGCAATCCACGTCCTCAACAAGGGTATCATGATTTCTCTCTGGTCAAGTAGATATTAACCTGATGGTACGTTTTGTAGAAGATAGCACTTGTCAAAAAACCGTGCTCAGACCCCCCCCCTTCTCTCAAGCGGTTGTCTAACCTGGACTACTTTTCGGGAAGCGTCATCCGCGAGTACAAAATGATTATAGCCATCAGAAAGATTAAGTATACTTTAATCCGAGCCATCTCTCCTTGACTGTAGGGAGATGCAACCCATTGTACCCTGACCACAATGCGAATCATCCAGGGTTAACCTCGGAACTGACCAGCCATATAAATACTTGGCCAAGTAATTTGATTCAGACCCATAGGCTCAGTCATTTAGTATTGCATTTCTCATGACCCATCTATTTGCACAGTACATTGTCCCTGGCATGCTTCGCCCAACATAATCTTTAACGTTTCAACATCCTCACGTACGTGCCAGACCCATCCGAAGTGCTTCCTCATCTCTCGGAACAAATTTGACCTTGTACTTTTTAGGGATCGCAACCAAGCTAGTAGGATCCGAGTTGCCGTAGACAGGGTGCCAGTCAGCGTCGTCATGCGGTTGAATCCGGAAGCTTCCGAGCGTTCGCATGAAAACCAAGTACAGTTCACGATTGGCGAGCAGTGAGCCTGCACACATGCGGTATCCCATCCCATAAGTGAACATTGGTGCATCAGGCTGCTCAAACCATCTCTCCGGTCTGAATTCCTCGGGGTCGCTCCAGACTTCGGGATCTATAAATCGCGTTAGCATCTTCTCATTCATGTCCAGGATTCGGACCCTGAAAAGTGAGATATAACTAACCCATATTACATGCCCACGAATTTAGGAAAAAGACGGTACCCTTCGGAATCACAACAGCCTCATATGTAATTTCCCTGATGGAGGTTCGGGGGAGCGCAAGACGAAGGACCGTGTAGTATCTTCGAAATCCCGTTAGCTTGGGATTTGGAGTACAAAAAGCGACAACTTACCTCAGACATTCTCTGACAAGGGCTGCAACATATGCGCACTTCTGATCATCTTCAGCGTCATAAATGGGCTGTCCACTTCCATGTAACTTCTGAATTTCCTTAATGGCTTTCTCCTGAATGTCGGGACGGCGGGAAAGTAGACAGATACTCCAGGCGACGAGAGTGGTGACCGTGTCAAGGCCACCGGAAAGCATGGTCAAGCTTATGGAGGTAAGCTCTTCAGAGTTCAGTTTCGCTTCTTTGTCCAAAATGACATTGGCCTGGATGCAGGGTTTGTGGGTTCCCTTCTCCATTCGATCGTCCAATTGTCGGTTAAGACCAGTAAGGTACTTGTCCCGGCGGTCTCGCATTTCCTTGGCCTTTTTGGAATTCGTATTGAAAGGGTTCAACCGTAGAAGGGGTATGTAATCCTGCAAATTGCCGGTGGTGCTTCTAAATTTGCTGATCTCTTCCTCGACATGGGTGATCTCGTCAAACAGATCCTCCTCCTGTGATGCTACTCGCACACCCCAGTTGAGCGTCAAGGCCAAGCTCAAACTAAGCCGTTGGATCATGGCCATAGGGTCGACAGGCGTACTTCCGCCACTTCCGTATTTGAGCAGCTCTTCGATGAATGACTTCGTTTCAACATCCAGATGTTGAACATAGCTATCCACGGATGGCCGGTTGAGAGCCGATGCGGCACCCTTTCTGCGCCTCTTTAAGGACTCACTGTAGGGAGATGTGCCAATGGTTGTGCCAGAAGTATTGGAGACAATCTGAATTTATAATAGTTGAGTCCGCCAAATCCAATGACACAAAATACGAAGGGCGAGAACGAGGGATGGAAAGCTCACCTTGTGGAACGTATAAAATTCAGGCCTTGAACTGAGTGCTTGTGCATTCTGCCCAAAAAGTACCTTTGCAGCGGCAGCCGAATTTATAACAAGAATGGGAACATTGCCCAGCTGGATCTGATAGACAGGACCGTAGGTTTTGGACCAAATACGGTATTGCTCGGCAGCATTTTTGCGGATCTGGACAAGGTTGCCAATCAAGGGCAAGCCACGGGGGCCTTCTATTCCCTTGACACGGGCAGATGCGCGAATGAATTCATTGAAGATGACATAAAGAACAGGAACGAGGGCGATAGCTAGCCCCAATGATTGCTGCGGGGACTGACTGATGTTGGACAGCAAAGAGGATAGAGCGGCTGCTATCGCCATGGTGTTTTATTTCGTCAAGTGAGTGCTCTAAGATAGATGGCTCTTGTCTTCAGCACACAGTGGCATCGGCCGTTCCCTTATAAAGCACCAGTGGATGGTCTGCATTTTCGCTTGTTCTCTATGAGAGGAACATTTCCGTCCTCTCAAAAGATCAGCCGGAGGGTAGAGGCATTGGATCAACTCCCCCGCATGACGACTAGTCAGGGACAAAACTGGGGTTACCCAGCGGTAGGCAAGCAAATGCCCATTCTCTCATTCGCTGTCGTGGGTGGTGTAGCTGTAGCTGTAACAGCCGATGAGATTCCGCACCCGGAATTCTTCCGCAACTCCGGATTTCTGGCAGAACTGAATTCCGCTCTGGAGACCTATATACACCCTATGGTGATGTATTCTTTTCACGTTAAATTGAAGGAATTATAGAACCCGCGACAATTTACATTCAAACAACCCGTCAGTTCTATCAAACCCTTTGCAGTGCCAACCTTCCCTATAATTCGACTATGTATACGCAATCAGCGAGCAGACAAATCCAATATATCTTAGTATAATTGTGGTAGCCAGCTGGGCGCCTGGTCAATGTACTAAAGAGGCATAAATAAGTAAGGAAAGGTCAAGTCTTTAGTATCAATATCAAGGACCAAACTCCCAAACAATTAGGGCCTATCCAGTGCCTTGGTGACAGTACAGGCAACAGTGAGCAATGAACGATCAGGGCTTAAGCACAATATTGTTAGGGCTATTTTGTTCGGAACTTCTGTGTTTATCTATCAATAACATCAATGTATTCAATTATATAAAAAGGGTTTCAATGATAGATAAAACTGCTTCTTCATGCCCAATGCTTGTTTCATCGACCGAAATTCGGAGATTGATATACACCACGTGACAGCGATCTACCCCACTGCCCAGATTGAGGGATGTTCAGGTGATTTTTTTTTTTTTTTTTTTTTTTTTTTCTTGTGCTGTGGCCCAGGAGAGATTCTAGATCGTCAGTCCATTTAGGGGTCAGGGGTTTCTAGAAGAGATTCTCCATTTGTTGCTATTACTAGCGGTAATAGTTTTAGAGTAGAAATCCAAAGTTGATTCCAAGCCAAATAGTGTGCATTATTATTGCTCTGCATAATTATTAACTTGGGATAAACCAAATGGAAAAGAAACAAGTGTTCAGTGGGTTATGACTGCATTGCCTCGTCACCCGCTGAATCCGGATTGCAATTGGGAGTGGCCTTGGCATTTTCAGTCTTATGAAGAGAATAATGATAATAATGTTTGTTATCGGGGAATACACATTACGCTATGTACCCGCAACTGGTGGGCCGAGCCAGACAACTGGAAAACCTCAGTACGGAGTAGTACTTGTACAAGTACAATAGTAAGTAGTGAGATTAATCGTACAGAGTGGGAAGAAAAGAATCGCTATCATACAGAATATTGTAGTGTTATGAAGCCGTTCATACTTTTACGAGGCTAGACATGCTGGATACATACCGCAAGACAAGAAGGGACTATCTTTAAATAGGTTGAAAAAAAAAAAAAAAAAAGAATGGTACAGGTGACCTCGTCTATGGTTCATGTGACCATCCACGGGATGCGATCAAACTCACCGCTTGCCCAGACTGAGCTGACCAGAAAATCTCTGCGTGTCACATGGCAGCCCAGCTCCGGAGTTCGGGAGCCATGTCCGACCACCTGGAGGGCCCTCCACCGCCCACGCCGGGGGCTGCCGAGACCTTGATTGGTGGGATTCTGCCAGCGATACCATCATGGTGACCCGCCCCCAATGGAGACCCCCGATGACGCTATGGACAATCCCAACAGGGAAGTCCAGTATTACCGGGCAGGCTGTATAGTATGTACCTAGCCAAGGAAGAATACGAAAAAGAAGCCAGGATGGAATAAAAAAAGAAGAAAAGATCTACTGGAACCTGTTTTTTTTTTTTTCCCTTCTTTTATCCCACCCTACGTATAATACTTACTGCACTTCCTGCCGTGTTGCTTGCTGTACTAGTTAGTACTCTCAACTGTACAGCTAATCCTCCCTCGATTCCTGGGTCATTCACTCCCAAAACCCTTCCTTCCCTCCTTCCTACTTCCGCTATTATCTATCTCCTCCCTTCCTTCCTCATTCCTCCTTCTTCCTCGCTTATTTGCTCTACACTAACTGCAACCCACCTAATTGATTCGCGCTGGTTGCTTCTCTCGACTTGACACGTCTATTCTTTTCCCACCCTCCCCACTCGACCAAGACTGCAGGTCAATTCAGGATACCGTGGCCTCCGTCATTGTCTTTAACCTTTCCTCCGAAACGGACATTGACGTGCTGCAAAAAAGAATTGTCCTATCGCTGAATTGAGTCCATTGACTCTCCAGAAACCCCTCCCAAGACCAGATTCACCATGACTTCGCGCTTTTCTCGCAGACTCGTGAAACCCCTCCTCTACACCTCGGCTGCTGCGGCAGCAGGTGCTGGTGTTCTATACATTTCCTATCGCCCTCGCAATATTCCTGGATTGGAAGCTCCCGCAGTGCCCCCGCCGGGCTACCGTGAAGGAAAACTGATTCCGCCTAGTTTCCCTGTGATCAAGTCCCGCTTGGAGCAGATTGAAGAACTCAAGCGCCATTCGAGCAATGATAACGATTACGACCTCCTTGTCATTGGTGGTGGTGCCACAGGATCCGGTATTGCCCTCGATGCTGCAACTCGAGGATTGAAGGTGGCCATTGTCGAAAGAGATGACTTCAGTGCCGGTACCAGTAGCAAGAGTACAAAACTTGTGCACGGTGGCGTCCGTTATCTAGAAAAGGCTGTTTGGGATATGGATTATAACCAGTGAGTGATCTGTCTTTACAGCACCTTTTTAAGGGGAAACGATGCTGATACTTGCATTTCTTGCTATACAGATACAAACTCGTTAAGGAAGCCTTAAGAGAACGGAAATACTTCTTGAACACTGCTCCCCACCTTTCGAACTGGCTCCCGATTATGGTCCCTGTGCAAAAGTGGTGGCAAGCACCGTATTTCTGGGCCGGTACCAAATTCTATGACTATCTGGCCGGTTCGGAAGGAATTGAGAGCTCTTACTTCCTCACCAAGAGTAAAGCGATTGATGCATTCCCCATGTTGAGAAGAGACAGTGTGATTGGTGCCATGGTTTACTACGGTATGCAGTCTGTGGATCTTTCTAAATGCCTACCAAGTCACTAATATGTTTGCCGCATAGATGGTGCTCACAATGATTCGCGCATGAACGTCTCTCTCGCCATGACGGCTGCGCTGTACGGTAGTACCGTTGTCAACCACATGCAGGTCACTGGTCTGACCAAGGACGCGTCTGGTAAATTGAATGGTGCTCGCGTCAAGGATGTCATTCCCGGAAAGGGTGGTCCGGAGGCTGAAGAATTCACCGTTAGGGCCAAGGGCATCATCAACGCAACTGGCCCCTTCAGTGATTCCATCAGAAATATGGACGAGCCTGGTATCAAGGAGATAGTGGCCCCCAGCTCTGGTGTCCACGTCATCCTTCCCGGATACTACAGTCCTGCCGACATGGGTTTGATTGATCCGTCTACATCCGATGGTCGTGTTATCTTCTTCCTTCCCTGGCAAGGAAACACCATTGCCGGTACGACCGACCAACCCACAGAGATCACGCCTCAACCTGAACCATCGGAACATGATATCAACTGGATTCTCAAGGAGATCCGTGGATACTTGGCTTCTGATATCAACGTTGAGCGGAGCGATGTCCTCGCTGCATGGTCCGGAATTCGTCCCTTGGTTCGCGACCCCAAGGTGAAGAGCTCGGAGGCATTGGTCCGTAACCATCTCATCACTGTCTCTCCCTCCGGTCTGTTGACCTGCGCTGGTGGAAAGTGGACCACCTACCGCCAGATGGCCGAAGAAGCGGTAGATGAAGCGGTTGACGTGTTCGGCCTCAAACCCCGTCACATGTCGGATGTTCCTGACATCAGCGGTGTCGGAGGCAGTGGCCTCGTCTCGGACGGTGCGGTTCTCGATGGATCTTGCCAAACCCACCAGGTCCGTCTTATTGGTGCACACGGTTTCTCTAAGACTCTCTTCATCAACCTGATTCAGCACTTCGGACTTGAAACCGACGTGGCCAAGCATCTTACCGAGTCCTACGGTGACCGTGCTTGGCAAGTTGCGGCCCTGTCATCCCCTACTGAGAACCGTTTCCCCGTTCGGGGCAAGCGCATTTCCGCATTGTATCCCTTCATTGACGGCGAGATCCGCTATGCCGTCCGTCATGAATATGCCCAGACCGCCGTTGACGTCCTTGCTCGTCGGACTCGCTTGGCATTCCTGAACGCCGAGGCAGCCCTCGAATCGCTTCCCAACGTGATCGACGTGATGGGTGAAGAGCTGAAGTGGAATTCTCGTCGAAAGGACGTTGAATTTAAGGAATCGATCCACTTTCTTTCTTCGATGGGTCTTCCCAAGACTTTCCTTGACATGTCTAGAAACGATGTCGAAGGTGGTAAGGTCAAGGATGTCGAGATTGCCGAGCGAAAGACATTCTCCAGAACTGGTGAGTATTCTCGATTGTCCTTGTCTGAATAATCGGCTAACCTATACCCAGAACCCCCGGCGGACATGTTGGAACCTGATGTGCAGCTGAGCATCGCAGGCCCCAAAGCGGCAGTCTCCAAAGAGACAACCCCGGAGTCGCCCAAAGGAATTAACCCTGAATCCCCAGCAAACAAATAGATATGCTATAGAATGATCTCTGTATAAATAATTCAACTTGTATTATCTTCAGTTTCGTTTATCCCATGTTTATATCCAATTTCTCTTGCGTTTTGCAGAGTTTGGCCTGACTGCAAGGAATCGGAGAACAAGACAAGGAGTCTACCCACTGCTAGGGCAGTCGATGTTACTCCTTCAGGCAGGTGTGATTGCCCAGGCCACCTTCCCTATGACTCCTTTCTTGCCCCTTACCTCGCTTCCTTCATGTCCATTACGAACATACAACAGCTCATTGACAGCAAGCATCCAGAACATATCTCATGTGTCTTTTTTCCCACTAGGTTCCTCTGCTTTTGTCGACACTGCTATATCCACAATAGGTGAGACATCATCGCATTCGATATTGAGTCGAAGCCTAGTCGAAGCCTAGTCGAGAAATTCGCTTGTCAGAAGATATGCAGGATCCCTTTGGAAGCGAAGATGGCGCTGCTGTGAAATACAAAACCATGACCTACCTGGTGGTGAGTCTTTCGGCATACATCTTGAATTCATTATACATGAAGGCCAAGTCTAACATTGGGATGGAACCTTCTCTGCTGAAAGCTACATAGTTGGAGCGAGGAAATCTGATTTCTACTAGTTATGATCGCAGAAATCATATCTCTAGTGATTCTCTTACTTTCCAAAGCACTTGCAACGCTTGAGCTTCTCCCGTAGGATGATTCCCTTGTCCCAAGCAACGAGCCTTTGCTGGTCATTCTCAGGGGAGTCTTTGTTATCCTTGGAATCGGTATCCTTACGACGTACACTGGACTCATCATCGGCCAGGTGAAATGTCGGTTTGTGCATATCCATACCATGGCCGATGCCGGCTGGAAGCCCTGGGGAGATGCTGGACGCAAGATCATGTACATGTCACAGCTTACCTTTTTCATCTTCGGCATGGGCAGTCATATCCTGGCATTTTTCGGAACTTTTTGACTGAGCATTCTGCGTGTACATTTGCGTTTTCGCTTACTGGCCTGGTCATCTCATTTGCCCTAATACTCCCCCGCCGGCTTGAGATCTTTCATCGGTCAGTTTTATTAGCATCATCGGAGTTGACACCAAATCATATTATCTTTCCGCAGTCACCTCCCCAACTCCCCCCCCCGGGACGAAACCTTTGGCAATCGCGAATATCGTCTTTGCATATGCCGGGCATGTTGCGTCCTTCACGTTCTTGGAGTTGAAAGATTTGAAAGGCCACCCGAAATCACTGGCGCTGTTACAATTCAACGAGATGTTGCTTTACAGTCAGCGCTATAGTAATATATGTCTTTGTTGATTCGGGAGTCGCTTCCCCAGCGCTCAATTCTGCTGGTCCACTCATTAGGAAGGTCGTCTAATTGCCATCCCAACAGTACATGAGCTTTTTTTTTTCCTCCTAGAGAGGCTTACCAGAGAAACATTTCGTTACTAACAAATTATTTGGAAGAGGACAAATTGTGATCGGGGGCGTCATCAACGCTCAAGTTGCCGCGAAGTTCATCTACATCCGGTCATGCAAGGGCACCTATGCGATGCATGCTAGATCCTTCCTGGTAAGGTTACTGTGGGCATGTATATGCGGTGTCCTTTGGGCCACGTCTTGGTGTATTGCAGATAGTATACCAGTGTTCAATGATATCCTGGGCCTTGCAGCATATGGCAACCCCAACTCCTATGTTGAGGTTGACCGATAGGGATACGTGGACTATAGGAGACTGACATGTCTTGCACACACAGAGTTCTCTGTTTGCCAGTTGGTTTTCGTTTGCTCAGTATGTTCTTGTGATGATTATAGCTGTTTTTGTGGTAAGTCCTCGCAGACAAAGATGGTACTCTTGCCCAAAAAAGTGGCTAATTGAGAAGCAGTTCGTGTTTGGTCTTTATTCGTCCATCGCGTCCATCGCGTCCATCACCATTTGAAGGCTGGCATTGGAGGCGGTGCGTTTTCGTGTTCGACTAATGCGTAATCGCAGGCGTCTGGATTCTGCATCATGACTATCATGACTGTTGTCAATTTTCTATTGAACGGGGGAGAAGAACAGAGTTTCGAGGAGTTTGGAGTTGATGGCATCATTCGGTCTCTCTCTCTCTCTCTCCCCCCACCCCCCTGTTATTTTGCGACCTGCTAGAATAGGGCAGATGCAGAGCGTTTAATAGTTACTTTGTACTTTGATACCTTAGTCATCATACTGGGTTTTATCCTAGATGGAACTGCGGAACCCGACGGGCGGCTGCAGATGGACCCCTCTTGCTGTCATCCAACACGTACCTGTACTATGAACAACCCCAGGAATGAGTATTCAACACAGGGAAAGAGGGGGAAACGAAGCAGCCCATATTCTACGGGGCTTCGCAGTATCCAACATGACAATAGGACAAAATGAAATCCAATAAGGGCAGGTATATTATTCTTTACTATACATATACAGAGTGTATAATATATGCTTCATATGGAAAATGACCCAATGCAATCAAATGCATTCAATTCATGCAGCGCTGCTGCATACCACTTGCGCTCACGACTCCAATGATTCCCATCTGTACACGTAGTCGGCCAGCGAAGAAGGGAGTATGAAACGTAGGAAAGCGCGCAAAAAGAAGAGTCGGAATAAATAATAAAAGAAAACAACCAATCAGTTCGACCAAAAAACTCCTGCTGCAATGCAATAATTGTGTCCTCCCCAGGCCTGGATTCTTTTTTTTTTTTCTTTTTCTCGTTCTTTTCCCCTCCCCCCTCTCCGTTCTCCTTTCAGGTGCGGTGGCGGTGGTTAATGTGGCAGGTAACTAACACTCAACATTATGTTGATATTCTTATCGGTGTTTTCTGTGCGTCGTTGACAGCTCCCGTCATGAGAACACCACCGAATGGCTGGTATGTTTGCCGAGTTGAGTCTCCATGGATAACACCATATTCTCCTCTGCTTCTTTCAAAAGCCCGTACATCCCAGAATTCGCACGCCGCTACGGCACACAAGGCTAGTCGGATTGTTCTGCAGCGCGACAACCGGCGGAGAAAGTTGGCGCATGCGGTTCCGTAAAGGAAAAAGAGAACGAACAAAAAAATAAAAAAGGAAAACCATCACAGGCCTGAGAGAATTTAAACCGTTATCCGTATATGTATCCAATAGATTATGTTTTTGATGTTTGACGATAATTGTTCCAAAACCGTTCTGTGGCTTTTTGAGCGATTTTCTGGGCGACTGGCGAGTCGTTGAATTTGGACCGTCGGTAGAAATTGAATAGAGCAAACTCGTCGCCTGAGAGCACATAACTGTCCGGTTGAGCTTCAAGTTTGCGTCTTAAGTCGGCAATCGCTGTTTCGAGGACTTCATTGGCCTTTGGTTCGATATGACCGTCTGCGCTATCGCGGGCAATTTCAAGAGCTTTGCGAACTTCCGGTGATGTTGAGCCCATTCTGGTATATATGTATATATATTTCTCTTCTGGGGTTGTTTCTTCTTTTGGTCTTTGATCGCAAAGTAGGTAATCGAGAAAATGGAAGAGAGGAATAGAAGGTGTGGGATACTAGAGGCAGAGAAATGGAAAGAAAGGAAACAAGAGAACAAAAAACGGGGCGTTGCTCTCTTTAAAAAGGACAATCATGCCATCGGAAACTCTGTCAACGTTCGGCTACTTTTTTTTTTTTTTTTTTTTTTTTTTTTTTTTTTTTTCTTTTTTCTTGTTTCTTTGTTAACCTTTCCTGTAAATTAATATGGAATGGTGTGGAGCAGGGGGGGAAGGGAAAAAATAACAACAGTCGTGGATCGAGTCTAATGCAGTGACGTTGTCCGCTGTACGCCATAATCTGGACAGAGCTAATCATTTCTTAATTCAATAGTAGTATACTAATACCGAGCAGTGCATACTCCATTAATAGCCCAGAACCTTCATATAATGAACAGCTGTCAGGATACAGAACAGGAGCCGAAGGGGAAATTTCCGAGAAACACTCCGGGGAAACCCTTTTTTTGAATAAACTTTTTTTTTCTCCGAGAGTTTATCATGTGCTTTTGTCTTAGGATTAATTTCTGATTGATTGCTTGTTTTGTTTCTTCCTTCCTTAGATGTCACTGTACTATGTACAGTGACTACAATATTCTTCTCCATCATGAATAATTATAGTCATGACTGTATATTTATTTTCGTGGCCCATGTGGCAGGTGGAGTTCTGGAAACAAACGGGCTCTCCCGTTACGGCAGCCCTGGACGCTTGGCATAACGGTTTTGTCTGTATAGGGAAGAGATTAGAAAAGAAGTTACCCCTGATTGGCGTTTTGGAACCGCGGCCCACGGATTCTGACGGACGTGGGCCGTTTGGGAAAGAGACAGAAAAGAAAAAAAAAACCAGGGAAAAAAAAACCGGCGTGTCAGATGAAACAAACGGTCCGAAGTTTATTACTTGCCTACTACGGTTAGGCGCGGTAACGATAGTCTGATTCGGGTTTAGTGCCGTGTAGGTTAATATTTCGGCCAGTCACCCTTGCTGCTTGACTACATCTGGAAACCTCTCCGGCCACTGTTGATGGTCGCGATTCTTATCATGAATCATGGGCTCTGCTATTGGATTAGTACTACAGAGTACGTACTACGTACCCGGGTACCAACAAGTACCTATGCCCATGTACGTGCGCGTTGCATCCGGTGCATCATCAGTGGAGTATGTATATTTGATTAACGCAACCAGAAAGTACTTATAGACACGTTCTTTAGTTGAAAGTACCGAGATCAACAAGTTCTTCGGATGAGTGCCCTAACTGAGTACGAGTCGTAATACATAGTCCCTGACTTTGAAGGCAAGGCTTTTCACGATAATGATTGCCGAAATGAGTAAGTGCGACAGTCGGGGGAGACGGCGCTATGTTACTGTTACTACGAGGCAGTCCAGACCAATCATCGAGTGATAGGCATTATCTGTCTATCAAGGACTACTGATATGGGAAGAGGAACGGTTGACTCGGAATCAAGAGTATATATACATGCGTATTCCACGCGAATTATTATATGCATGGATATGACCACGGTACCAGCCGAACAAAGCAATAATAATATCTCTTGGTTTGAAGTCGCATCAGAACTTTGATAGTTCTTTTCATAGTGTTTTATTCCATTGACACCATGCCAGGTCCATTGATGCAGCTAACTAGTTATTCTACAGCCAGTATGACTAATCCAGATCCCGCAAAATCTGCCCCTCCTGCGAGATTGTGCACTGCATAATACCGATAAAGATATTGCCATATCTCTTCATTGTACCCCTCCCTGTTACCACAACAAAGTGCACAACAAAGTGCACCACGAAAAGACGCCGGTAAAATGGTATATTATTTTACTTCCAAGGTGGTTCAACCCTCCGCTTTCATATACGTCGGCAAAGACAAGTACGAAAGTATGGACCGACCATTTTCTCATTTTCTCTCCAGCTTCGCAACTAAGCTCAAAGAGATCTGACCTGCTTTGTTCACTTGTCATAGATGAGGATTTGATAAAGCACGGGCTGGATAAGGACGTCTGGTAACTATCATAGTCCCCAATTTATCCTATCTATGAACTCGTCAATTGACTGCTGTCTCTTATTCTCACAGGGTTCGTTTCGCTCTCTCTACGCTCAATTACCTGCCACTGACTACTATCGCACAGTTTCACGTCGATAACTTGTCTAGCGCTCACGTTTATCTACGCCTTCGCGACGGTGAAACTTGGGACAACATTCCCCAGAAGCTTGTGGATGACTGCGCACAACTGACAAAAGCGAATTCTATCGAGGGTCCGTTACCCATCACCATCTAGTGCAGCCTTTCTTTCCCGAAAGATTAACTTGAGTGAACCGAACAGGAAATAAAAAGGATAACATCACCATCATTTATACACCATGGGCGAACCTCTTTAAAGACGGATCCATGGAAAGCGGTCAGGTATCTTTCCACAATCCTAAGCAGGTCCGTAAGATCTTCGTCAAGGAACGAGAAAATGCGATCGTCAATCGACTCAACAAGACCCGCGTCGAGAAGTTCCCCGACCTTCGCGCCGAGAAGGAAGAATACATGAAAATAAAACGGAGAGAGGAGCGCAAAGACAGAGAAGAACAAAAAGCCAGGGAAAAGCAGGAGAGGAGGGAACACGAACAATTGAAATGGCAAAAGGACCATGCGTACGATGACCTGATGACTGAGGAGAACATGGAGGCCAGTTGCAATCATGATCGCGACCCCGATTTCCTTGACGACTTTATGTGATTTCGATTTACGATTCATACCCCAAAGCATTATTCATTGTCATAACTCAGGAAAAGTGATAGGAAGACGGTTAGCATATCAGGAGTGGGCTATCTCTAGAATTAGGATCATATTATAGTTGATGGGAAGGCCTATAAAGTCATGGACATAAACGCTGCTGGCTCTTAGTTCAATGAGCCTGGAATTTTGATAACAGAAAATCAACATAAAGAGACCACGGCCTGAATCATAACAAAACTTGGATTTCTGCCATAGTCTTTCAATATGGAGAATGCGGACGGGAAGCAACCAGCCACGCTAGTGATGTTGACAGACGGGAGTATTTCGTAACCATCGCCCGCCCAGGACAACAGGAGCCGTTCCCGAATCCGAAACCCGACCCAATATCTCTTTCGACCGAAAGTGAAGAGGACAAGAAGAAAAACAGAAAGGAAAGAAAACAAAAATGCCTGAAGGTATAGTAGCTCTTTGATGCTTCGTACATCTCCCCGGCTGGCATTGTCGTTAACCCGAGGCCGAAACAGGCGCGAAGTCGAAGAAGAACAAGAAGAACAAGGCTGCCGCGAAAGCAAAGGAAGAAGCAGGAGACCAGAATACAGAAAATGGACACCTAGAAGAGAATACGGAAAGACAATCTGATGACGAGGCACCGGTGTCGAATGTAGGTGGTTCCATTGAAAGCCATAGATGGTGGAGGATTATACTAAAACTTGGGAAAGCCACAGGGTACGCCAGCTAATTCGATAAACGGGAAATCCGTCAACAACATAGCGACCGAAAAGACTGCGAGCAACGAAGACGATAGAGACGATGACTCCGATGGAGAGTCTGCCGCTACGACCAAAAATGATACCCAGCAGCAGGCCAAAAGTGACGCTGAACCACCAGCGCTCGATGCACAATCCAAAAACCGTTTCGATGCCCTTGTGCGAGATCGCGATTCATTGCGGGCAGAGGTGACCGATATGCGCAAGTCCCTGGAGGAAATACAATCCAAGCATCGGGCAGACATGGAAGCACTACAACAAAGGGTAGACGATGCCGAAAGTGAGAAGGGACAGGCGGAAACGCAATACCAGAAGTTACTGGAGAGGGTCAATACGATCAAGGCCCAACTAGGGGAAAGACTCAAGGAGGATGCTGTATGTTCTGACCATTTGGTGGTGGTGCTACTGATGATATTTGAACTAACACTCTTCTTCTGGCTTTTCGCGTAGGAAGAAATCGCCCAGACAAGGTCGCAAATCGAAGAGCTCGAAGAACAGAACTCCAATCTCACAACTGAATTGGATTCCAAATCCTCGGAACTCGCTGAGATCGCGAAAGAAAACGAAGAAAAGGCCAAAGAGATAGCCACGCTGCGAGATCGAACAAACCTGTCCCAGCAAAACTGGTTGAAAGAGAGAGATGAGCTAATCGAACAGGAATCGTATCTTCAAGCTGAATTCGAACAAGCCAAGGAGGCCATGCATAATTGGGAAGTTCTTGCCATGGAGGAACGGTCGATTAGAGAAAACTTGGGGGAGAAAGTCATCGACCTCGAAGAACAGCTGGCCAACCTCAAAGACGCCTATGAGAAGGCCGCATCCGAGCGTGATAACCAATCGTCGACTGTGGATGGCTTACAACGGGCCTTGCAAGAAATCCAAACCGGTAGGTTTCCATTGCTGACAATCTATTACTCGGGAATCACTAACAAATAGTGATACTCTATAGCCCGAAAGCAAGAGCTTCGTGAACTCGTCGAGAGCTCTGATGCTCAGCTGGAAGAACTACGGCAATCTCTTCGTGATGCAGACAATAGAGCATCTGAAGCCGAAAAGTCTCTCCTAACTGCCCAAGAAGAATTGGAACGGGTGCGCCCATTCGAGAAAGAAGTCAAAGAGAAGAACCTTCTCATTGGCAAGCTCAGACACGAAGCTGTCACTTTGAATGATCATTTGACAAAAGCCTTGCGGTTTCTTAAGAAGGGAAAGCCAGAGGATAATGTTGATAGGTACTATTCCCCAGCATTCAATCTATTGTATCTTGCTAACCAAGGTCACCAAGACATATTGTCACCAACCATTTACTGCACTTTCTTGCGCTAGACAGATCAGACCCTAAGAAATTCCAGATATTGCAGCTTATTGCAGCACTCCTGGGTTGGACAGATGGTAAGCCCAATATTAACACCCTTTCCCTCACTTTACTGTTAATACCGACCGGAATAGAGCAACGCGAACAAGCAGGCCTTGCGCGCCCAGGAACATCGAATACCTCTAGCAAGCTTCGAGTCCCCGGCACTCCCGTTCGTACGCCTAGCACGCCGACGTTGGCCACGGAGTTCATGGACAACGGCACTAGCCACAAGGAGTCGCTGGCGGAACTCTGGTCCAATTTTCTCGAGCAAGAATCGCAAGCCGGGAATGACAGCGCAGCAAAAAGCGGGAACCAAGGACAGTCAAAATCTTAGACTATGTAAAAAGGCATGCTTTTGTATCAACTAGCCCTGAGGTTTTCTTTTTCTTTTATTTTCTGTTTATGACTTGACGGAATTCATCATCCTTGATTTGTGTGTTGTATGATAGGCTGGTTCTTATCGAGATCATTCGAGCATTCCAATTACAGTCACAGGTCCTACGTGGGGAACATAGTACAGTATTTGTGTGGAGTCACCGCCTTGGGTTCTGCCGCGATAGATTCATGAAGTTTGTTCCTGAACATTTTTGCTGGGTCTCTCTTTGGTCGATGAATTATTTGCTGGAATCTCGCACTCGCCTTTCATATTTAACTAGACGACTAACTACATTTGCTCGCTACTCAACCTCGACAATGGCGACCAGTGCTGGTACAAAACTATCATAACCCCTCCTACAGCAATCGACTAACTCTTTGATATACAGTGCACAAGTTCCGTCCGGTAGTGGTATCGGGCCCCTCTGGAGCTGGAAAGTCCACCCTTCTCAAGAGGCTTTTTGCTGATATCCCTGACACCTTTGGATTCTCGATTTCGCGTATGCTCCTCGCCCAATTATTTGCTTCAAACTATGTCACTCATTCCCTTCGCTTGTTAGATACCACTCGTGCCCCTCGACCAGGTGAACAACATGGACGCGAATACTACTTTGCCACCAAGGAGGACTTTCTGGATCTTGTGAGCAAGAACGGTTTCATTGAACACGCGCAGTTTGGAGGAAACTACTACGGCACCAGTGTTCAGGCCGTGAAGGACATCGCGGAGAAGGAAAGGATATGCATCCTTGACATTGAGATGGAGGGCGTGAAGCAAGTCAAGCTCACTGACCTCAACGCCCGGTTCATGTTCCTTTCGCCCCCATCGCTTGAAGAGCTTGAGAAGAGATTGCGTGGCCGAGGAACTGAGACAGAGGAGAGTCTGAATAAGCGTCTTACTCAGGCAAAGAATGAGCTTGAATTTTCCAAACAACCCGAAGCGCACGATAAGATTGTCATCAATGACGAATTGGAAAGGGCATATGTCGAATTGCGGGATTGGATCGTTGACAGTGGTAAATTCGGCACGCAGTAATGAGCAATGATTCCCTTACTCAATCTTTTATGCGGTACATATTATGTTCGATATCCAAAGACAGCACTAGACAAAATATAACATATTTTCCTCATCAATAGAAATTAATGAAATTAAGTACATGTAATCGACACTTCGCATTAACATTGTAGTGTCGGCCCCGCTCTTGCGAACAAGAAAAGAACAGCTATTTAGGAAATCAAACCCAGTCAGTTCAAAAAAGAAAGGTGATGATATAGAACATGAAAAAAGTTAAAATGGATATCAGTAACAGCTTGCAGGTAAAAAAGGAAATAGGGAGGGAAGAAAAAGGGAAGAGATGGACCCTCGGAACTGCCCTATGATCTGTCTGCGATAATTCATGTGGCAATGATTGGTATCAAGATGCTCGCTACACCAAACAGCGGGAAAAGGAAAAGTTCATGTGCCCAAGCCGACAGCTTCTATGAGGCCTAGTAGCCGTTCATAGTAGCCCGTTGCGAGTTACGGCTGAGCTCCCGCTCAGCAGAGGGACTGATAGGCCGACTAGTAGCGCTGTGACCGCCTGCTGCGCTGCTCTCCTTCAGAGCCAAAAGCTGCTTGGCACGGAAGGTCTCGTAGTGGATCTGGCTGGTGGTCTCGACTAGGTCCTGCAGGTGGGTGCGGGTCAGGAAGTTTCGCAGGTAAACGAATTCGCAGTGGTTCTCGTCCTCGACGTTAATGACGCCCCAGCGGTTCTGACGGCCACGAACCTGCTGGCCGTTGACGACAATGTTCTTCTCGCTCCCGACAACAGCAAAAGGAATGATGTCCTGCAAAGTTATCCCGTTAGACAAAAGAAAGCAAAGCCGCCAACTAGTAGAGCCCGTACCTTGATCTGGACATTCATAGCACGCTCCTCGTCGTCAAGCTCGCCATTATCGTAGGGGTACATCTTCAGGTTGTGGAACGCAAATTCCTCCTTGATTCTCTCCTTGAACACCTGGCGTTCCTCGAGAGTGAGAGAATCAGACTTGGCGATCACGGGAACAACATTGACGACATCCGACAGCTTCTTCAGAACAACGATGTCAATGGGCTTGAGTCTATAAATATTCAAAAAAAAAAAAAAAAAAAAAGATCAGTCACTGCATGCGCTTAATGATAGACATATGGGTCATGACTCACGCATGGCCAGAGGGCTGGATGAAAAACAAGCAGCAGTGGATACGGGTATCTTGGATATAACGGTCACGCTGAGCAGTAAGTTCCTTGCGGAGGTATGCCGAATGCTGGTCCTTGATGTACTTTACAATCGGGTCCCAACTGAATGCGTCATTAGTTCGATTCGTACGGACCAATAGGCCAAAGGGATTGATTGGGGAAATACCATCTGTCGTTGTTGACCTGGTCACCGTAGCCAGGAGTATCGACGATGTTCAACCTGAGACGGACCCCGTTCTCCTCAATAACTAGTAATGACTTAGCAAACCATCCCCCTTGGCATAGAACCAATGTCGTAGCGAAACGTACTGTGAGAGGCCGCCTGGATTTCGGTGGTCGAACGGACGGGCTCATCAGGAGTGAGACGACCCTTGGAATCGATCAGGTGGGAAGCGAAAATGGTGTTGATCAGAGTCGATTTTCCAAGACCGGTCTGGCCTGTTCACAATAAAGAGTGCACGGTCAGTCAGGACCCGTAAAAGCAATCTGATAGCGCGGGGGGGGGGGTCAAAAGAGTCCCTGGCTACATACCAACGCACATCACATTGAACTGGAAACCGCGCTTCAACAGCTTCCGCTCGATCTGCGAAGTGATACTGTCGAAACCGACATGGCTGCGAGGAAAGACGGTCGCGGTGGGAAGCGAAGGGGTAGTAGTCGTGGCCATCGTGAAGAGACCTGGAGGAGTGGTAGTGAGTGGTAGGAAGTGGGTGTAAACGAAAACAAAAAGCAATTGGAAGATAGAACACGAGAGTCGAGTCCGCAACGGTTCAACCAACGAGTGATAAAATACACAAGAACTCCTTCCTGTCTACACCAGGAAAGTCCCAGAAAGAAAGTCAGCAAAGAGAAGTAGCGATTGAATAATGCCCTTCGTTCTTTCCTCGTCTTGATCTGGAGGAGGCCCCTTAATGGCTCAGGGGGCCGCTAATCCCGATCGGGCTAGTGCGTCTCCGGCCTCCGACTTGAGCCAGACCAGGAACTTTTTTGGTCGGTCTTGATATTACTACTAATGAATTTGAAGATTGGATCAGTCCTGCGAACACCTCATATATTCCTTTCGATAATTCCACCATGGCTCTACGAATGCTCCCATCTACCATGTCTTCGCAAATGATTCCGCGACTCCTTTCGTTCTCGCCCGCCACCGGTCAATGGTCTCGGTTCTTTCAGAGCTCCTCCGTTCTGACCCAAACCCTCTTTAGACCCGTTGGGTTGTCCTTGACAATTCCGGGTCTGCTTTCTGATATCTGGGATTCTGTTCTGCGTGCAGTACCGAAGAAGAAGGTCTCCCACATGAAGAGACGCCATCGGCAAATGGCTGGCAAGGCTTTGAAGGATGTGAAGAATCTCAATACCTGCTCGGGTTGTGGACAGGTGAAACGCGCACATGTTCTGTGCCCACACTGTGTAGCGGGTATGACTCTGCTCTGGAAGAATAGGATGTTTCACTCGGCGTGACAACTAACCACGAGGTCTTTGGTCAATAGATATCAAGAAGCAATGGGGTAAGACCCAAACGGCATGATTCTTACGCGCGATCATGAGACGAGGAAGTCGGACGATAAATAGAATACGAGAGACTCTTACGGCTATTGTACTTTTATATGAAAGGGAGTGTGTTGTGTGCGGCATGGCATCTGGCGTCTGGTTTATACTGGGGAAAAATATTTGTCTGTTTCTGTTTTGTATATCCATTTCTTCCTAGAATTTTGTTCAATGGACACCAGACCTGAATCTGGGTCGTCAATCGCATCCGTATAATCTCGTATTTGTTTTTCTTCAGTTGTCAGCTTTGTTGTGGGCTGTTTGTTCCCCAGATGTGAAAGGGCCCATTGATGATCTCACCGACGGCGGCCAGGATTTTTGTTCCACCATACAACTGCCACCGATTCAATATCTTTTGCATAACACACATCTCTCGAGGGTACAGGGGATTAAACAATGGTAAGATTGGCAGAATTTGAGATAGATAATTCAAATTGTCTCTGTTGATTAACATGACTGTGCCCAGTCAAAACAATATCTCTCGTGGGGTTCCGCAGACAATGGTATCTATCTTCCTATATCGTCCCAGATTATATGAAATGATGCTAAGGTATTTATTTCAGCACATCCAATCGATATATTCTCGTTGGCTGTAACGGATAAACAAATTCTGTCCGCCTCGGGTGCTTCTTCCATTCAGGTCCATTCCACTACGGACCCAGACTTTCCCTTGGCACAGACTATTGAAGGGGCTCATAAGGTCGGCTGCCATCACGTCGTGACTGACGGACGCGGCTCAAGAGCCGTCAGTGTGGGATTTGGTGGTGAGATTCAGATCTGGGCTTGCCGTGACGGAACTTGGACCAAAGATGATGCGGGATCAGGTAACATGACTTTCTTCCTAACCAACATGATTACCTATGAGACTGACGGATGCGCAACAGGAATTACAGGTTCTAGTGAGGTTTGGGCCGTTGCTCTGTCAGAGAATGGACAGCTCCTTGTTGGTGTCAGTCAAGATGGTCACATCAAAGTCTGGGACTTGAACGCCAGTGGCGAACAGATACAGGATTACGAGACCAAGGGCAGCTTCGGTACATGCTTAGATATGGTAGGTGCATTGAAAGCCTCTAGTTTTGTTTGGGTTGACTTCTGGTGATATTGACGCAACATAGTCTGCGGATGGTCGTCTCATCGCCAGTGGACACGAGAATGGTAGCGTCTACATTTTCAGCACTGAAACCGGTCGGATGCCTTTTTCCTTGTCAGGTATGTCATCTCTACAACGCAAGGGCTTTTTGTGTGAAGTCGATAGACCCTATAACGGTGCGTATCTGATGCCTCTCCCAGGTCTTGTGAAGCCCGTACGAACCGTTGCTTTCTCTCCTGCCGGAAAGCTCCTCGCTGCTGCCGGTGATTCTAAAGTCATTGTGCTGTTTGACACTTCATCTGGAGAACAAGTCGCAAATCTGTCCGGTCATTCAGCGTGGATCTTGTCGCTTGCGTGGAGCACCACAGGAGAATATCTTTTGAGCGGGTAGGTTGCTTTCGATGCGATTCTTTGCCGCAGTGCGGTTTGAGCTGACACAAGGGAATAACTAGGTCATTTGATGGAAAGGTTAAGGTCTGGTCGATCGATACAAAAACATGTGTTGCCACGCACTCCGAAACCGAAAAGACAGTTTGGAGTGTCAAGTGGCTTCCAAAAGTCGGAAGGTCTGAGGGCTTTGCGACTGCGGGAGCAAATCGAAGCATAGCGTTCTACCGAGAAGCTACCGGGGGTTAAGGCATGATTTCCTTGATAATTGCATTTACGGAACATACTGATGAGACGATTATAATCATGATGCCGATATTTTCAAGATGGGGTTAGCAGTATTATACAAAAATAACATGTAGTTTCATGTGGGACATAAAATCGTAAATCGCTTTCCACCGGGTGCTTCGTTCATTTCAATGCCTCAACAAACAACTTGCGCATCCTCTTCAAGAACGCACCAAAATCACGATCCTCGTTGAGTATGTCCAGTTCTTGCTCGAGGGCCTCCCTGTCTAACTTGGGACGCGTGTGGAATACCTCATAATCCCGACTGGCTGTCCCAAGTTCAAACCAAGCCTCTGCTTCCCAGTCTTTTTCCAGCAAGTGACTATAAATGAATTTCAACCGATCCTCCCTCCCCGCTCCTTCAATCCGAAGACACAGATAATCTTGCCAGAAGTCGAGTTCCGGAACGTTAAGGCGAGATTGAGCATCCAAATTTCGAGCATGGGCCTTTTGCGCGTCAAGTCTCTGGTTGATAGACTTTTGTGTCTCCGCAATCTGCTGCCTTAAGCGATCCCGCTTGACCAGACGGGAATCGCGCTCTAACGTAATGGAGGAGATGGCGGCATGCATTTCAGCGGCTTCGGCAGCCTCTTTTTGAAGTGTCTGCTCGTGCGTTTGCGACTTGAGATTCAATATTTCGATATCCTTCTGTTTCATCCGTTGGTCCTCTATTATATCAAGCGATTAATTTCCGATTCCAAAATGGAAAGTTCGTTTTATTTGCCCTCAACTCACCCTGAAGTTCTGCCAGATTGATCCTGAACTGATTCCTCTCCTCCAATACTTGCTTCCTGCCTCGCTCAATAAACGCATCGAATTGCATGCTAAACTGAGCCATGCGATTGCGTAGATCTTCAAATCCAAAGTTTATACTGGGAAGCGAGTCTGCCATTGAGGGCGCGTCCGCGGTAAGTAGGGGTGGCCGCATGCCGCTTGTCGAAAGAGACGGATCGAACGATGAAGACATCGTGGTTTATCTTAGCCGTGCGATGTTGTGGCATATGATGGGGTTCTATTCGGAGATATGTCGCAAGCGATAGTTGTAGGTTTGTTTTTGTCTCGTGGTTTTGTTGATTGTTTATCGACAAGAGATCGGGGAATGCGCGCAGAGAGTATATAGACAGCACAGCCGACCAAGAAACGAAAAACGGGTAACTCGGAAACTATCAACTCAAAACGATTAAAGCCAGAAAAAGGTATGTCAATCCAAGCGTCTGTAAATATTCAATCGCTCCGAAAAGAAACAGAAGAAGAAACAAGAAGGTGGGCCAATCAAAGCGGCATATTGGGCGGTGAACAATGACAGCAGAATCTAGTTGCGGCGCAACGATCATCACTTTTTTTCTTTTTCGCATCCTTAATTTCTTCAATTGGTATACTTCTTTGTCCGGCCTCTTGCAAATGACATTGATCCAGAGTGTCCATGCCAAAAAGCTCTGGCAAGACACCTGCCATCTGCATCGTTTCTACTAGCCAATTCCTTTGACGCGACTCGATTGGAACGGTCATTGATCGATATGCTTACCGGGGTAGATATCACGCATATCATAAGGAGTAAAGCAAAGCCAGATGGATGAACATTCGACGAGTGCTCTCCAATATGGGCACTTGGGTAAAGCGTTTTATGTCCCGGAGACCCGGACGTGGTCATTTTCTCGTACTCTAAATCAGTGTAAGTCATTTGCGATTTGGCAAAGAGAGGGACTTTCTCACTGACGCCTGGTCAAGCATCTTCAATTTTGTATACTGGAGCTACCAAAGTGGCTGTAGCGTCTCCCCTTACTGCCCCTCAGTCTTCTTTAGTCGAGAATAAGAATCTCTTGCCGAGAGCGCACCCGGAGCTGGCGGCATGCTGGTCCTTGGTTAGCAACGAGACTTTTTCGCACGTTATCACGACCACAAGCGAAATATGCGACTCCCAGGTATCTTCACTCTTGGACTTGGGCTGTGCTGTGGACCTCGAAAACGATGATTCGGGTAGTCGGGTTTTGCCAATAGCAGTGTTTGCATCCGGGGAGTGTGGCAACTCCATCGCGTTTCGGAGGTTGGAGGAAGATACCTTTGAACTGAGACAGCAAACGACCTTCATGCGTGTTCCTTCCATCGGTGAAACAGACGCCACGGAATGTCGTGTCGGTGATGTCCCAATTCGTCAAATTTGCTTTGCACGGACAATCGAAGAGAAAGCGACATGGATGGCCGCTCGATGCTCTGATTCAACCACGATATTTCGGCCCTTGTACCACAGAGATCCCGTTCCGAGGCGTATATGCCGCAGTAGTGACGGTGTACTTTTGAGTGACGCTCATAGCTCCCGGTTGGATGCGAACCCGTTGGTTGAGATATCCAGTTTACGGACAGGTGGTTTCCCGCACGCCGATGTAACCTTCAATCCCTGGTATCAGAGACAATTCGCGATTGTGGACCAACGGGGAAACTGGAGTATCTGGGAAATGTCTGGTCGGCACAGGCGAAGTAAAGGCAATTGGGCCGCAACATGCGTGAAATCTGGTTCATTGCCGTGGCTTGATAATGGCGATAGTCTTGATTTAGATGATCAACCTCGGCATGATGGGTGGGGAGTTATTGAATGGGCCGGGGACGTCAATAGCATCATTGTTTCTGATCGACGTTGTCCCATGCTTTACCGGATGGAAGGCGATCAAATCTGGTCCATTCCAGTTGAACTTGGCTTGAAAAGAAAGTCCGAATGGATCTTGGACATCAAAAGAAGCCCATCAAACGCATCTCACGTTTATGTACTCACCACGACGACAATATTTCGGCTTGAGATCACCGAGTTCTCCAGCGAAGGTGATATTGGGTCTCTAAATCCTCGTCTATCCTGGCGCCATTATAGGGATCCTGAAGACACGACCCTGCGTTTGAGTACTTTGCTTACCAATGAAGGTATGGGCATTTGCGCATCCATGAAAACGTCCTGTACACCTACTGACATTTTTTGGCTAATAAGAGTTTTACCTCTTTTTGTACTCAAGGCTCAACAACTTTGTGCTGGGGTTCCACTGCCCTAATGCAATTGAGGAAGGAATGAATAACACCGTACCTGTTCCAGATCCGTTCATCCTGGATGTGCCCTCTACGGTCGATATGTCGCCAGAATCCCAAGTTTCAACGAACAGTGCACAATTTTCCACCCTTGTATTCAAACAAATCGTACATTCACCAGCATCAGTTGGCAAAAGTTATTATGATCCCAGCGCAAGACTTTCCAAGCTCTTTCTGCTGGACTCGCGGCTTGCCGTCTGTGAATCAGTGTACAACGCGCCCACGATTTCTGGCGACATTGAAGAACAGCCTCTCGGGCGGGATGCATTGCGGGTAAAGAGACGCCAACAGAGTGCGCGAAAAACTCGGGCAGTTCGTTACCAGACCGATTTCGTGGTCGATGATTGGGATGAATCTGTATCTGGTATGGGTGCAACTGCGATCCCGAACACGGGAATCTCTACGGTATCGCCCCATGCAATTCCTCAATGGACCACTGACTATACGGCGGTCTATGCTGTTGCTACGGGACGATTGGTTCTCGGATCGAGTGAAAGGGAATTCTCACAACACTCGGAAGAACTATTCAAGGAGAACGTCAATGCTCTAGTAGACAAGATCTCCGATACAGCCTTGGGTGACCAAGCTGCGAGTACCCTGTAAGTTTAGAAGTTGATCTTGGCCTAGTATGTTCTGAAACTGACACGTCTTAGACTCGAAGTTCTTGGCGGCAGTCCTCTGTTGGACGACATTGAAAAGAGTGCACAAGCCATTGAGGACGTCGTTTCGCTTTGCGAGCAGCGAGAATCAGATCCTCAGAGTGAACATCGACTTTCCATTCTGCCGATTTCGTCGTTGGTGCAGTTACCAGTTGCGAACGAAAGCGAAGGAAAACCGAACCTAGTATATATCTACGATCGTCTGGTCAGCATCTGGCTCTCAAATCTACCCCATCATATACCCGGACGCACACGGATCACAAAGGAGAGAATTATTAGGAAGCTCGCGGCCGATCTAGTCCTGGCCCGGATCAATATTACTCGCAAACCACCCCATAGTGGGCATGACGATCATCTTGACAACCAAGATGATGCCGAATTATCGAATCCGGAAACTAGCTTTGGCTCTCATGGGACCGCGACGCCACGACATTCGTCTGTCCCAGCCTCTGAAAGAGATGGCGGCGGTTCAACCTCTCGAAGCGATCTGGGGGCTACAAACAGCGGCATCTCTGATCCCCAGCCTACAAGCAGAGTGCCAGTCTACTCTACTCTGTCCTCTTTAACAACGTTTAAAAGCCATCCTTCCATGTCTCGGAACGTGGAATCTATGCTTTCCCATTGGATACCGGATATGGACCCAGCTACTTATGATTGGCAGAGAACTGTATTCTCAGTTGAAGAGGATGAATCCCAGCGGATGTCACGATCTGTGACCCCCAAAAGAAGGCTGCGGAAGAAAACACCACAGAGAACGGCCATGAGTTCTCCGGCACCTCCTCCCGTTTCGCCGGCCATTCCTGGTATCTACGGACAGAGCAGTCAGCCGACAAGCGGAGGATTACATCGGGGAATACTACAGAGTAGCCAAGTCACTGCCGAGCATGAGGATCTTCCTATGACTCAAGTCGAGCGAGGTCTCTTTGGTGGAAGAGAGGCAAATAAGAAGAGCGTCATGAAGACGAGGAAGAAGAAACGGGCAGCTGGTTTTTAGGCCCAACTATCAGCCAATTTAATGTTATTTGCACCCTATCATTCAAGGAAATTGGCCATAGTCGTCCCCGCTGGTTAGATAGTTATACCCAAATACTGATGTTGTTCTTTCTCCCGATAAGGCAAGCCAGTGAATGCCAAGACTTTGTATAACACAAGGGCGCTATACCTAGATGGGAAATCACATCATCTTGAACCACATGATTCCCCGTAGTAAGCAGACATCTCCAACAACCCCGCGACATCCACGCCTTCAACAAACTATCCAAACAAGACAAGCATCATGTCGGACCATCAATACAAGTTCAACGTCTCCATGAGCTGTGGCGGCTGCTCCGGTGCCGTGGAGCGAGTCCTGAAGAAGCTCGAGGGTATGTTGTGCTTATCACCCCGCATCGATATCGACCTCCCCTGTCAACACGTTAGATGATGCTGTGGGATGTCGCATAACTCAACTCCTTCTGTGTCGCGCAGTGATAGGCTGATGCTAAACGGTTTTTCTTGGAATCTACAGGTGTCAAATCCTTCGATGTCAAGTTGGATTCCCAAACCGCCGACGTCGTTACCGAGCCGTCTGTGTCGTACGATACCGTTTTGGCAACAATCAAAAAGACAGGAAAGGCTGTTAACAGCGGTGAAGCTGATGGTCAGACGATGGCCGTTTGATTTGGTCGATTCATTAGTACCGTCTTTTTGCTTACTCGGGACCGCCGCTTTGGAGAGAATTTGAGTGAGGACGACATTATATTTGGTCACATTTCAGGATTCCAGAGTTGATTTGTGGACTTGGTTCTTTTGTTCTTGCATTTCTCGCATTTAGTTCTGCCATGCATGTCCCTTCAGCATGTCCAATGCGTTGTTGCTTATATCAATTTCCAACATACCCATGACATGAAATAGCATTGATGTCTTCCAGAAGCTGCATACTATCTCGCAACTTAACAAACAAAACCCGCAGATTACGATTGAACGGCATTAGAAATTTAAGATAGCAATAAGAATCATAATATTCATTCAAAAGGATGTGCAGCTGGGTATCATGCAACGACAGGCTCCTCCTTAGACATGCTCTCAACCAAAACAAATATAGATAGCAATATGACAACTCCCCCAGTACTATCCAACAAGGTCCATATTCTCAGTCCATGATGACGATAGGTCTGTTGTCCGGAATGGGATGGGGTGGCTCCGGGCGTTCGACTCTCCTCACGTAGGTAGGACGTTCCCAGATCTGGGCATGGCTGTGCACAGGCCTGTAATATCGTTAGTCACAATTGAAAAAGATAATGAATAAAAGGTGAGATGGGAGAGGAATATATAGGAACGCAACTGGAAGTCAGTTGTCTTTTGAAAGGGAGCCCTAGCGTTGTGACCATACCGTGCAGAATCCAAAGACCCATCGTATCGCTGTTTATGATAAAGATCGGGAGCTGACGATGGTTCAAATACCCTGTCGCTGCCTAAGGGCCTATGTGGGTCTTCAAAGGTTGCATACCCATGGGGAGGTTCTGCGCGACAATCCAACGGTCGATGATCGTGATACGTCACTGGTTTTCGAGCATCAATGAGCCCATCTCTATGCTTGCCATCGTAAACTCGGAGCCTAGATGGATGAGAGGAAGTTTCTGCAACACGTGGACGTTGCATAGTGTATTCCAGGGGCTCCGGCTCGTATAGACCAACGGGGCGGACAAAATCATCAGCATAAAGATGCCTCCTATTAGAAACATCGGCAGAGTGCTCATCATCTCTGTTTCGCCATGTCGGCACTTGTGTCTGTGAAAATTCAAGTGGTCTGGAACGACTATAGTCCTGGTCTCCATGGTAAACGGGGGGTGCATTTGGATCGAAAGAGACCTGCATTGATCGCCTAGAATTATCATCCACGGCAACGGCATGGGCTGAAGTCAACGGAAATGCATATGATCCTGTCGACACCTTGGCAGGATGACTGTGAGCAGGGTAGACCCTTGGTCCATCAACACGTCTTTCAAGTTCAGATCTAGGGTTGGCATGGATAGGGGGATCCCGATGCTTCTGTGGCCAACGTTCTGCAGAAGGGAGGCCGGTTGGCGCAACAAATTTTCTACGTAGCTGTGAGTCTTCCCGGGAAGAATGACTTTCTGGATGAGAAATCTCATAGGGGACGTATCGTGCTCCGGTGGGGGTGTCTTTGAGAACATCTGAAACGACCGATTCAACAACACCAGGTGCAATCCCAGACGGCAAATGCCCATTGACAGGTTCGTAATAAGCTATCCGCCTCTTGAGACATTGAAAATTGTCCCCGCCAGTACCATGAGGATCATCTTGGCGTGGAAGACGCTGTGGCGTCACTGAGCGAATTGGCAGGCCTCGGGGAATTCCTTCGCGTAGACCACTGCCTGGGCGGTTCTGAGATGAAGGATTTTCAATGGAAGGTAAAACACGATCCTGAATATCCGGATTCTTGTTATGGGAAGAAGCTAGTATCCTGGGCTGGTGTCCGACTCGGAATTCATTACCATCATGAGATCCTTGGGGGTTATTAAGAATGGGCGCATCAGCCAAATCATATTGACGGAACGGGGTGTGTCCATCTCGAGGAACTGGCGCTCGCCTCGATGGTATAATATCAGATTGGGCAACATCCGGATTTCTCTGATTAGGGAGTCCGAGCGATGGGTGTACCTTATACGGCACATGAGAAGTCAGTATATTGTGGCATGTCTCCTTTGAGGCAATTTTTTCATAAATGCGCCTAACTGACGGAACGGCCGGCTTGATTTCGGCACTTACATGGTGTATGGGCGGCACTGCAGTGTACACAAAGGATATAGGCTGGTTCCTAGATCCCGTACCTACTTCAATGCCATGCGGTGGTTGTCGTACGGAATAAGGTCTCTGCTGGTCAGTTGAGCTGCCATAAAGTCTAACCTTGTCAGTGGCATTTGCAAAGTTCCTGTAGCGATTGATAGCACGGTCCCAGGCCTGGTATCTGCTAAATCCCCGGCGATCGACCTTGTTCTTTCTGGGTACTTGTGGGATAACACGGAAGCCTGATGGTGCCTCATCCTCGGACAGCTCTCGTACGGTGCCCCGCGAAGCTGGATCCGCAAAGTCAATCGGTTTTGTTGGGAGTTCCACGGCGCGTGCTCTGCTCGATACATATTCCACACTGTGATCCCGATTGGTAGACGGCGGCCCGTCCTCTTCGTCAGAATCAGAGTCATCGTCATCAGAGATAACAATGACTTCTCGAAATACATCTTCAAGGACTGTTTTCCCATTTTCGTCATCTCCACGCCATGCTACTAATCTTGCCAGTGTTGGCTCTTCAACTAAGCTTCTTGCTTCGTGGAAAGAGGTCATCTTCAACAGACGGTCGTAATCAGTGTAGATATGACGAATGTGTGCCACTACTGCCAGCTGGGCACGGCGAGCTAGTGGCAATTCAAGGGCTGTACCAACTTTTTGTTGGCCCTATTCTTGACTTAGCATTCGCGGGTCCGCCTGACACTTGTATTTTTGCGGAAATTACTGCCACGTACCTTTTGAAATGCTGTTTTGATTATTTGGTTCAAATCATTGTCTGGTATATTAGGGAAGAGATCCCTTAGAGCGTCTCTTGCCTCGGTGTTGATCTCTATTTGAGAGAATTCTTCATCATTGGATCTAGGGTGACCGCCAACACCATGAACGGGCACAACCCTCCCTGTTGCTGTAAGAGATAACCCTAAATTCATACATACAGTAGCAACAATTGTACTTGGAAAGTGAAATCCAATTCGGTGCACGTGTTGAGAGAGATCGTGGTTGCGCATATGAGGAGTTGTCTAGAAGAAAATCGTAAGCATGGTGGAAATCCAAGTAAGCTTAAGAGACACTCCTGGCCTACCGTAACAGCATAGATCTTCAAACCACCTTTCCGACAAAGCTCTTTGCAGGCGTTTGTGACCTGGGGATTACCTGCTGAAATGAAGGTATAACCAGGGGGCGCTTTTGTCTCAAACGAAATCTGCCAATCGACCGGTCAAGGTGGTTCATATGTGGAATAGACATAGCGGTAACATACAACACTTCGGAGTTTCTTCTTTTCTTGCGTGATAGATTCCATAATCACTTTGTGTTTTTGGGCATTCCTTTTGGCAGCCCTACTTGGTGCACGCCTGGCCGAGGCCGAGGCATGCCTTCTGAATACTCGTACCATGTTTTCGCTATGGGTATCCCTGCCTTCAGATTGTCTGTCGAAGCATCTTCACCTCGATCAAGCAACGCATGAACAACAGACATTAGAATGCCCACCAACGAGCATGCGAAAGGAGGGGAAAGAGGAAGGCAACAAATAGAAAAAAGAACGCAAACACAAGCGCAATAAAAGTAATATGAGGAGAAAAGAGGGAAGGTGTAAGTTCGCTGTAACAAGTTAGTCAACCATTTCTACAACGGCGCGTGTAGCCAGGCGGCGTCGGGTTTTGATGTCGAGTCTGCAAGTAAACAGACACAGAAGCTAAGGCCTGATAAAATCCAAAGCGAGATCTGTTTGCGCACGGTTTTTATTCCTGTCTATCTGGAAGAGCGAAAGGTGGAGGAGGGATGGATAGATAGACGAAGGAAGTGGGAAGCTTCTGCTTAGTCATGTTGCGGCCTGATCGACTTCTTTGGGTTAACTAGTTGACGAGCAACTTTCAGTCGGATGTCGTCAAGGCAGTAGTAGGTCGTGCCCGGCAACTACAATATGGACAAGCGAGCTGTTGTCCACGCATACCGTCATCTCTATCGGCAAGGTCTCAAAGCGCTTCATTATTCTGTACCTGCACGACATGTCCTGCTCAAGACCTTGCGATCCGGATTTCGTTCGTCCTCGCCAAACGATTTTGATTCACAAAGGATCGCAAACACTGTGCGCTTTCTCCAGCAAGCAACTGATGTCGCGGGCCTCGAGCACAAGATTTTGAAGAATTTGATGATCATTAGGTATTGGGAACAACCGCAAGTGAGGAAAAATGCTCGAGTGTAAGACTCTATGGATACCGGAAAATCTTGTGAACCAACAAGGAGACAGTGCAATTCTGACCTTGCTGAAGCCTGAAAGGTATAGGGATCGAAGGAAGCGAAGCCCATGCCCGAAAAGATGCCAATGAACAGTTTGAGTTGACGCTCATTCTTCTGAACGAAAGCCTAGGGACATGTCTAATGTGATAGACGACGTTCAGGAACACTTACGATTTTCTTCCTCATTCATCACCCGCGAGTTGTTCAGACCGTGATGACCACCTTTTTCTGAAAAGAACAACTGGAATTGAATGGAGACTGGCATACATATGCTCAGGGATGAGCTTTTCAATCTGCTTCTGTTCGGAGCCAGCATTGGATTCTCTATTACACCGATTCCAGCTGGGCAATGTTTAACGGCTCCTCGAGTAGACCAGAAGGCAAGGTCACCCTCGACAATTAAACCATGCAACACCAATTGAATACGGAGTGCATACGCTTGAATGGGAGACCTTGGGAACAAAGATGAAACGCTATCTTTACCTAAGACAGGAACGACCGGACATGATGCAGTGCGCATTCCAGTATAGTTATGAACATATACTGCGCACACGCTATATGTAACTATCGAGCTATTTTCACCAGCTAAATAATAGTAGCACAGTGTAGTAGTAAGATTGGGCATTGTCGGCGAGTCTCACGGGCGGCGAATCAGCGTCCGTTCCCAGGGGCTCAGTCACATGTCTTCTTCGTTCCTGTTCCGGCGCCCTCGCAGGAAAACGACGAACTGACCAGAGCACAATTCCATAAAAATCAGTAAAGAATATCCCTAGTCTGTTCACTCGATTTTCCTCCCCATGTTCTACTATTCATTAGACGCTGTTTTCGGCCCTCCATGAGCGGGCTTATCTCCTCTTTGCTGATCGAACCCGTCATTCGTCGGACCCGTCGCCTCTCATCCCAGACGGATACTAGTACTAGCGACCATTCGGGATCGGATCCTCCTCCGAGCTCTCAGTGCAGAACAGAACCACAACCCCTGTCCGATAACAATGGCAGCAGGGAAATTACCATGTCGGATCGGAACCAAGAATATATGGGACTAGGGTGTGGATATGCAGGGCCCGGAAATGACCCCGCCAGTTCACCAACGACGTCAACGCTGGACTCGGGGGCGACTCGACACGGGCGCGGGGCGGATACTGCCTCTTCGAACAGACTAGAAAATGGGGTTGAGAACTCTCAGTCGATTGAAGATAACCTGGTATCTTTAGACTCTGGGCCTGCCCTTTCCGAACGGAACGCCGAAGCATTTACTACGCTGACGCAGACATCCAACAACCATGAAAGGAGACGCTCGCAAAGCCATTTGTCTGATATGGACGAATCAAGCTGGCAGTTTGCGCTTCCAGAAGATGATGGAATGGGTGTGTTGAGAAGAAAGATCCACGCTATCCGAGATATGAGATCCAGCAGCACAGAAAAAGCCCGGATGGTCCACGAGTTGATGACAGAGAAATACAACGCTTCAAGAGGGTATCCTGACATTCTGCCCGCGCCACTACTCGCTCCTTCGAGTCCCCGGAGCCCCGAACGACCCTGGACTCCTATATTCCATGGGGAAGAGCCGTCGTTCGATTATCCGTCATCCCTGACAGTCGCTCTACATCAACCGAATGATACCCCGTATAATCTAACAGAAGAAGACCTGAAGCCGACCTTCTTCCCAAAAGATGAGCCGGAATCACCTGTGCTTGACGGGGAAGACATGGACATCGAGGAGTTCGAGGAAACAGCTATGCTGGGTTGTCAGCACTATAAGCGGAATGTCAAACTCCAGTGTGTTTCTTGCAAGAAATGGTACACTTGTCGGTTTTGCCATGATGAAGTTGAGGATCACCACCTTATTCGACACAAGACGGAGAACATGCTATGCATGCTCTGTGGGCATGCTCAGCCTGCCGCCCATATTTGTGAAAAATGCGGCGAGCAGGCTGCACAATATTTTTGCGAGGTTTGCAAGCTGTGGGATAACAACAGCAAGAAGAGTATATACCATTGCACGGATTGTGGCATTTGTCGTATAGGCCAAGGATTGGGCAAGGACTTTTTCCATTGCAAGGTAAGCAGGGACTGCATCGCCGGAATGCAGAGTATCGCTTGAGTACTGAATGAAAACTAGACATGCAGCGTATGCTTACCTATATCGATTGAAAACACCCATCGGTGTATCGAACGGTCCACACAATGCGATTGTCCCATCTGCGGGGATTACATGTTCACCTCGCCCGAGACTGTGGTCGTGATGCGATGTGGACATAGTATTCACCACAGGTGCCTTTCAGATTACTCGAAAAGTTCATATCGCTGCCCGATATGTAGCAAGACTATCACGAACATGGAATCTACGTTTCGAAATTTAGACCGCACCATACAAAGTCAGCCCATGCCAGAAGAGTTCAAAGATACGAAGGCTCTGGTCTACTGTAATGACTGTGGAGCAAAGTCCGTCGTGGAATACCATTGGCTGGGGCTCAAATGCGATATGTGAGTCGTTTCAGCCACTAGGTACTATGGACAGCCGTACTGACATAGGCAAACTCCAGGTGCGAGTCATATAACACAGCCCAGCTCCGGCTTTTACATGGTGACATTCTCGAGTCTCCGGAACAGGACCTTGAAAGCAGACTTCTTTCGACTTCTAGAGCGAGATCATCGTCCCATGGTGCAGATGAGGCCTTGTCGCAAAACATGGCACCGTTGCGAATTAATACCAGCTCCGTGCAGGGAACAAGTTTTCCACAACAAAGTCTATCTTCGTCTGCCGACCCAAGTGGCCGGTTCTTATCATACAGCCTTACTCGCGATCGCGCCGTGTCTCCTGTGATCAGTAACTATTTTGGCTTACCGCCCAACCGGGAACATGATGATAAGTCGATATCAACGTCACTTTTTGGCAGTCGAACACAAAGAGACGCCGGAAGTGACCATGGCGGCGAGCTCCGCATATGGGGAACTAAACTTAAATACAGCTATGGTTTCCTCAGTCGGGAAACAGAATCTGTCGATGGTGAAGAAGCCGTGGAGTCGTCAGATGCGAGTGTATCAGAGAATGATGAAGACGACGACGAGCAAGAGGAGGAAGAGGATGATGATGATGATGACGACGATAGTATTGAAATCTTCGGACACCGATGAAAGCCAAAGCCGCGATACAAATTGATACAGCGCCATGGCCTCAGGTCATCCGAAGAAAACGACATATTCTCAGCAAGTCTCGAAACTTGGTTGCTGAAAGCACTTGAAGTTGAGTGGTTCTCTATTTCCTTATCGCAGCCTTGTCGCAGCCAACATGGGAACTCGTCGATGTCTAATATTACATGCATGTTGCATGATGGCTACGCTTTTGTTGTTTCATACCAGGGACAAGAAGCTGTGGCGCGCGGTATATATCCAAGAGATCTACGACCGAGGAAGAAGGGTTCGATTATGCAGGTCTAGCAGTAAGCCTAGTTCAATATACGGACCATACAAGATCATCCCATAATTGCAATACTTTGTTATTTGTAGTCCGTGGCCAGGAATTGATCAGCCGCTGCTCTCGTCAACATGAATCGCCTGGACGTCATCAGCGTGACTTTTCCTAATTGGGCCAGCATGACCGCATAACTAGTTAGTCGCAATCGGGGATGCTTAGTTAAGCCGCGTCTGCTTGCGGCTTCGATGTCCTTCGATTTTGCCCATCGTCCGGCAGAAGAAGCCACGGATATTAACGAGACAAGATGGGCGGAAGACTCTGTCGCTGATAGTTCTCTTTTTTCTTTCTTCCTACTCCCACCCCCTGAATATCTCGGAGTCTTCTTCCTGGTATCTGGTCCGGATCTGAAACGCAACACGGATCTCTCCGCAGACAATATCGGCTTCAGGAAAGCGTCTCATGCGCCTTGGTTCTGTATTCCAGTCCCATGAGACCGTGTCCCGCGGGTCGTGAGACGAAATTCATTATTGAGATCGTTACCGATTCCGATTCGATTATACGACACTCGTTGGGCTTTCGTCTCCCTTTCGGCCTCTTTTGAACGAACCCCCGGCTGTTTATCGCACCCGTTTCCCCCTCCTTTCCTTTTCTTCGAGCGCAGTACTGTCCTTCATCTCCCTCCTGCGCCCTCAACCTACGATGCGTCGAAATTCTGATATCGAGATTCACCTTCCGGACGCTGATCCCGCCGTTGCACCGGAATCCATGGATGAGTCGGACGTGGAAATGTCATCGGAAAAGCCACCAGCACCGCTAAGCTTGCCCGCTCATATCGCTGCTCGTTTTTATCGAAAATCTACCGCAGCAAGACGTTCTTCGGTAGCGTCGTCTCGACGCAGTTCGATTTCTTCACTTCATTCCCATCATTCGAATGCATCCGCCCGGGGCGCATCTCCGACGGATCACATTGCGCAACACCACCGCCGTACATCTATCCTCGAGAGCCGCAAGGCTAGACTTGCAGACCGCGCGTTGCATGCAGAAAAAGTGAGAAGACGGGCTACTCTTTCCAAGGCCGCTACGAGAAACATGCACCGAGAGGAGAGGGCGCTGGCCGCTCACCAGTCGCGGGAGCGATTGCTAGCAGAAATCACGGCAAAATGTGAGGAGGAAGTCCGACGGGCGAAGAAGATAGCGGAAGACAACCGGGAAAAGAAGGCTGCGGAACATAACCGATTACGTCTGGAAATGGCGGAGAAGTTCGCAGAGACCGAGAGGCGACGGATGCTCTATCAGCAGAGTCACCGGCGTCAGCGTACGAGCAGCCTGCCAGTTACAGAGGAAAAGAAGATGGCTCGGGAGGTTACCAGGTCGCTGACCCAAGATGCGGCAGCGAAGACAATCCAGCGAGTCTGGAAAACATATCATGCAAGATCGGTCATGCAGCAATTCCAGACCCTAGGCATCAACGTCGGGAATATCAATAACATGGCTTTCGAGGATATCGGGGCGTTGCTCTCAGAGGACCGGGTGTTGGACACCATGGCCCGAGTGCTTCGTCTCTGCGGTTTGCAAGATATGACGAACGGGACGATGGGCGGTCGAGGAGCTGTCCGCACGTTTTTGAGTAGCTATCTCATCGTCACGCATCCCAAGGAGGTTTTGAGCAGTAACGGGGAACAGGAACAGGACCTGATTGCCAAAGCGCGGGAGTTACTCGCGGCGTTTGAACAGGTCACATCGTTGCTTTTGTCTGGCTGCTGCTCTCCATCAGTCATCTCCACGGAACTCCAAACGTTGTGCGAGGCATACAACGTCTTCTTTTCTGCGTTCCATGCCTGGAAGTCGCATGACTCGAGTGTTCTGACCGAGATCATGCTTGCTCAGTTCGTCGAATTGGAGTTGATCTGGCAGACGGTCAAGGATGACCGGGCGGGTGGCGTTGCGGATGATTATCGAGAAGGGATCCGGCAGAACCAGATTACACTCCTGGCCCGGCTGAAGCGTCTCGTGGGCTCCGAAAAGGCGATGCAGATGGTGCGGGGTGCTTTGAAAAAGGCCAAACGCGCGAAGAAGCGGAGCGCATCCAAGCAAGCTATTCCTCGGTCCGCAACCGAAGGGACAACCTCGAATGAAGCGCTGACGGACGGCGTTGCATCTCCTATTAGCGAGACGTTCAACAACGTAGACAGTTCAGTTCTACGGGAGCTGGACCAACAGCGAATTTCGCCACACGAGCATTTCAGCAAGATGCTCACGGCTCTGCCGGAGAATCGCACGTTGGTCCACGAACTCCTCGTTAATAAGGAATTTAGGGTCGACGAGGCCCAATACACCAAACCGCGCAGACAGATCATGCAACACATGTGCGTCATGATGAGGAAGGACGTGGAGGCAGGCCTGGGCGTGAATTGGACCATTGCGATGGCCACGGTGGTTCAAGACCGACTTTTGCGTTCACTTCGACCAGGCAACTCGCTACACGTACTAATCAGTGAGGTTCTCGATCCTAAACTGGTGGAGAACCAGTGCAAGGCTGGCGCATTCTCTTATGAAAATTTCTTTGAATTCATGAATACCATGCTGCCGAAATTGTGTGCGCCGTACCGGGATTCCCAAGTCCACGCATTTGCTGAAGATAGGTCTGGAGATGCCATCGACCGTCTCACGCGGTTAATGGGGATTATCGACCTTCTGTCGCTGGATCACACGAATTTCATGATCCGGGTCGCCGCTCCTCAACTCATCCAGGAGGGTCCTGGGTACGAGCAGCGTACATTCGAGAAGGATCTCCAGGATGGCACAGTAGGATTAGGAAAGACAAGGCGATTTTGGCGGACACATCGGAAGGTCATCGTGGACGAGATGAAGAAGCGGGATCCAGAAAATGTCAACGGGGAACCCCGACCTCCAGCTCCAAGGATCTACGCGCAAGGTCTTACTGATTTAGCCCTCAGTAATGCGGCAGTTTCCAACGATCTGATCCCGGAAACGCTGGAGTTAGACCGTCATCGGCTGCACGTCCTGCATGCGACAGCATATAGGATCGTGGCTACGGCGTCGATTCTCCTGACAGCCAAGAACCTACTCAAGCGTGATGTGCGGTCACAGTGGAAGGCTGAAGCGGACCGGATTCTATCGCTAGACTTCAATGATATCACGCCGGAGCGAGTGCAGTCAATCTTAGAGTCGACACACCCCATGCCTCCCAGTGCCAGTACGCAGTTGGCGGCGACCATTCGGCGGGTATTGGGACCCGTCGCTACTGCATGTGAGGTTGCCTCTTCTCCCCCTCCCTCTTCACCCCAGACAATGGTTGAGGTCAATGCGAACGGCGACTCCATGCAAGACTCGTCCTCGTCTCCCGGAGAGGAAGGGGAGCCCGCCCATCACAACTCGAGTAACGGATCGGGATCCGCTGCGACCAGCTTCAGCGATCCTGTCGCCCGACTGATCCTGTCCCGTCTGCGCGCACACGTTCTCTCTCGCCTCAGTGCATCGAGTGCCAGCGAGAGAGTGCGAACGACGACGACTGCGAGTCAGAGTCTGGCGGGAGCTGGGATGCCTGAGTTTGTAAATGCGGTTGGGAAGCTGGTGGAGGAATTGGAGAAGGTCCGGGAGGTGGATTGGCTCTGTCATGGCGTTTTTTATGAGAGGATATTGGATGAAGGCGTTTCTTCGGGGCAATGATGGTGTTCATATGGTCTTATAATTTTGGTTATGATTTTTTTTTTTTTTTATTATCTATGGACATTAGTACAGTAATGGGTGGTGGAAAGGGAGAATGAATCATTCTACATTCTATTACATTCTTATCATCGACCTCTGCTGCATGCTGTAATTGTAATCATATCAACCCCGCCGACTTCTTTCCTACCCACTTCAACTTCTGTCGAACGACCGAAGAACGCCACAAATCACGAAGGATTTTAAAACAATTCAAAAACAGAATTCTTCCTCAAGTCCCTTTGCTAGGGCCATTAATTGATTCGTCATGGCAGCCGCTGCCATCACCCATCTCTCAGACCTGACACCACCATCGCTCGAACGAACCTGGCTGACAGCACCGCATCCGACCCTCCCCATAGTCGCAACCTGCAGTTCTGACAAGACTATCCGGGTCTATTCACTCACAAACTTTCGACTTCTCTCGACAATAACCGGTGGGCATAAGCGCAGTGTGCGGACATGTGCTTGGAAGCCGCATGTGCAGGGTGAGAGTGTTCTGGCGACTGGCAGTTTCGACGCGACCGTTGGGATCTGGAGACGGTGGGATAATTATGGACGCGGAGGAGAAAGTGGCGCGGGGGACTGGGGACTCAATTCTGGGAAGGATAACGCTGGAGAAGATGGCGAGGTCGGACATGATGATGTCGACGACGAAGACGAAGAAGAATGGCGCTTTGCCGTCCTCCTCGATGGCCACGACAGCGAAGTGAAATCAGTATCATGGTCACCATCGGGAATGCTCCTCGCAACGTGTTCGCGCGACAAGTCGATCTGGATCTGGGAGGACCTGGACGACGGGGACAACAATTTCGAGACGGTGGCGGTGATGCAGGAGCACGCGGGCGATGTCAAATCCGTGGCATGGCATCCGGTCGAGGAGTGTCTGGCCAGCGCGAGCTACGATGATACCATCCGGTTGTGGAGAGAGGATATTGACGATTGGGGGCAGGTGGCTTGTCTTAAGGGACATGAGGGAACGGTTTGGTGTATTGACTGGGAGGGTGTGGAGAGTGGGCCTTATTCCCAGCCTGCGTCAACTTCTTTGGCAGAGCAATGGAAGACAAATCACGCCCTGTCTGGTCCTCGTTTGATTTCCTGCTCTGACGACCGCACTGTCCGTCTCTGGCGAAAGCAGCCGAAAGAGCAACAGCAACAGCAATCAAACATGCCCAGCATCATCCGTCCGACAGGCACGGACGAAATCTGGACGGAAGAGGGTGTTCTACCGTCGGCGCACGATCTCTCCATCTACGCCGTGGCATGGAGCAAACGAACCGGACTGCTGGCATCCGTGGGCGCTGATGGCCGTATCGTCGTTTACCAGGAACAATTCGCCAATGAACAGCAGGACCCCCCAGCTGGTGAGGCAATGGACACAACAGAGGACAGCACCGCTTCGCCCTCTCCCCTCCAAACAAAGTGGAACGTCATTGCGACTCTCGACGGCGCGCATAGTATCTACGAGATCAACCATGTCGCATGGGCAAAGCGAGCGGATCGAGGTCGTGAAGAGGGCAAGGATGAGGAGATCCTGGTTACTACTGCTGATGATGGGAGTATCAAGGTTTGGACACTTGGGTTATGATTGTATATATATCAGGGCATTACTTCAAGAATAAAAAGCACCAATTTATGATGAGATAACACAACTCTCAAATATATACGGAGCATTATTATGTACTAATTATGGATGTTGATGGTATTTGTCCATTCTATCCTGTGGTAATAGTATCCAGTCAATCGCCATGTTCAGATAAATGTAAAATCTGCGTCCCACCCAAAAGACAAAATATAATCAGCAAGAAATTGAAGCAAAATTACGATAAATTATCCTGCGCCTGCCCTGGTCCAGATGGCCGCTGCTCATCTTCATCACTGTCATCGCCTACCGCGTAGTGTTCACGATCCAAACCAGGAGAGTGCAGGTCATCAAGCTCGGACTCGTCAAAGTCTCCTGCTTCCACATCATTAGTGCCAGAGCGCTTGTTGTGGAAACGTTCAAGCACAGACGAGCCATTGTGAGAGGTTTCCTTCTGATAAACACCCCGGTAGCCGCGGTGATGCCGTCGGCTGCGCCAGATGAAGAAGCCCCAGACAGACACACCGATGATAACGACGATCAGAGCAGCCTCGCCGGACTTGGCATAAGCCTTCCATTCGGTCTCTTTGATTCGTTCCTTTTCTTGTTGCTCAGCGGCCGTGCTGTTTGGATGACCACCCACGGAGGTTTGCGGAAGTTTCTCGCCGTCGATGCGCGAGTCGGCCGGACTACCGCCGATACTGGCAATGTCCACTCTCATGAAGCGGTCGACCATGTCCCGACTCTGGCGCGGGACATCGTAGGGGACCATATGGCTTGCGTTGTAGATAAGGACGTAGGTTAGGTTGCGGGCGTATTGGTAGATACCGGCAGGTTCGTCTTCAAATGTCCAGTCATGACGCGGGGCCCAAACACCTGGCGAGGTCTCAAAGCCGGTTCCTCCGTTCCATTTCATGTTGTTAATCAATTGCTCCGTTCCGACATGGTTGCAAATCAGATCCTTGTCGCCGCTGAAGAGAAGAACCTGAACGCCGGATTCAAGTAACTCTGGAAGTAGGCGGACAGAAGGGACGGAATTATGGGCGGTAAATCGACTGCTCACGGCTCCAGTGCACTCTTCCCAGCCGGTCTTCTTTTCCGGGTTGATGTTCAAGGCACTAACCACGTCCGGTCGGCGAAGGTATGGTTTGATGTTTACTAGGTCCGGGGGCCAGTTCATGCCACATGACGGAAAAGAGTCGCGGAGACGAATGTCGTACATGTTGTAACATTCTCTATTCCCATCGACAGTGCGCTTCAACAGTTCCTGTAGCACGTCCTCGCACTCGGGTATGCCGACTCTGTCTGTATCGGCCTCCAGGCGAGAAAGACACACAGATTGCAACACCTCAAGATTCTTCGCAAGCGAACTACCTTCTGTGAGGAGGTTTTCTTCGTAGGCATAAGGCAAGTATGCCTGGTATTGTTCCACCGGGGATACCCAACCGTTTCCGATGAGAAGACCGCGGAGATTCCATTTACTCGCACCACTCTGAGTCGCGTTTTTGTTTCGTTCCTGAATGGCTTTTGCAATGTAGGGTATATGTTGACCGGCATAGGATTCACCCGCGAAGTAGATCTGCACAGAACAAAGCAAATTAGGGGTAGATCAGATATTGAGTGGTTCGAAAGCAAAGACCTACATCATCTCTTTCATATTCCGGAAAGATTTCAAACCACTTCTCGAGAAATGTAATGAAATGGGCCGACATTTCGTCCAATTCATGAATGTAGCTATCCGTGTTGACGTAGCTGAATCCGGTTCCGACGGGTTGGTCGACAAACAGCATGTTGGCGAATTCATCCCAGGAGCCTTCATTGTACTCCAACGTCTGATCGTCCTTGACTCGATACGGACCAACCTCCATCAATGCACCGTCCATGGAGCTGCAACCCGGACCCCCGTTCAGCCAGATAATAGTTCGTTGCCGGTTGGCGATATGACGGTTCTGGAAATGCCAGAAAAAAAGATTACCGTTGTTGTCCGGGTCCACTTCTACATGACTTTAATTATTCTATGCGTCAGTCTCATCTTCCTGTTGTCCAAGTATCCCTGTATGTGCTTCATCGCGAGCGTAACTCACCCAGCATGCATTTTCAGGAGTGGCCCATCCGGAGCCCCCGGTAATGAGCGGACATAATAATCCGCTGCCGATTTAGCAGATACTGCGTCGACACTGTACGAGAAAAGTAGCGATAATGCCCAGGAGGTCATGGAGGAGAGCGAGAGAGCGCTCGCTCCCTTCCTTGAGCCCCTGCCCAAGGATAGCGAGACCATTCTTTTTTCGCTTTCTCTGAACGGAATGACCGATCCCGGGAAGAACCAAATCTCAAAAAGAATATATCAATTAGTTCCGTTAACCGGTATAACAAGAAGAGAGGCAGTTCATTGAAGAAGAGGGCGACAGAATGCGAGTGCTCACGACCGCATCGGAGCTCGTATCGGAGTGAAACGCGGGCGGATGACGTGAGGAGCCGGGTGTCGAGGGACAGACACTAAACTAACAGCGTCTGGACTCTCTATAACAGGTTTGGAGCAGTTGCCAGCACAAAATTAAGGAGAGAATCAGATCAACAAAGTGAGGATATTCTGAAAATGAAGATGAAACAGAAAGCAAGACGCTGGCGTGGCCTTCCAGAACCCCCAAGGCGGTGAGGCAGTGTGACAGGTCTATTACGCCGTCTTGCGGGCAGTTTCTTTGGTTTCAGAAATGGCAATACGGTATCAATACAATGTCGATACAGATCACCTGCCAGATCGGGAGTAGGATGGAATTTATTTTTTTATATATTCGAAAAAGACGTTGAAAGAAAGCAGGAAATCGGCCTCGAACAAGGCGAACCAGAGATGGACAATAATAGCGTTGAGGGAAGAAAGAGACTGGTGTACAAGTAGTGGTGGTTAGCCTTGCTGCGCCTTGCGGAATGGGTCCAGTAGTGAAGAGGGTTCCAAGAGGTATGGGTTCCTTTACATTCATCACAGCGTCTAATACTCGATCTTTCTTTGTACAGGGTAGACCGGGTAGACCGCAGACAGGTTAAAATAGGTCATCGACGCCTTTGTCAGCATCATTCTTGATGAGATCGATCATACCCTAGACAAGTCAGTACTTTAAGTGTTCTGCATGTACAGAGTACCTGCGGGCACCAGTAACGTACAGAAGGCATGATCGGTTGGCCATCCGCACCCTTGACATAGCGGAATGGCATTTCGGTGCGCTCATTCTCGGTGACCCGGATTTCTGGGTAGTCGACGTATGGGACTTGCTTCAGAGGAACTGTTAGTAGATTAGCATCTGTTCAATGCGCTGCGAGTTGACAGTCTCTCACTTCTATCCTGCGAGATCATACGGGTGACTCGCACTGCCGTATCGGTGGTCATCTGCTTAGGACCTAACCGACGTCCTGCGTAGCCCTTTTTTCTCAATTCCTTGGTGCGATCTAGCAGTCATTCTGGTCAATTGCAAAGTAGAGAAGTAACATTTCATAGCATCACCCACCCCGCGGAGGATCATCACCTGGTTTCATACAGTCAGTTAGCTTCCTTCCACAAAAAAGGATAATATATACGGCTGGAAGAAAAGCAAAACCTACCAAGAATACCGCCAAAGAGAAACACTTCAAACTGATCGCCATCGGCCGGGCTCAACTCGACCTGGGCCGCTGGATCAAGCAAGCAGACCTTGTCCTTCCGGTCCGCAAAGATTTCCTCGACGCTGTGCTGGTTAATCTCAAGGCCCTGAGTGGCAGCCAGCTCCTGGGGCAGCTTCAACGATGGGGGCACGGAGCTGAGCAGGAATCGAGCACCTGTTGCGTGGGATTCACGAGCGATACAGCCATATTCCAAGGAAGACCAGGGACCTAATTCGGGGTCGAGGTGTTCGACCACGAAAGTAGCAGGAGTTTTGCTCATATTCTGTTCTTTTTGAGTGAATAGAAGAGATTGGTTATATAGTTAAACTAGAGGGAAAGGGTGATTTTTTTGGGTGCTCCTGTTGTTCTGGGAGAATAGAAATTTTATAGAGAGCGCGAAAAGAACCAAATCGGGATGCGATGGACTGTGGAGAGAAGCGGTTGAGCAGTCGCCATGTATATTCAAATACTCCAGAATATATCATTATTATTATAACATGTTAGATCTTTTTTTATAATAATCTTTCTATCTTGCAAAAAGATATCTTTATTGTTCTGTAATCATTGCCCCTCCATAGTCTGCATACATATTTCTGATAATAACGACCACCACCGCAACAACAATTAAAACATACACTTCTACTCCGTATTTTTGTATACAATTAGAGTCGAACTGGTAGATAATAATATATACATAACACAACAATAATATAATTAAATTCTATTGGTATCACTGCTGTGGTTACCTGTCCGCCCACCGCCCTCTTCCTCTGCCTGCAACCAACTTCATCATCTACTACTCTATTACCACTTCTTCTCTTCAACCTCTCCTTCACCAACCATTCTTCTACCGGCTATTTCTATTCTCTCCTCGAATCGCCTAATTTGAGTGTGTCTGTTCGACTCTCCAGATTCTTCAACCCTCCTTTCTCTCCCTCTTCGTCTGGCAGGGATCTCTCTGTCGCCCAACTGTCGCTCTCTTCCCCGCTTCTCGACCATTGGCTCTGCCCAGAGAACTTTTACTACTGCAACCACTGCCACGGCTTTTATCGCTTCGTATTAGCTCTATTCCCTTAGCTTTTTATCTGCAAAAACCGTTCGGTCTCGCTCCAGTCGCCCAAAATGAATCCTCATCAACAGAACAAGGTTGACATCAGTGTGAGTCTTGGCAGTTAGCCACCTCTAGAAAGAATTAACGAAAAGCCAAGGGATCTGACCGTTGTTACTTGATCACAGTCCCTCAACCCAGATGAGCAGCGTCTGCTGCGTCTTTATGGCAAAATGCCAAACAAGAAGGATCTCCTCCAAAACAAACTCAAGGTGGGATTGTCGCTCATAGTTCGTTCCCTTGACCATTAATCTAATACCAGTCGGCAATCTAGGAACGGAAATATTTCGATTCAGGTGACTACGCCCTCAGCAAGGCCGGAAAAGCCTCAGACGTCGGTGTCACCAACATTGGCTCCCAGCACCCCGTCCCCGAAAACATTCCGCACCTGACGGCCACTTCGCCCGGCGCCAATAACCCCGCCGCCGCCAGCAACGGTGGCAGTGCCAGTTCCCAGGGCCAGCAGGTCCCGGGAAGCAGCATCAGCGGCCACCCCGGCTCCATTGGGTTTCAAGGCAGAAGCCCTGCTAAGGAAGGCAGCTTCTTGCAACAGGAAACCAGCGCAGAGGATTCCGAGGGCGCCAGAGACTCCGCAGCTGCAAAGGACAAGGACGCGCATGAATCCAGTGTCAGTCCACCGCCAGCACGAGAGGGCGTGCCCATCAAGCAATAGTGATCTTCTTTTCTTTCCCCTTTCTTTCTTGTTTCTCCCTTCTTGCCGGGCTGGCCTTCCTTTCTTCTTTTTGCTTTTCTCCTCGCTCCCATTGCCCATGCATTGCTTTGTGGTATAAAAAAAGAGCCTGGCGCTATGGAATATGTTCTGTTGTCCTCTCGATTCTATGCGAGAGCTGTGCTTCTCTTCCTTGATCGGGCCACCAGTCTGGACTGCAGAACAGGAGGTCGAGGGTGAATGGCCGTTGGAAGTGGTGTCCAGACGCAGAGTTTCGTCTGGCCCGATGAATGCGTACATAGGAAGACAGCAGGTTTCCTGTTTCGTGACATCGCTTACTCCATAGTTTCCTCCGGCTCGGCTTGTGTCTCGGTCCTTGCCTGTGCTTGGTCTGCTTGCTTTACCGATCGCTCTTTTTCCATTTTCATCTCCACGCACATGATGCCACGTTCTGCGCTTTAGTTACGCCTTTTCTTCTTGTTCATATGACTTCATTTTGATTGATCATATTGCCATGTTTTCGAGGAATGTATTCTGCCCTATCTTGTTGTGATTTTTTTTTCCACGCATGTGATGCCGTACGCCACGTTTTGTCGTTGTCTATAACGAATTTTTTCCACCCATACCTTATCAAGATTGCTCTTTTTCATTTTGAAGCTATTTTTGTGTCTACATATAAATGCATAATGGTTGCAGGCCAACAAATCGAGTCATTTACTGCTTGACCCTGCCCCAAAGAAGTTAGGTCATATAGATCACAGTATCGATTCATATTCCATGTAAATTAGCTAACTAGTCTCATAATAAATAAGGCCAAATCAAGGCACTGGACGAACTGACACAGTGCCATTTAGGCTATATCATTCGGTTATAATCGTCCACAAAGACATTGCTCAGTAAGAAATCGAAAAGCAAATAGACCAGTTGGAACAGAAATGTAGACACCGAGATAAAACAGACAAAAGATGAGAATTCGAGCGAATGACATGAAGGGGTATAATGGCAAGTAGCAAAGAATATCAAGAGCCAAAAAAAGGGGAAAAGAAAAAGAAATGACAGATGAGCAGCTTCACACGCTGAATCCGATTCCACGTCATAGGACGTGGACTGGACTGTCCCTGCACTGAGCTTCCACGGGTTTCCCTGCAAGCACAGGTCAAAATAATGCTATCGTCTTTCAGAATCATATCATGCAAATATTGCCTTTTTTGACAAATCGGATCCTCCGGGAGTATCCAGATAAGATGCCAGGATAATGGGCAGTACCCCGGAGACCCAAGCTGTGCGGGTTTCTACCGGACCTCGTCAGGTGCACTTATAAATGGTCCGATCTCTTGTATGAGTCGGAGATGACCAAGAGCGGAATATGCTCGGTCTCGTAAACCGAGGTCTCTGTAATGGTGCTGGTAACAGTGTATGCTGGTTTAGATGTAAGCGCCCCCAGATTAAGGGGACAAAAAGAATGGTCGAGGAATCGTCAAACCACGAATCATCGTACCTGGTCTAGCGTAGACAATTCAGTCTGCCTTCCAATGACCCGCCAGACCAGTGTCGAGGCTGTCGTTTTCACCCAGATATAGCTCAACCGCATACAATCCCAGCGTGCAGGCGAGGTTAATCCATCTCCAGAAATTTCCCCCGCCACCTCCTTGGGTGCTCCACCATTCACCACTACCTCCCATCGCTTCGGAGGTCGAGGAAAAATGCTGCATCAAAAGACTGGTATAGACCGAGATAAGAATGGAGGGAGAGAAGTAGCTGAGGAATCCCAGGAACTGGCCCGCCGCATCAGAGTCATCCAGAGAAGCTTCTTGGAACAAGGCACGGGCTCCAGATTCACGAACAGCTGGGATAATCCGTGTCGAGGCGTAGAGCACCAAGAGACGATAGGCGAGCGAGATAAGAACCGATGGTGTCACTGCACCAAAAACCGCGTTGATCACGTTGAAAGCTGCATGGATGATGGAGGGAAGGAGGGACAGTGCGTGCATGAGGGTGGTGTAAGATGCCATGATGATGGGAGGCAGAGGGGGGAAATCTCCTGCTTGCGATGGCGACGGAATCTGTTCGACCGGATGCGAGGGCTTGTAATCGGTAAAGATTTGATAAATGCACAGGACGACATAAGCAAACAAGAGGGAGCTTTCCACTGGATTTCCACGGCCGCTGCCGATCCCCCATGCACACAAGATCACGGCACATGTGATGGAAACGCCGATTAGAGCTGCGTCGACATTTGAAATCTCGGGGAACTGGAGGACCCGCCAGAGGAAGTAAACGGAACTGGATATAATAGAGGCGGACATCACCAATAGGCCGATCTACGAGAAGATTAGCCTCCCTAATGCATAGCCATAGGAAAGAAAGAACATGGGTACATACCATCCAACTATCACTGCGTCCACCACGGTTGACCAGCCACCTGGTGATTTGTCCTGCAGCCTGAATGACCAATAGACTGCAGAACCCCTCTACCAGCTGAAAAACCGGAGTTGACCATCGCAAAAGCTTCTCCCAGTTGCCAATTGTCACGGTTTCCACCAATCCATCGGGACCAAACAACCATTCTTGAATCGACGAGTCCTGGGCTCTCTTTCCGCTGAAAGTCCGCTCCACCCATGAGGTAGAGTTATCCGCATCAATGGAGAATCGATTCAGCGACCAGATAAGGAGGATCGGGATAATAAGCCATTGCGTAGAACTGATGACAACGATCAACGAGGATCTAAGCCACGACCGGTCCGGAGTGGTGACCTTTAGAAGGGAAAAGAGAAAGTAGAAGGTCGCCAGAGAGAGCGAAAAGGCCAAGCCGCACGTCTTCCCACCCACATCAAATGCTAGTGGAATCGACGAGACTGTGACCGTGAGGAAGAAGGCCGACGAGAGGGCGCGGAAGAGCCACATGGGGTTCGACGTAAGACGAAACGATATCACTGGAACGAGCGGGGGTTGTTGATAATAGAGAGGAGGGGGAGAAAAGGGTCGATGATGTGACAGCTGCTAGATACACGCGACGAGGCACGAACCAAGGTTGGATTCCCAGTTAGGTATTAGGTACCTATTATCCGTATACCCAAGAGAGCTGAGCAGAATGACAAAAAAGGATGTAGATGCCTGACTTCACATCAAGCTGGTTTATCTGTCTGTGCCCCTCACTTTATTTTAATTTTTTTAAATTTATTTTTTTTCTTATATATTTTTTTTAGCTTCTCTGGTCACGTCCGTGTGTCAGTGTAGTGCCTTTTTTTTTTTTTTTTTCGATCTTATCTCCAGGCGGGTCAGAATATAAGACGAGTTTCACGTGGTGAACTTGACAGTAGCGCAATGAACGTAGAAAAGTATATCTCTTTGACGCGTGTGTATGTTTTCGCTTGTCCGTTCGAGAAGGGTTGAACCAGTCGACGGTGCAATCTCAGGCGAAATTTGCGCTGGACAGGGTACAGCTGGTTCCTGCGCGGCACTTGCAGGCTGGGGGACGAGGCGGTGGGCTCCAGGATTGTAGCGGTCAGAAGCAGCAGAGAAAAGCAGAGAAAAGCAGAGAATTAGAGCGAAGAGTGCAGGAAAAAGAGTTGTAAATGAAAGAATAATCACTGCTGGAAAGAATTATTCCAGTGATTATTACAAGAAGAGACAGAAACGGAAAGTCGAAGGCAGACAAGAAAAGAAAAAGGGACAAATACTGATTAGAGAGGAAAACACGAGCATGTGACAGCGCGTAAGGCTGATACAGCGATTATTACCGTCCGTATTAATGCCTTGCTCTAGTCCTGATATGGACACCACCACCTGATGGAGGAAGCCCTCTGATAAGAGCCCTAACTATTGTCCAGATAAGGTAACTCATCCAGATTTTCCCTCCAAGGTGACAACAACGATATATTGTCCATACAAACTGAACTACTCATTGTTGGTTTATGTTTAGACTTCGACAGCTGTTCAGAATGGCCGAAGAAATTACTGCAAAGAAGCTCAAGACCTCCCCTCCCGTCCTCGGGACCCATAAGTATGTCCTTGCTCACTTCCAATAACGTTTGTCTGGTTACTGATTACGATTCCTTCTTCAAGCGGTCATTTCCATGCCGACGAGGCTCTCGCTGTTTACCTCCTCCGTATGCTCCCTACATACTCCTCTTCTCCTCTTGTTCGTACCAGAGATCCGGCCCAGCTTGAGCAATGTCACACCGTTGTCGATGTCGGCGGGGAGTATGATCACTCCCGCAACCGCTATGACCATCACCAACGGACTTTCGCGACCTTCTTCCCCAACCACGAAACGAAACTCTCGTCTGCTGGATTGGTGTACATGCACTTTGGTCGTGCGATCATTGCCCAGCATATCGGATTGCCGCTAGACCACGAAGATATCTCCATTCTGTACGAGAAGCTCTACACCAGCTTCGTTGAGGCCATCGATGCCAACGACAACGGTATCTCCTCTTACGACCCCGCAGCCATCGCATCAGCTGGTATCGAGAAGAGGTTCAAGGATGGTGGGATCACCATCACCTCCGTGGTGGGCGATATGAACAACCCGGACCCCACCTGCCCGGAAGAGCCCCAAGATGAAGACAGTCTCTTTGGTCGCGCAAGCACCTTCATTGGAAACGTCTTCACCCGCAAGCTGCACCACGCCAGCACATCTTGGCTGCCCGCCCGCACGACTGTCCGTGATGCGTATCACTCGCGACGGGACGTCCACCCCTCCGGCCGCATCATCGTGTTGCCCAAGGCTGGTATCCCCTGGAAGGAGCATCTGTACAATTTCGAAAAGGAGGCTTCGGGTGGTGGAGAAACCAGCCCTGAGAATGAGGTCTCCTATGTTCTCTACGCCGAAAGTACCGCAGAGGACGCTAAGTGGCGGGTGCAGTGTGTCTCAACCTCCGAAAGCAGCTTCGAGTCTCGCAAACCTCTGCCTGAGTCGTGGCGTGGTGTTCGTGACGCGGACCTGGACGGCGTTATTGCTGCAGAGGCAGAGAAGTCCGGCAAGCCCAAGATTCCCGAGGGTGCCATCTTCACCCACGCGAGCGGGTTTATCGGCGGTCACAAGAACAAGGAGGGTGCTTTTGCCATGGCCGTGCGGAGCTTGGAGCAGTAATAACGATTGATGCACTTTTAAATATACAATTTATAACGAGAGCAAAAGAAGAATTCGATACATTCATATTCCCATAATTCGATTCCAAGACGGGTGTGGTCCCAGCGGACATTTCAGACATAGATCATCATCCATAAACATATTTACAACATCATTGCGGGCGTCAATGCAATTAGAATTGAGATTACTTCAATTCTTGGCCTGCCAGATCCCATTCGACCCTGCTTATTCCACCAGCGCCCATCAACCAGAGCGTCTTGAGCTCAGGACCGGTCCAAGCAAAGTTCTGAACGGTGTAGTTGGTCTGAACCGTCAGGAGAAGCTGACCAAAGGAGTCAAGGACATCTACACCCCTCCCGTTTCCTGTAAGTATGTACCCATTTGCAGCCACCTTGAGGCCATCAGGCACGTATTCAGGAGACAGGTAGACAGGTCGTTTGTTCGTAGCGCGGGTGCCATCCTCGCTCAGGTCAAATGTGTAGATGGTTCTGCTCTGGTATTAGTATTTTCATAACAATGAGATGGCCATCAGCCAAAGAGCGACATACCTGTGTCCCACTGATGAGTTGAAGGTGTTCTTGTGTTGGCCGAATTTCGGGTCAACCGTGTTTCTTCCAGCGCCTAGATGCAGACATGTTAGGCGAATACTGTCTAAAAGGGGTTGAAATAATGATACGCACCGGTGTCACTGATGTACACAAGCGTACCCTCCGGATTGAACGCAATACCATTAGGCTGGGTAATGCTGTCATCCACCACGAACACAGCGCCAGAGGTCGCATTATATCGGTAGCTGGCGGTTGGAAGCTGAGGAGCGGTGTCGGTGAGAGAATTCCACCATGAATAGTCTGGGTCGGTGAACCAGATATCTCCCGTTTTCGGATGCACGGCAACATCGTCAATCGTATTGAAATAATATCCAAAGTAGTTGTTGACCAGGGTTGTCGATTTGTTCGTCTTTGGGTCCACTGTTCTCAACCCCAGCCGTTGCTCACTGCCACCGATGGACCCGTTTCCGCCTGACGCACCCCAGACGATCTTGCCGTTGTGGAACGTACCGCCATTGGGAGCGTAGACAGGCGGGTTCGAGAGATATTCGGACAGCTTTGGCGGATCCTGATTCAAATCGACGACCAGCTGGGGGAGATATCCCGGCGTCAACTGGGACAGGTAAAGCTTGTTCTGCGAGGCTACATAGACAGGCGCTTCGTGCACGACCTCGGGAACTTTGAACATGAACTCATAGCTGGGCTTAGAGCCCAGGAGCTCGAGACCGCGTTCTTTGTCGAAGACAAGGAAATCGGCTGATTTGACGTCATTTAACCGAGTACCATTGCCGTAGGTAATGTCGCCAAAAGTCGAAGGGACATCGGCAGTAGATAGCCTGCGGAAGAAGTGGTATCTAACGTGCACATTCCCTATTAACATCCAATATTGCACATGGCTCTTTGGCTTCTTGACTTACGGGAGCACATTGGCATATTTATTGATGCATACCACCGAGGGACCGCAATCTTCCGAAATCGGGTTGGTAACACCGGTCTGCGCACGAGTAATACCAGCTAGAAGGAAACAAAGGGTCGAGAAGCGCGCATGCATTTTGAAGCAATCGCTCTATGAGATGGTGTGTTCTGTAAGGACCGGGAGGGGAGGAACTTGGCGGAAAACCAGGAACCGAGAAACACTCTTCTTCTCAGGTTGACCCCATAAGGCCATCGGTCTGTTTATATCGTTTCCGATCCCTGGCCTTATTTCCGGACTTCGTTATTGTTGCTGTTTCTCCACAGTTCCACAAACCAAGGGGGGTTTAGAAGTTGATGGCACTATTCCATAAAAACCTCGCATTGCATTAATCGGAGCACGAGTCCAATCCAATCGAAAAGGTCACCAGTCCCAAGGTTTAGCCGGTTTCCAAGCTTGGCTTTCTGATCTGCAACAATTCAATTTATTAGCGGGCAACTAAAATGCCCGATTGTGGGGGGAAGCCCGATCGTCGATGAGGCCGCAAGGAATGCCGAAGAGGGAGAGACAACACGGCTGTTGTCGTTTTCAATTGCAGCAAGTCGATACCGAAGACGGCGAGGTTCGTTTGGACTGAGGCATATTTGCTGCACTTATGACTCGGAACAACTCCGAACGAACCGCCATAAAATAAAGGACGGCAGTATGCGGGGGCGGGGAGGAAGGGGGGGGGGGGGGGGGGGAAGTAAAGAGGGGTCATGAAAGGGAAAAAAAAAAGAGGCGCATGGTCAGTGACCACGGCAACAACTGCAACTGCAACTGCAACTGCAGCGGCAATGACAGTATGATAAACCATAAAACTCAATGCCGGATGTTCAAAGAACTGATATCTTCGATGCTACCAGTTCCGTCACCTGATGTTGCTGCTCCAGCTGGAGTGCCTTTGGCGCCGGGATGTATATCTGACGTGTCTTCACGCTCCCCCAACGCACGCTGAATGAGTTTGGCCTTGATGATAGCTCCCTTCAATCGTTCGTCCACATCTGTCACCGCTTCCTCTGTATTCGCCATGACTAATGATGCAGGATCGACTAATTCGAGCAGAATATCGAGGTTCTTCGCCAGCCGTGCACTAGGCGGGAGTGTCGCCATTTCTGCGCAGACGGATGGGTCCAAAGAAGCATCCAAATCTTTGTGGCTGATCGCATCTGTTGTAGAGATATCATATGTATCTGTCTTTGCACCCGGCTGCTTGGAAACTTTGGAATCGGCGAGTCTCTGAGCCCAAACCAACGCCTTTCCATACAATCGTCCCATTTCGACGAACTTTTCGAAGCCCTTTTCAACAGCAAAGACGCTTCCCTCGGTATATCCAGCTTGAGCACCATCAGCAGCTCCCAGATCGTAGCCTTCTTTGTAGAATTCCTCCTCCAGATCTAGGAGACTCTCCAGTAAGTGATTGCTCTCCATCTGGCCAAAGCAACGCGACGTGTGGGATTAGAGACACCAGAAGAATAGAAAATAACTCGAACAGCATATAATTTCAGCGTTATACAAGAAGATTGTGAGTCAGTCGCCAGGTGGTTGCAGTCAAGAGAAGCAAAAAAGTTGAATGATGAATCATCCGCACTTTTTCTCTCGGCTTTCCTGTTTGCCCCTCCATCCATAAAACCCCCCCGCCATTCTTTTTCAGAGTCTCGAACAAAGATTCAAAATGGCTTCAGATCCCAAAATTCTGCCCCAGAAGGGCGCGCGCAATATCCTCGTGACGAGTGCATTGCCATATGTCAATAACGTGCCTCATTTGGGCAACATTGTCGGTTCCGTGCTGAGTGCCGATGTTTTCGCGAGGTATCCAACAATCTCTTTATCATAGAGGTCTCACTGGTACTAACATATTCTTTCTTAAAGATACCACAAGGCTTGCGGACGACCGACTCTCTATATCTGTGGTACCGATGAATACGGAACTGCGACAGAAACAAAGGCCCTCGAAGAGAAGGTGACGCCGGAGGAACTGTGTGCCAAATACAACAAGATTCACCAGGAAGTCTACGAATGGTTTGAGATTGGATTCGATCACTTTGGCCGGACCCCGACACAAAAACACACCGAGATTTCGCAGACGATTTTCAAGAGGCTCTATGAGAACGGGTATCTCGCGGAGAAGACGGCAGAGCAACCGTTCTGTGAAGCGCACGGCTCGTTCTTGGCTGATCGATATGTGGAGGGAGAGTGCCCGCGATGCCATTATGATGACGCCCGTGGTGACCAATGCGACAAGTGTGGTCATCTGTTGGATCCATTTGATCTCATCAACCCCCACTGCAAGCTCGACGGTGCCACCCCCGTCCGCCGCGAGACCAAGCACATCCATCTCCTTTTGGACAAGCTGCAGCCGCAGATCGAGGAATGGTCTCGCAACGCTATTGACAAGGGCGACTGGCCCAAGAATTCCCGGGTGATCACTGAGTCATGGTTGAAGGAAGGCTTGAAGGACCGTGGAATTACAAGAGATCTTAAGTGGGGTGTGCCCGTTCCCCTTGATGGATTTGAGAACAAGGTGCTCTATGTGTGGTTCGAGGCCTGTATTGGCTATCTTTCGATCACGGCCAACTACACGACGGACTGGGAACAATGGTGGCGTAACCCGGAAGAGGTGCAGTTGTACCAGTTCCTGGGCAAGGACAACGTGCCTTTCCACAGTGTCATCTTCCCCGGTACGCAGCTGGGAACCACGGACAAGTGGACTATGCTGCACCACTTGAGCACGACTGAGTATCTGAACTACGAGAACGGCAAGTTCAGTAAGTCGCGCGGAATCGGTGTTTTTGGCAACAACGCCAGGGAAATTGGTGTTTCCCCCGACGTGTGGCGGTATTTCCTGCTGAAAAACCGTCCCGAGACCGGTGACACTCAGTTCGAATGGCGTGCGTTCGTGGACAGCAACAACAGTGAACTGCTGGCCAAGCTGGGTAACCTGGTCAACCGGGTAATCAAGCTGGTCACTGCCTCGTACGGCTCGACTATTCCCGATTTCACCGTCCCCGAAAGCTTCCAGCCGAACCTGGACGAGGTCACCGGCCTGCTCCGCCAGTACATCGAGGAGATGGAGAGCGTGCACCTCCGCGCCGGTGTGCAGACAGCCATGAGGATCGCCGAAGCCGGCAACGGCCTGATCCAGGCTAACCGTCTGGACAACTCTCTCATCGCCAACGAGCCCGGGCGGGCCGCCGCTGTTGTTGGTACCGTGCTCAACCTCATCTACCTCCTCGCCAGTGTGTTCGCGCCCTACCTCCCCGCGACCTCCAAGTCTATCAACGAGCAACTGGACGCCCCCTTCGCTTACATCCCCACGCTGGAGGACATCAAGGACGGTTGGAAGCCCACTGCCTTGAAGCCCGGCCACAAGATCGGCAAGGCCCAGTACCTGTTCTCGCGCATTGACTCGAAGAAGGCCGACGAATGGCGAGAGAAGTTCGGCGGTTCCCAGGCCGAGCGTCAGAAGAAGGAGGAAGACGCCGCCAAGGCTGCCGCGAAGAAGGCCGCCAGCAAGGCCAAGAAGAAGGAGAAGAAGGCCGGCAAGCCTGCTGATGCTGCTGCTCCTGCGGGTGGTGTCGAGGCTTCTGCCAAGGGAGGTGCAGAGGCAACTACTGCTACCACTGAGGGCAAGAATGACGAAGCTGTTGAGAAGGTCACCGATGGTGTGTCGCAGGTTACGATTCCGACATCATGAACGATTCTATTCGCCTTTCTTTTTACTTTCTTTCTTTCGTTATTTCTTTTTCGGGGTTGAATATTACTTTTTCTGCGGGTTCATTTAACTGTATTTGGGAGAAACGAGCCATAGCATGAGATATATGAATGATGTAGACGAACGAAAATAAAATGTGATGTGATATTGAATTTTATCCCTACTCTAGCCCTGGCTAAGAACTATTACTACACTAATGCTAACCAAAAGCCGCCCCCAAGTACATTATTCAGCCTCAAGGAGGGTGCTTCCATGTCAGAATTCTCTCTCCTGTCCATTATCTTTCGACACCCGTAACGTAGGACTCCTGGCAGACAAAGGTCTTTTTCCATTAGAAGAAGCAATAAAAAAAAATAAAAATAAAATAAAATAAAAATAAAAAGGCAAATTGCCTATACTGATTTCGCTCGTCGTATGCATTCCCAGACATAATAAGAAAAGATAACATGAAATAAAACAAAACCATTCATACCATAAACCAATCCATCTATCACCCAATCACCTCTTTCTCGCTCCCGCTCGAGGCTTCACTTCTTCTGGCGCAACAGGATGAAGCATCACCTTGTTGGGCAATTGTTGGGTGTTGGCAGAGTAACCCTTACTCCAGTCGTAGCTGACAGCGTAGGCAAAAATATTTCCAGTGCGGTTGAAAGCGGTGCTGGAAATTGTTCCCCCAACGGACGGATACCCCTTCAGACGATGTTTGGCATCCTTGTCCCAGAAGTGGAAGGTGCCGTCACTACCGGCGGTGCTGAAGGTACCGTGAACGGGATGGAAGGTGATAGAGTTGAGGGAATAGATGTTGTTGATGTCGCGTTGGTTGGGCGGGGTCTCACGGTGGCATTTGAAGCTGAAGTTGGAGCTCGAGTCCTTCTCTTCAACATACTGGATGGCACAGCGACCCTCGATACTACCAACGGCAAACCCAGTGGAATCAATGAAACAGTTGACTGTCCGCGTCTGCCACTTGAGGGGAGACTGCATGGTTTTGTAGAATTTGGTGGGGCTATCGAGATTGACGATGTTGATGTACCGGTCCGCCGTACCGATAACGAGGAGTTTGTTCTTCACGTCCATGGTGTACACTCGCTCCTGACACTCGAGCGAGGCGATGGGGGTGGACTGCCGCAGGTCCCAGTATTTGACCGTCTTATCCCACGAACCGGTGATGAGAAGGGGGGAGTTTCCTGCGGGGTTTGGAATCATATCACAGCATCGAATCGGAGCATCGTGAGCCGCGACCTGCACGGGAGTCGTAGCGCCGGCAGCAAGATCGAGCATCCGGGCAGCTTTATCGGCACCAGCCCCGACGACCTTGGTCCCATCCTGCGCACACCGACAAGTCAGCCAAATCAAATCCGCTGAACGTTCCGCAATTTGCAACCTACCGGAGACCAGCAACAGCTCAATACGGGAGCTTCGTGCTCAAAGAGCGCCTTTCCTTCACTTTGTCCCTGCTCGTTGATCTCATAGATGCGGACCTTCTTGTCCCAGGACGCGACGGCAAGGTGTTCGCTGGCGGGGGAGAAACGAAGATCGGAGATACTGTCCTCGGGAGGAGAGTTGAGCGCGACATCCTTGGAGATATCGCCGGTGGTATTGGTCTGAGCTGCTGATGTCGCCGCAGCGCCGACGGAACCGAAGAGCGACATTTCGTGACCGTTTTTCTCTTGCTTTTTTGGCCCTCCTTTTGTCTTTTTTTATACAAAATCAAACCAGAGCTAGAGAAACAAACGAACAGAAAGATAAGGGGGTATCAAAAAAGCACAATTGAAGAAGAAACAACGAATGAGAAACGAAGAGAAGGTCTTCAAAATCAAAACGAAGCGACGCGGTGGAAGTGGAAGAGCTCTTCGTCCTAATGAGGTTAGGCTGCGGCCTGAGGCAAGAAGGAAACAAACTATGTAAACAATGCAATTACAGCAAATCAATCAAACTAGACAGAATAAACAAAATAAACAAACAACCCTAAACGGGGCCCAAGTATATAATATCAGCATCGTCATGATTTTAACTACGATTACTGTGGAATGACAATGGCCTGATCGAACCCATGGCTCTACATCCAATATTATTGGGAAATTCATCATGCTGCATTCGCCACTCGTATCAGAGTTCCGCCATTCCGTCGTCCAATGTCATACCATCAACACCCATATTCCGGCATAGTCTACTTCAAATTGCGTGTACATATCCAATGTCAATTCAACCCGGATGTTGGTCATGACGCATGTTAAAAGAGGAGAAAAGCTCATGTGAGAGCTCTGTAAGTTTGAGCTACCAGAGAAACATCTCACGTCGAGTGTTGTATACCTTGAATCGACTGTCCCAAAACGGAAAATGCGGGGGTGCACAACCAAGCTCTCTCTCTCTCCACGTCAGGTGATCTTCCGATGATCCGTCGCAAAGTACTGTTTGTATACTCACTATACGGGATATTGTACAGTATGACATTGTACAGTATACCCCTGTATGTGGTGTGGTATTTTGTCAATGGGGCATCGGAAGACGAGGGCCTCGTCATGACCAGGTTACAGCCCTGCTTGATCTGATTTGATCCTGCCATAACCCTAGAGCGTACGTGTAGCACTCGACATAGTATATCCCCGGTAGTATCGCCGGGTCTGGTTCGGGGTCACCTGCTCTTCTCCTCTTTTCTCTCCCGTCTCCTCCTTTTCTTTCCCTGATTCTTCTCATCTGCCTCTCCTCTCTCCCTCTTTTATTCCTCTCCTTCACATCATTGTTGCTTAACCTATACTCAGTTATCAGGTAAGGCTCTGCTACCTTTGAGACCAACCTACTTGAACACTATAGCTAATTCCTACCATGGCCTAGTTCACTACCGTCGTCACCATGTATACTGAACAGCCTGAACTCACCAGGGTTGATTCAGCCGTCGCAGGCTTGGGTACATCTCCCCAAGATGAGAAACCTCCCATTACAAAGATCGAACATAGGCGCAGGTCGTCGGTGGCAGAGGGTGTCTTCAACATCAAAGACTTGGGTACGGTCTCTCGGTCCACTCGGTCCAGAGAAGCGAACTAAAACCATTGATGTTCCCAGAGGCCCAACAGATTGAACTGGTACTTCCAATCGAGACGCAGAAAACTGGGTGGTACGTGTACCCATCTTCTCGATCAATGTTTTTCATTGCTGTCATATCCATTGACACCCTTCCAGGAAACTCAATACCTCGCCAAACAGCATCGAGGACAAAGACATGCTCAAACTGTACCTCGTCAACCCTCCCGTCAAGAAGATTGACCTGCACTTCCCACTAGGCTTGGAAGTAGCTGCTCGCAACAGTAAAGGTGTCACCATCAAGGACGCGCTGGACGCCATCTACAAGCAGTTCAAGAAGAAGGTATCATCCGCCGTGTCCCTACTGTTTTGGACAATGCTAATTTCTTCTGCATAGTCCGATGATGAAATGGATGCTCCCTATCTTGCTGGCTTTGAGTGGAACAAGAAGGAGTGCTGGACACGTCTGGTCGTCCACCAGAAGCATCACGGTCCAGTACAACAGTCGCGCAAGAAGGGCAAAAAGGCAAAGGAAGAGGCATAGATGCTGATCATCCCTCCATAATGACGTCTCAAAGAAAGGTTTCTGGTATGTCTTCCATATAGTTTTGTTCCCGGTGCTCTCTGCCATATTCAAGTTTGGAATAATATCTATAATCATTTGAATTAGTCAATTTTGTAACATCATCGCAATCTTCGTAGTTCTCATACACGGTCATATCTATCATCCAAGACAAAGGCTGAAAGCATAAGGGTATAAATAGTAACAGCAAATTCATGACCAGCCCGGAACCACTCCCCCGAATAACACTAACACCAGCTCATCCAAGATAGTAAAGACGAGATGCGTATTGAGCCGTTGGTTATTCAACATAGCAAAGATCCTCCTTGCCGCGCCTTGCGCATTCGCCCGTCCAACAACATTTCCTGCGAGATCTGGCACCAGCGTCGCCAGCACCACGCTCGCTTCAGTGCGACTCTTGAATCGCTGAGACGGCGTCCGCACGGTATTCTGTCGCAGCACGCCATTCGGCCACATCGTCTCCCGCGCGAGATGGATGTATCGAAGCAACGACTCATCCTGAACGAGTGAGCGGGCTCCCTCGCGCACTTTGCGCTCGATGGTCCCGCCCAGGAGCTGATGGAGGACTACGACCACGGCGCGGCCGCGAAGCCAGTTGTTGCCCTTATTCAGATCAAAGGCTTCCAGGAAGAGGTCGCATATTGGTTTGATAAACGGTTCTAGTTCCCGGTCCTCAAATGCATTGAGCTCCGCCTCTGCTTCGGCAGCGGTTACAGAATCCTCTGCGTTGACAAGGTTCGCTGCTGGCGAAGAGGCGCCAGCCTGGTAGTTGGTCGTCGCGGCGGAGATGAGGTTCTGCCCAGCCGTGGAGAGCTGGTCTAACACACCGAAATTGGCTAAGAAATCGTCCATGCCATCCGTCACCGAGTTGTAGATCCGGGTAACCAGATCCTTGGTCTCGTCATCGCGGGGACGAATCTCATCGCGCGAAATTATGGCCCGTTGGGAGAGAAACGCACGTAGGTCACGACTTCGACACACTTCCGGCAGTAGCAATAGCTTTTGGAGGTAGCTCTCCAATGCCATTCGTCGCTTCTGCAGAAAATCCTTTTGCAATTTCATCACCATACGGCGACGCGGAAATTCTAAGTGACGGACCGATGGGTATCTTGTGCGTAATTTGTGATGCAGGTCGTGGAATTCGCTGTAGCGACGGGCTACAGCCCAGGATGCCGCTGGCATCTGCTCCCCCGCATTTCTCTGGACTTCAACCACATCTGCCAAGAACGTTAGTTAAGTGGTTCCATAGGGAGATATCGGCATGTTACATACATAGAGCATACTCTCGGCCATCTGGCTCCTTGCCCACCACAATGGATTTTATTTGGACAGTCGACCGGCCATATAAGCTGTTGTCGCTCTCTTGGATGATATACTGTTGGCGCTGCATCTCTTTCCGATGACCTTCCCGCTGAATGCTAGCCTTGGACTTGCGCAAGATCCGCAGCTCAGCCGTGTTATTGGTTAGCTCAGCTTTCCGAGTTAACGCATCCACAACCGATTCCTGGGAGCCCAGCTTTTCGATCTCGGTGGTGAGCGCCTCAATTGCTTCTGTCAAACCAAGATCACCAGGGGCTGCTTCATGGACTTCATCGGCAGGGTCTTTGTCTTCCGTTTCAGCTGGTTCTTCGTATTCATCCTCGATGAACTTCTGCTGGTCCGGAAATAGGTCATCATCGAAAACACCCCGTCGTGGCGACTCATCGACGAGACCTAATGAAGCAATACTAGGTTTTGTTTTCTCATCGGTTCGGATTTCTTCCCGTGACAATTCCACCGAGCTGCGCGATGACTTAGTAGGACTCCTGCCGTTGCCATATAACTCAGGTGGGACCAAGTCATCATGGTTGTTATTATTATTGTTGTTTTCTGGTTTACTATTTTTTGGTGGTTCATCGGTAATGATATCGTTCAATGCCGCCTCCATCGTCTCGATAACTTGCCTTTGACTTTTTTCGTGTTCTCCATTCTGCGAGTCTTTGCCGAGACTATGTGTAGACATGGCGAGAGGATCGGTATCGTGTTCATCGTCGAATAAAGGGGCGGAACGTTCAGAATCCAAAGAATTTCGGGGTGATACATCATCATCATCGAAGAGCTTTCCTGTACTCCGGACATCGGTCGATGAAACGGCAGCCCGACGAAGATCCTTCGATTTGGCTCCTGCCTGAGACATCGTACGGCCAGTCAAAGGAGGCAAGGGCCGTCTTTCAGGCGCCTCAAGACTGGCTGCAGGACTAGGCTGATGAGCGGCTAATCCTCCCAACTTCGAACCTTGATCCGACGCAAGGTACTTGTAGTACAGATCCGACTGTTTAAATCTAGGGTAATGGACATTCTCCATTTCTTCCAAGACCGCAGATTGCGAGGTCAAGATCACAGTCCGCGCCTGGTGGTACTGGTCTGAAGTCGCCCGTTTTCCCGCACTCAGAAAAGCTTTCACCATTCGGCAAGACCCGTCTGCGACTTTGATTTCAGGTTTTGTCAAGTACGTTTCGCTGATTAGTGCCATATCATTCCTATCGGCTGTGTTCCAGGTCGTTGAACTAGGGGACGTTTCGTCCCCAAAGTCATCTTCGAGTGGATTGCGAAACCCGTCAACCACGATCCAGAACTGCACTAATGACATGAGCTTTTGACGGTCCATGAACTCCATAAAGTAAGAGAGACCAGAAGGATCGTGCATCACATCCACTAGAGACATCTCGTGAGACGCTGGTGCGCTATTGCGGCGCAAATGTGATGCATTTGCCGTGGCATGCGGAAATCTACTACTTCCGGGCGCTGAAAGTTTGAGCACCTTTTGATCCAGGACTCTCTTGCTCGTCTCCAAACGACGAATATAAACCTGGTCTTGTCCTTCCACCATGCTTTCTCGCTTCAGCTGGCTGGCGACAAGCGCTCTGAATCGCCGGGCATCCGAAAGGTTATTACATCTCCGAATTGCCCTGACAAAACGCTCAAAGGCACGTTCCGAATCATGCGGCGAGAGCTTGGGAAATGAACGTCCACGTTTTGAATGAGGCGTGGGAGACGCATGTTCGTCTAAAGCTGCCCGAAGCTTTCGTACGGTTTTGCGATCATGGAGGGCTGTCCGTCCATATGCCTCCATCAATTGATTCCATGTATCTGGGTCCGAGAGTGTAGATACAACTGGGAAGAGGACGGCACAGGCGAAGATCTCCCGGATTAACACAGCAACAACGCGGCTGTTGAGTATATTCTTTGGGAATAACTGTGGAAGTAGCCCAACGGAGATTTTCCGCAAGTATTCCTGTTCTGCCAGCTTCTGGTCGGAGAGGGACAGCGAAACCGCCGGGTGAAGACGCCCCTCGCAGTATTTGCTCGCAATAGCAAGATCCAACTCTTCTGACTCGGTTACATTCCGTGTCAAATTCCGTCCCCGGACTGACCGCTCCGCGATATCAAATTCTCTGAGATGGGTGGTGAAGATGGGAAATATGCGCGACACTATTAGTGACACCAAATCCTCTGCCAGCAGACTATTATGAAGATTCCCAATCGCAACCCGAATCATTCGGTCCACGTCGTTGACAAACACTGGGCTCGGGCTGATGTTTTGGTACCATGACGAGATAAAATCGCGAGTAATGAGGGTCAGAGTCTGATCAACTGCTTCCGACACGACGAACGATTGAGGATAGATGGGCTTGGAATCATAGGTGGAGCGTTGGCGAATTGCGTAGGTTTCTTTCTGCCAGTGCTTGGGAGTGATGAATGCCAGAGACGTAGTCTTCGCACGAAATCTAGCGGCATCCCGTGTCCGTGTTGTCAGAAACACAAGACCCAGCAGCGAAATGAAAGAGGCTATAGCGCCTAGAACGACCGCATAGCCAAGGTATCGCAGCACTGGGAACCATTGAACCACCAAACCCCATGCGATGAATCCTCCGAGTCCCCCCAGAACAACGAGATCGCGACTGCGGGCCATTGTCCCCGGACGTGAGCGAGTGACTGACGTCCCATGCCGGTCAAGTAATGACGACGTGCAGATGAGAAGCAATGCAGACCATTTTGGAGCAGCGACGGCTTATCAATTGCTCTATTGCGGATAACTAACAGTCCAACATCGGCGGTGAGGGACTTTGACAGCTTTCGAGGTACGCGTTGAATGGGATATGGCCGTTTTATTGGTAGGATTGGAAGGTCAGCAGAGGTTGGAGGGTTAGAGAAAGCTATAGATCACCAAAAAACACAAAAAAATCAAAAAAAAACAAGACAGAGTAGAGCATCTGGATATCTTTCCCTCATAAGCGCCGAACAATTGTTGTCGATATGGCTATTCCTCCTCGACGTTGACAGACAAAAAAAAAAAAAAAAAAAAACACAGGAATAAAAGAGTGTGTTGAGAAATGCTTCAGTTGTTGTTTTTCGAGATGTCAAGTTCGGGGTCACGGGACAAGACGTCATGTGCCGGCAGTACAGCCCGTGACAGTAAATTACGGAAGTGTTGTATTTCCGCCGCCTTCTCCTCATTTCCCTCTCGTGTCCCTCTCTTGTCCTCTTCCTCTCTTTCTCCTCTTCTCTTCCCTCACCTCTTTTACGTCTTCTTTTCTACTCTCTCACTCGTTTTATCTAGTCAACAACTATGGCTACTCTGACGGATTTCGTGGACTTCTCCCAGTCGTCTCTTCAGGGTATGTTTGACATCATTTCCGGCGGGATTCACATGTGATTCTAACCACGACGGCCATTTGCAGTGACTGCGCTGTCTATTGCCTTCAACCCTATCTTTTGGAAGTAAGCCAGGCCCTTGAATTTGCTCAATATATACCTCAGATGTCTATCTGGAAAATCTATGAATCTCAATGGCTGACCCTGGTTCCTTAGCATTGTTGCCCGTGCTGGTTAGTTACTCCACCTTTCCTCGTGTTTACACCTCTGTGCAGGCATTGAAGAGAAACAACCTGCCGTTCTCATCGTCTTCAATAATTGCTCATACAATCTCGGTCATTTCATCTTGTAGAGTACCGGAATCATTTCTTGACTCGTATATTCGGTAGCCCCTACTATGGATGCTACTTCCTCGCATTCGCCATCTTCTCTTTGGGCATTCTGCGTGACCACCTCTACCAATTGGCCCTGGCTGACCAGCCTTACTACGCCCCTGTGCATCAACCAATCCTGGGCAGCGTCCTCTTTGGCTTTGGCTCCGTTCTCGTTTTGTCCAGCATGTATGCCCTTGGCGTCACCGGCACCTACCTTGGAGATTACTTCGGAATTCTGATGGATGCCCCCGTCACTGGCTTTCCGTTCAACGTCACCGGCTCCCCCATGTATTGGGGAAGCACCTTGAACTTCCTGGGAGTCGCTCTTTACCACGGCAAGGTGGCTGGGGTCGCATTGACGGCCGAGGTCTTCATCTTGTACTGGTTTGCTCTCCAGTGGGAGGAGTAAGTGCCCTGTCCTTTTTCTCTTGCTTTTGTCCACCCGACGCAACTTCCATCCGATCTGCCCGTGCAACCACCATCACCGAGACCGATTCGCGCCCATCGTTGAAAGACGTAGTGTGTCAAACCCACTGACTTTATACCGTTGTAGTCCTTTCACTGGCGAGATCTACGCCAAGCGCGACCGTGAACGTGCAAAGCAGGCCGGCAAGAGCCAGTAAATGGCAACCAGCCTGGGCCTGTGAGGCATAAGACCAGCACGATGTGCTGAAATACTGAGACTTATTGCAAGGTTGGATGAGGACTTCAACAATCCACAACCTGTGCAATTCCACGACAAGAAGCGTCAATCTCCGGACGTTTTGACGAACTGCTTACGGGTCCATGAGTACGATACCACTAAGATACTATTAATCCTCAACGATCGATCAAAAATTCCAGGAATTGGTAGAATGACTGGAACGCTTTTTTAATATAGACAAAAAAGAAAAATTAGAAAAGACATCCTGTGTTCTGTAAATATTCCTCTTAAATGTTGAAATAACTCCATTTTCCCCCGAAAAGTAACACCCCTGTGTATGGGATAGCGCTAAAATGTCCTTCAATGGACGTTGTAAGTTGTACGTGACATGACATGTCAATAAATCCATGGCACCCGAAAAGATAGAAACCGAAAAGATAGAAACAAAATGACATGGCGCGAATCGTGTTAAATGGTGACCCAGTCTTGGGTGGGGGGAGGAGAAAAGCAACAAGAAGAACACCGCCAACTCCATGCTATGGGACGATTTGAACAATAATAAAGAGGAAAAAGAGGAAAAAGAGAAAAAAAAAAAAAAAAAAAAAAAAAAAAAAAAAAAAAAAAAAAAAAAAAAAAAAAAAAAAAAAAAAAAAAAAAAAAAAAAAAAAAAAAATGGAGAAGTCGAGGGAAGAGGAGAAGACCTGGTGCAAAAATGAACGATGCTAAAAACGTCGCATCATGCCCTTCGACCTCGTCCTCTTTTGCCCGTAGCCCGACTTTCATCCACTGCTTCGATCTCATCTTCGTCGGCTCCCTTCTTGAGATCCTCTCCTTCTGCTAGACCCCACTTCTCGTGATCGTACCAGTCCTCGCCGTCGCTCATCTCGCCAACATGGCCCTCGGCCTTGCACCATTCTAGTACATCTTCCTTCATCCGACACGCGCGAAGTAGAGATTCATGCATATGTTCGAACCCTCGGACTGTCTCTTCCTGCTTTTGGATGTACGACCACAAGAGTCGCCGAGTATCCTCGGCTTCGTTCGGTGGGAGTCCGTAATTGGGATCTGGGCGGGTAGAATTTGGAACAAGGAAGAGAGGATGCGGAGTCGGAAGACTGGTGAACGGATCGTTTGATGGGGTAAAGGAACGATGGCTGGATTCGTCCTCTTGCTGGGGGTTCGATGTGTTGGCCCACTCCCTAGTCGCCATTCGACGATACGGTGCAGGTGACCCATTCTGCATCTCTACATCTTCTGCTTCTTGAGTATCACTTCGCGCATCCATGTCATCAACATCATGCGCTTTAGATTTCCCGTTGCTGGTTGATGCTTCCTCCGATCCGGGGGGCTGGTTCTGATTGGGTTGTACATTCTCTGTGACATCCCCATTTACATGGGTTCCATCCGGTTGTACTGTGCCTGGATGCTGGGAGACGTCTCCAACCGTTGTGTCGATCTCTTCCGATTTGGGTTCTTTGGTCTGTTCAGCATTATTCTCTCCTGGCTTGTTCTCATTATTCTCGGCGTCCGTCATCTTAACATCCTTTTCGGCTGGCTGTGATAGCCGGTCCTCCTCTCCCTGGACCGTCTCAGAGCCCTCCTGAGACATCGCACCCGAGAGCGACTCCTGCGCTCCGTTCTTCTGGGCGTCGGAGTTTCCACCAGCAGGAGGAGAAGCTGTTCCACTCGTATTGGGCTCCATGTTCATAATGCGAGGCTCAAAAATCCATCTGTCTTCGGATGTCTCAACCGTTCCGCAGGGCATCCAGGAGCAGTCGCCTAAAAATTCTCGGTGGAGGTTTCTTGCCCGCCACAGCAGGGCGCGTTCTTGACGCAGTTTATCTTCAATCGCCTGCGTCATGTTGCGGAGGGCTTTGGACTTGTACATGTGGGACATTGAGGGGTGGGTAGGGAGTTCGGAGGGATGCTTGATGGGACACAAGAGATCTGTGATGAGACAAACCAGTCAGTACTGCGATACATTATTCATAATGATGTTGGTGAGATATCTCATATGCTTACGTTCAAGCGCAATTTCAGAAAATGGGTTCTCCTCTGCCGCTGCCACATCCGCTTCAGAATCTTCGTCATCCTCATCGAGCTCATCGCCTTCTGAGTCGTAGCGCACCGGGTTTGGTTGAAGGATGTAGCGCGTATAGCCCGCGTGCTCAATCTTCTATTCATCAGAAAAAGACCATCAGCAATTGTCTTTCCTTCTTTTGATTTTTATTTTGTGCACTTTTCGGGAACCGGACCAAATTTGCGGACGGTACGATCAAGAGAAGGGAGAAAGCCAATGTACCTGCTTATAAAGGTCCTCAGAATTGATGTATCCCAGCGCGCCTTCACGCACATATTGCGCGTTCGCCTTTAGCTTATTGCCCCGATTCGTCGGTTGCGTGATAGAATCGTCCGGTCCGGAAACTGCGCAGGGAAGAAAAAGCCGTCAGCAATCAGTCGCGGTACTGCAATGGTACAAATTGAACACATTAAGAGACGAAATTAGAAGAATAGACTCCACTTACAATCTTGTTCCTTGCGCAGGGCCCGTTTCATGCCCATAATGGTGTCTGCGATCAAAGCTGCTTGTGCCGCCATGGTTTCGGTGTTTAACCAGCACCGGCTGATGAGAGACAACTGAGGAAAGAGAAATGCGAGGAAATTCAATGGATAGCACTCAGGTGTAACAGAAGCAATGTCATCCACCACGAGTACCTAGTCACAGCGTATATGAAATGGTTGATATGGGGCAAACAGATCCCAGCAGTATTGTAGTACTATGAGAGAGGTGAGGTGCTGCTGCTGCTACGGCTTCTCCGCCCGGCGGAATCGAAAACAATGAATGATCTCCCGCCGCTAGTCTGTTTTAGGCTGATAAGGGCTACACGTGACATGCCCTCAATGTTTCAGTTTTTCTTACAGTATTATATAGAAGCCACGTGCCACTTTTCCGACGTAAAATAGCAACTACTACTATATAGAAGCCACCGACATACTAAATACACATATAATCTTCTAGTCATCCGCATCCACCCACACCAGGATCCCTTTCTTGTCCGACCTCATTTCATCCGTGGGAAGAACCCGCAGTATCTTATTAAAATAAGTGTCTAGCACAACCAGCTGTGGCTGGGTCCATAATCCCCGTTGAACCGCCAGCAGGTTGTACCGTACTGTGTGTCTGCTCAGCGGTGACAGTTGAACCACGGTCGTCTTCGGACCGCTGAACGCAAATTGTTCGCTGGCTTCCATGGTCAGGTTGAACGTGAGGAAGTGAGTCGACGGGTTTTCCAGTATGTAGTTCATGTGAATCAGTCCGGACAGAGTGTTAGATGCGATTGCTGAAGCCAGCACTCGCGGCTCACCCGCCGGTGCAACAAAGCGAGGAATATCTAGGGTAGAGACGGTGGTAGCTTTGTCGACGCCGCCTGCAAAATCTCTTCTGTGCCAGTGTATTTCCAATGCGAGATTGAGCGCTGTCGGTCGTCGATCGCCCAGAATAACTTTTTGGACGTCTAAAACGAACTGAGATTCTCGAAGTTCCTCGGGAGATATCTCTGGTGTCTTCCCTGGGCCAGTTATGACCTCAGAGCCGATATTGCAGGCGGTCCCGCCGCCTGCACTAAGCAACACCACGGACACCTTGTCGATGATCAGAGACTCCAAAGCAAAGGAGACAATCTTGGCATCAAGGCACCATTTCTGATGCAGACCCCGAGGCTTCGATGTGGGCCCATCCTCGAGCAATTCATCATCAACATGGAAAAAGTCAGGCCATGGTTCGGGATGAAGGCGCGGAAGAAATTCATAGTTCGCCTCAAAAGGCCTGATAATAGACAAGCCCACAGTCTCTGTTTTAATGATGGGAGTCTGGACATCGGACACAATGTGATATACGGCTGATATCTCCAGCTGATAGTCCGAGGCATCATTTGTGTCTGTCAGTACTATCGACAACTCCTTCTTAGATGAACGCTCCATGACACCGACTGGTCCCTTGATGAAGTGGCGGTCTTCCTCATCGACAGTAGAGCTGTCGTCTGTGTCCTGCTCGCCTGGGTTATCTTCTCCGTCGGCCCATTGCAGCCTTGCCAAAGACTCTGGGCGGCCGAATAACCTTGTCTCGGCTGACACGTCGGCTTCTTCTTCTTCGTCGTTGTGGATGCCAATGGTCAAGACTATTCGTTCGTTGGTATAGTAGGTATCCCTCAGGTTAGGTGTTGTGATCCGTATTTTGGGCGGCTTGCGCTTGACCCTGCATCGATTAACATCCCGACCCTTTCCTACTCTTCGTTTCGATACTCCCTTGGGGGTTCGCTGCCACCAGGAGAATTCACGTTGGCTCTGATCTGTGATAAAATATGAGAGGTCAAACTTCTCTTCCTCGATAGACATCGTAATCGAGGCTACTCTGGCCTCGCCAGCCTCCCGAGGGATGCATATCAAATTGACGACTTTGGTTTGTGAAGGTCCAATAGTCAAGTCGGCAATCCCCTTCAGTGTTGCTGGGCCGCTGTTGGGAGACTGGACAGCGGAGGAATCGGTTGGCACGCTAGCCTCCCGAAGAGAGATTGACTCTATAGTGCACGGAGTTGTAATATCAGGTTCAGCGTTGTTATCCGACTGGACTTTGATTGGACGAAGACAGCCTTCAAACCCTATCTTAACGTCTGAAAGTCTTATAGGAGCAGCGGACGGATGAGCAAATGAGGAGATAACAAGCTGAGCTTGTAGAGGCTCGCCAACATTCCCTTCGCTCTTTTCGAATGCCAAGCACGCAGTGACTGCAAAAAGGGAGGGAAAAGATATCAGTACTTGAGTTCTGTGAGAGGTCTTATAACACCACTTACTACTCGACAGGACGTCCTCAGCTCGTAGAACAACAGAAAGTTTTGGTATATCTGTGATTTCTTCAAGACTCCTATGGATATCGTAGTGCCAGGGTGGCCGACGGTGAAAGGCTAAAACGCACCCACATCAGAAAATCGGAATAGAGTTCCTTGAAACGCATGGTTTCTTACCCTTGCTAAGTAGCTCCCAGTCAATTCGAACAACCATTTCACCATCCCCAATTTGCAAGGCACATTCCCTCAAGGCCAATCCAAACCTTTCCATAAGCGGCCACCAGCCAGAACCCCGCCAGCTGAGAGTCGACCACAGCGGCCGCAGGAGGTTTAAGCCATCAGACCACGAGCCAATCCGTACGTATTCTTCCGCCATTTCTAGACTAAGGCTTTCCACTTTCCGTGTTTGATTGCGCTTCGCGAATTCCTCCAGGGCGGCTTTCAAGGTGTTCAAGATTAACGAGGAATGGTCAAAGCCCTTGGACCCCGACAGAGGTGCTTCGACATGTGTCTCGGGAGCCAAGTACGTGTCATATAGATAAGACTTGCTCGCAATCTGCGAAGCGGGTGACTGTCCTGGGGGTGGTCGGTCTTCGTCCGGAATTTGCTGCGCTAGAGCTCGTCGTTTGATTGCATGCTTCGCAGAGCGATATAACCAATAGCCTTCGTGGTGAAGTTGCTCCCACGGGTAGAGGCCATCGCCCGTAAAAGTTGGCTTCTCATGCGATGCAGGCGCGAGGTATTGTTCCTGGGGGGAGATTTCCGCGCGGCGAATGAGCTCTGCCATTACCATTGACCACCTGGACTCCCAGGCTTCCCATCCATAGTTTCTCGACCCTTTGCCCCGCCGATTGACTATATCCTGCGTGCGATCCCTATGACTGACCCATGACCGAACAGCTGCGGCAGTCTGGCCCGCCCAAAGCAGACAGCGAATGATGCGAATTGCAAGAGAATCAGCCAGAAGGCGCGCATGGTTAAACCGTGGATTCCAGCCTGCAATGGTTTCAAAGACTTCCTGTCCAAACAGAGTCTCGTATGCGCTTTCGTAGTTTCTCAGGGCCGCATCCATCTCTTGCCGGAATTCTGCAAAGATTCCTAGTTTGAATTCGTAGCGGACATGCCAGCCCTGTATTGACAAGGTCTGGGACGTCCCGCTGGTTGGCGGTGCCGTGGGTGGCGGGATGCTGCTCTTATTCCGCTTGCGCCGTGCATGTTTCGACAGGTCCCGGTAGTACTCGGCCACAGACGGCTGTATCAAAGTGAACAGGGACTTCGTGAACTCCTGTAATTCTTCAGATGTAGCATCTGGGGGAAGAAGAAAGATTGACTTCGGATCCAAGTTGGTCGCTCGCCGAATACTAGCTATCCGGTCGTCTGTATCTCCAATGTCATTTCCATCACCTTCTTCAGACAAAAGAACAACCAGGAACCTAGTCTTGTAGCCAGATGATTGCCATTCTTTCTTCAATCCGTTTATCTCTATCTTGAGCTGGTTATCACGAAGGGAGTTCATGTTCGGATCCAGCGAAAAGGGGAAGAAATTGATCACAGCGGCCGGGACGAGGCTCTGATGTTTCGTGACCCATAGCGGAGGAACCAACCCGTCCGGGAATGTCGGGGAGCTTGGTGTTAACGGAGATATTGGAGAGTGAAGGACGAAAGACGGTACGCGCAGTATATCACTTTGTTGTCCGCTTGAAGGGCTGGTAGGGGGAGATACCGGCGGGGGGTCTGCTTTGCGCGGGGGGAGTGTATAGGACTGTGAAATGTCAGCGAGGGACAGTTCTCTTTGTTTGAATCCGTTGACAGTGATAGAGTCGAGTGGGGTGTTCTCTTCTTTGGGTGTTCAACAACAGGTTGAAAGGGTTGCAGCAACACGATCGGGACCCTGTCGCAATCCTTAGACCATAGGAAAGAACAAATAACCTACCCGTCCAATGCTCTTGACTTTATATCCAGCCCCAAGAAGTCTCTCATGATTATCATCTCTGAAGTTCCATGGAATCCGTGTCGCATTCTCACCCAGAAGTACCCTCCGCAGCTCCTCCGCAGTCATACCGGTCACCGGTGGGAAATCCGAGCATATCTTCAAGCCCTTCTCGCGAAGAAGAGGGTAGTCGATCGATTCGGGCTCATCTTTAAGTTCCGCTTCGAGGCCGGAGAGCAAAACGAAGGGAAGGTTGTGGGAGACATAGTCGTCGGGATAGGCGTCCATTGCGGACAATGGAGTAGCTTCGCTGTAGCGCAAGTCACCACATGTCTAACTTCGAAACGAGATATGGGCGGAGAATAGGTCAGGCGGCGGAGGTCAAGCGATGAGGAACTAAGCAATCAATCACTCAGTTGGGCAATCGTCAGGGGAGTAGGCGGAGTGTTTGGCTGGAGAGTGTACTTTTCTGGGTGGAAACATGCATCCTACGTTGATGCCAAGCCTGCCACCAGCGACTTGATATGTATAGTACGGGGTGTAGCAGACTGAATCAAGCAGTCAATATTATATGTAGTTATTTTTACTGAGTATAAAGTACATAGGATTCCTCTTTCAGTTATTTTTATGAATGGGTGTCATTGAATTGTGCATATCGACATTCTATAATGGTTATACTGAACGGCACCAGTATATATCCTGAGGCAGTACCCCTGGTATGGAGTATAGTGTCACAACCTGTACAGAGTAACATTGCCAGAAATCATGTTGTTGATAGAACCAAAGAAAATACTAACATTAAGGAGTTGTCAACATTGACCACCAGATTCAGCATGAACAGTAATGTGATGACCTGCATTAATTCATCCGAAGTTGTTGGATACAGGCCAATCTGACAGGTGGGGGACGAGTATTAAAGGAATATGATATATCAGATTCAAATAAATGACTGACATAGACCAGTTGGGTCGAGAAAAGGTTCTTCGCCGTCTAAGCGAATAATCGTCCTTTTGCTCCTCTATTACTGCGTTTCAGTGCATACTTTACGGAGAAATATGTATCCTGTGCGGACGATTTCAACGGGTGCAGTCTACAAACGCTTGTCCGGTGATCCCGGCCATATCACCATCATAAATACTCCGCAATACTCCTGGAGTATGTATTAGCAGCTGACCGAGCAAATCATGGAATCCCCGAGTCCTGCGAGGATGAGACCATTAAGAAACAAGGACAAGACCTTCCCTACGGAAGTAATTATGGTCCGGTGGAACTCAACCGGAAGACTCCGTCAATGGCCAACTCTTAAGTCGAGGACTGTCGTCTCATTAACGGAAGACTGAGGAGGACAACAAGCCTCTCGTGGTGGCCAGTGGCCTATAATCCAACTGCATGAGTGACTCACTGTCACCCTCGCTTCAATATTCATTGCAACGTGCATTGCGAAGACACACGTTGGGAAGAGAGGGGCAAAAAAACAAAGAAAGAAATATCCCATGCAAGACAATTTTCTCCCCTGAAATTTGGATCTGCGAACCGTCCAGCAGTAATTGGGAGAAGTCAAATCTGATTGAGTGGAAGATAACCTGCTAAAGGAGACCGGAATATTGGTCTTTTCGGAAGATGTTCGTTTCGCATGAATTACCCTGACCATCCGATGCTGTGATTTGCTGGTATATATGGTCAACAGACGACTGTACCTCTGTACGGAGTACGGATCATTGCTTAGATGATTTTGATGCCCCTCAATCCCTCGTGGATCGTTTGAATATTCGCGTGGGCCTTGCTTTTCTCATTGCTTTTTGCCGTTGATCTCCTTTATCAGCTTCCTCTGTACTTGCACTCATATACAGTGTACTCTCTGTACTCTGTACCGCTGCTCCGATACTACTGCAACTCCGTCCATCCCACCTCCCTTTGTTTTCTGAATCCTTTGTTCCACCGTGCCTGCATCTGTCTGCAAGGACTTTCGTTTCTTTATTTGCAAGGGACGCTAAGTTTAATCACTGACCGCGGTTGATTGGGTCTGGGATAGGAGAGTCGTGGGCCATCCTCACCACCACCAACCACCACCAACCACCACCAACCACCACCAATTACCACTTGCACCAGCCCACCCGGATTGAGTTCCCCGTTATTTGATTGGCAGCGCCAATTGTTTTGGACGGCTGCATAGGATCATGCAATCTCGCATTCGTTCTTTCCGCATATCTTAGCTTTTGTCTTTGATTGTTGTTCTCGTGTTCGGAGTTCCCCTGGGCCTGTCGGAGTCCTGCGCGGCGAGCAAGGCCTACCCACTTAACCCACCCTCCCAGAGTCAACAAAGGGCGCGATGGATCGCTTCCAGCACACTCCGGAACTCTCTGCAGCGAATGGCGTACCTGCGCAGTCAGCGCTGCTGGCACGACGTCGCAAATCCCTCCCTTCGCGAGCTCACGCGGCAAGGAAGAGCCCCTTGACCGTCGACCCAGCATCTCCCGAAGTCATTTCGTCGTTGATCTCCTCCCTCTCGACAATCTCCGTACCCGTCCAAAGCCATTTTGATAACGTGCCGCGCATCGATCCTGATATCCCTTCTGCTCCCAGTTTTCTCCAAACCGAATTCTGCATCCCGGACCCGCCGCCGTCATCGTCATCGAATGGACCTGGTTTTGGTGTGACGTACGGGGCTCAAAAGTCACCGGGTGAGCCACCAGACAGCCCTTACTTGTATCCAGACGATGCGGCCGATGCGCCCGTCGTTCGCATGGCCAGGGCTCCGCCATCTCCCAAGGTAAAGACCACGTTCGACCCATCCGCGTCGCCCATACGGCCTACGTCTAAAGGCTCCTATACGTCTACCAGAAAAGCATACGAAGGCGCTACATTCGGAATTATTAGCGCAGAACCGCCACCACCGCCAATATCGACGGCACCTAGTATCGCATCGTCAAGCTCGGAGGGTCGGAGGAGTCTCAAGGACGCATTGGGTCTGCTAAGAAAAACCTCTCGGGGGTCCATCAAAGACAAAGAAAGGAAGGCGGATCAAGTGCGCAAGACGACCAGTTACAGCGACACCATGAGGTATAACGTCCCCCGTAATCGGGCGAGCATACGCTCCATGTATTCCATGGTAGATGCTGCCGAAGAAAGACGCCCGTTTAGTGTTGGGATGGAGGCGCGAACAACGAATGCTGTCAGCGCCCCTCCCAGCAGAGATAATCAGTCGTTACAGATCCTTAAGGAGCCCGCGCCTGGGGGAATTGGAAGTGGTCGAACGATTCCTGCCCGCGAGTCCTCGTTACGGCACAGTTTCTCGTCCAGCTCGAAGTACCACCGCCCGACTCGTCACAGACGGTATTCTTCTGTTGGTGACAAGGATATTAAAGCTGACAAGGGTGTATTTGAAGCGGACAATAACGAGGCTGAACAAGTAACGAAACGAATACAGCAGCTGAAAGACCAACAGCAAAAGATCAAATCTGAATTAGAAACAGACAACACCCCAGCCAAAGCCACCAGAGAAGCCACTGAAACGCCCGTTGAGCCGTCTGCGCCTTCGCAGAAACCAAGTGAGATGCGCCAGGAAGCTACCAGCCCTGCCAAAACGATTGCTGTGGTCGACGAGAGTGCACCAGCCCCAGCGGTTTTGACGGGCAAAAGCAGAACGATGCCCTCGACGGGGACACCGCTGTCATTCATGGCGGATCAACCACAATCGAAGTCGACCAGGCTATCACTAGACAAGTTGGACCAGACGGACAAACTTCATCACCGGCAATCTTTGGAGCCATCGACCCCGACGAAGCGCCATAAGCGTTCTCCCTCTGGTCCCACTTCCCCAGCTCGCGTATCCGTCGCGGTTGATCGCCCGTCAAGCGTCGACTCGGTTGACGTCGCGGTGTCCGACTATGTCTCTTCACCGAAGTTGACGCAAAAAATTCCTCATCCAACTACAGGCCGGATGATCGCGTTTTCAGAAGTCGGAGATCCTAAAGGGCATGTTGTACTCTGTTGCTTGGGTATGGGCCTTACGAGGTATCTGATGGCGTTCTACGACGAATTGGCACGGACTCTCAAACTCCGACTCATCACTCTGGATCGTCCTGGTGTTGGCGAAAGCGAACCTTATATGGACGAGACGGGAACACCTCTAGGCTGGCCTGGTAAGTAAACTATTCCGCAAGCATGATTCGGACATGGCAGCTGATTGATTGTGTAAGATGATGTCGCGATTGTTTGTAACCACCTTAGGGTCACAAAGTTTTCTCTTCTCGCTCATTCTGCTGGGGCGATCTATGCATTAGCCACAGCCTTAAGAATCCCGCAGCATATCCGTGGCCGTGTTCACCTGCTGGCCCCTTGGATCCCGCCGTCCCAACTGTCCAGTATTGGCTCACATAAGGAGCCTGTACCCGCTAATGCTGTGCCGTACTCGCAAAGGATTCTCCGTGCTTTGCCAACATCAATCCTAAAGGTTGCCAACTCCAGCTTCATGAGCGCGACAAGTGCTAGTATTACCTCGAGCTTGCCAAAGTCTCCCCGAAGGACTCGATACCGGACAACGATGAAAGAAACATCCAGTAACGCGGCCCCGGCTAAGGCCCCCCAACGAGCGCAGTCCAAGATACGCCAGCAAGGCGATGAACTTGAAGCCCTGGAGAACATGATGCCCGGCGCCTCTGACCAGCCATCCCTCAATGCAAACACTGTGGAGGTTGACCGTGAAGCCACAATGACCGAGGAACGTGAACGTCAGATCGACTATGATAATCGGCTGACCCATAAGATTTGGGAGCTAGCTACCATGAACGCCAACCCGGCAATTGATTTGCTAATATGCCTGGAACGTAACCGGCCGATTGGATTCCGTTATGTTGATATCACCCGAGCAGTGGTGATCCACCATGGAAGCAAAGACACTCGAGTTCCCGTGGACAATGTCAGGTGGCTCGGGAAGACCATGCGGCGATGCGAAGTCCGAATCCTCGAGGATGAAGGTCACGGATTGATGGCATCTGCGGCTGTCATGGGAAATGTCCTGATGGAAATCGCCAAAGAATGGGAAGACTGGATGATCCTGGTCCAAGGCAAACGGAAAGCGACGACAGCAGCAGCAGCGCGATCTGGTATTGCGCAACGAGTATAAGCCATTCTTGCGGTTCAAAGAGGTACAAGCTGGCGACCTCACTGGATCTTCGACTCATCTTCTGCGGTCATCGGCCATTTACTGTCTAATATCTCATTGATATCACCATCCTGACTGTTATAGCAGGCTACACTCCTTACATCACATCGTTATATACAGTCCGTCGACACTTATGCCTGTTTCATTTTTGTTTCTTGTTTGATCACGATACCATCTGCTTTTTCTTGTGTCTTTAGAGCCAAATACCCAACTTTTTGCATATGTAGCGTTTAATTTAATTTGTAATCGTCTGACACTGTATTGCTTAAGAATTCTTTCGCTCCATCTCAGTACTCCGTACTTCGTACTCTGTACCTACCATTCGAATTCTGCTAGTTATGTATTGAGGAAAAGGGGAGGGCTGCGCTTATTCTCATGACATAAGACGCGCGGCTATCGGAAATTTGCCTAATCCAGTATGTAGTATGAACCCCCTGCAGAAGCGCACCCCCGCGCCAGTCCTGTTTGACACTTTCGACTTCGTTGACTAGGACATAAATATTCTTATCTTTCCTATTTGTCTGACTTGTGTCATATTTATTATCGCACTGGGACGCATCAGCCGGGAATCTCAGTCGCATTGCCAATGCCCCGTCGTTGTTATCGGAGCTCCTTATCCATGATCGCCAGGTTGTCATTGACCTCTCCGGAACGCACGATTGAGCTGCTTTCTTCTCAGGAACGGACTATACACACCTAGCTGAAGCACACCGAAGAGTTCTCACATGCGTGCGTCTGAATTGAACAACGTCTTTCGGGCATAAGTACCGAAACTACACTCCAAGATGATTCCTCAGCGACGACTTCGGCCTCTGTTTATTGCTATACTAGTATTACTAGTAATAATCTTCTATTATTCGGTAAACCTATCTCTTTACCATGCGACTGCTTGACTATACTCGAACGGAATGCTAATCGGAAATGTGACCCATTCCAGGGAGACGGAAGCAAGATTCAGAACCAGCGATTCTACCGGTCTACAGTGAAAGCGATTGAGGCACAGAGACATGCAGAACACGAAGCGGCCGCCGTGAAGGCACAGCCCGATCCCAAACCGATTGTTCCTGAAGCGCCAAAGGCAGAGGCTCCGAAGGCGGACACTGGTAAACCCAAGGAAGACAGTGAAGAGATGCAGGAGATACCTATTGCGGGGAGGACTAAGATGACCGTTCCCAAGAACAAGGATGATGCGCCTAAGGAGAAGGAGCAGGCTCCTGAAACCGATGACCACGCGGAGGCTAAGGATGAGTTGAATGCTATCCTGAAACGGGCCCCAAGTATGTCCATCTTATCTATGCTGTATTGCTGGATGACGCTAATTGAGTTTCTTTCTTTTCGTCTAGTCATCGTCTTCTCAAAATCTTACTGTCCTTTCAGCGCAAAAGCTAAGTCTATCTTGCTCAAGAAATACTCTATTGTTCCGGAGCCGTATGTGGTCGAGCTTGACCACCATAAACTGGGCCGGGCGCTCCAGAGCGTCCTAGGCGAAAGCACCGGCCGCCGTACCGTCCCGAATGTCTTGGTCAACGGAAAAAGTATTGGAGGTGGTGATGATGTATCCGCATTGGACCAAGAAGATCAATTGGCTTCGACATTGAAGAACCTCGGTGGGAAGTGGATCCAGGAGGTCACTCGCAAGAATCAGGAAGAATAAGATTTCCTCTTGAGCAATCTTATTGATCATTGATTGCATCGGTTCTCTTTTTTGGTCGTGATTGTATGCTGGTTTTGGGGCGTTATGGTTGGGCTGGTGTTTTGGAAAGACAAACCATTTTGTATACCATTGTGAGTTATAGACAGCTATGTACTGTAATGTTCTTATAATCGACAATTCTCTATTTATGTTGCTATGCTTGCTGTTTGGCCCTTCCTACTTGCACATACTCCTTGTAGGGGCTTAAGTAAGCCAACCCTAGAGCGACCGCGCTAAACCGCATCAGTCAATTAAGCGACGCACAACCCGCCCGCCTTTGGATTTTCGGTCCACCACCGCCAACGAGAGAACCTCCAGAGGAATTTCGATCCTTTCGACGACCGACCGCACGACGACTACGACAATTCTCCCCTCGGACATTCTACAGCCCACGCAGTCAAGATGCGGTACATTCACTCCGAGGAACGGCTGTCCATCCCCGAGAATGGTGAGCATTGCGCCAGTTTTGTGTGTTGAATCTTGTGTCTATTTCCTGGCCATGTTGGTGTGGAAGGGGTAGGAGAGAGAGAGAGAACGGCCCCGGTGATTCCTGGACGACCTGGACGAGACAAACGACGCTGAATGGAAAGATCAACGGAATGAACGACCAGACGATCAGGAAGAGCAAGGAAGCACCAAGAATTTTTGTCTATCGCAATGGGGTTTGCGCCAGGACGAGCCGGGGGGAACCCTTGCGTGGAGAGGAAAAAAAGACACAAGATGGGATTATTGGAATTTGATAACTGATTGCTATTTCGCTGTTTAGTGAAGGTTCACATTCGTTCGCGCATTGTGACCGTCGAGGGCCCCCGAGGTATGCAACCAATTCCCAATTGCCTTATGCAGCTCAGGCAGAGAAAAAAAGTATCTTCTGAGCTGAGCGGAGATTGGCACTTGGGACTCGCGACTGACACGTCCTCACTCCAGGCAAGCTCGTTAAGGACCTCTCTCACATCGCCGTTACCTTCGGCCGCCCTGAGAGTAATGTTATCTCGATCGAGATGCACCACGGTGCCCGCAAGGGTGTCGCTACCCTCCGTACCGTCCGCACCATCATTAACAACCTGATCATCGGTGTCACCAAGGGCTTCAAGTACAAGATGCGTTATGTTTACGCCCATTTTCCCATCAACGTCAACATTGACAAGAACGCCGAGACTGGCCAGTACGACGTTGAGATCAGGTATGCGCCAATTTGATCGCGGAGGACCAGTGGAAATCAAAATCAGGAGGAACACTGGGACATCTCCATATTGGGCATGGACTTTGGCTAATGGGTTCTTTACCAACAGAAACTTCTTGGGTGAGAAGTATGTCCGTCGTGTGACTGCTCAGCCCGGTGTCGAGGTCATCACCTCGCCCAGTGTCAAGGATGAGCTTCAGCTCTTCGGTAACTCCCTCGAGGGTGTCTCCCAGAGTGCTGCCGACATCCAGCAGATCTGCAGAGTCCGGAACAAGGATATCCGGAAGGTGAGAATGAACACCCTTGTATTTTGACATATGACCATCGCTGACTATTCCAGTTCCTTGACGGTCTCTACGTGTCGGAGCGGGGCAACGTCGTCGAAGAGTAAACGGTTTGACGGAGGTGTCCGCCTGGGTGGGTAGATTTAGGATGTCTGGAGAATTTATGTCTCGCCTACTTGCACTAGGGAAGAAGCAACAAAAGCGAAATACAAAAAGAACGGACCATGGAAATATCAATGCCCTTTTTATTCCTTTTTTTTTTTTTTTTTTTTTTTTTTTTCCTAATGTGTCCACGGGAATGGCTTGTATAAGCTGGGAATACAGGCATGTAGAGAAAAAGCGATTCGGATTATGAGCAATTCAATTTCTTAATCTTCATTTCTTATTCTTATCTACTTGAAACTATAGGAGTGTATCTACTTCTGTAGTATGCGCCGCGACTATGAGTTCCCAATGCGACCAGCCCAACCGCGGCTGACATAGCTGCCTTTGTCCAACCTCGCCTCACTTTGTCTTACTTCTTTATCTCTCTATCCTGCTCTCGGCACCTACACTTACCTGCATGGCTGGTAAAGTGACATTTATTTACCCGAGGTATCGCATATGGAAAGACGCAACATTTTTCGCCTGTAAATGCCGTCCATCCAGCGCCGAAATGGAGTCTTGGGCGGCCATTTGCGGTCTGTTTGCGGCCATTGTCAGCATGGTTTTGGACGTCGCGCTGTTCTGGAGAGATGTAAGTTCTGTTTTATATTGATTTTCTATAGCTATATATATATATATATATGCTAATTGTTCGCTAGAAACTGGTGTCATGGTGGAGGTCCAAGTCCCCTCGAGATAGACTGCTGCATCGTCTGAAGGCAGCTCAGACATATGAGGAATGGGAAGAATGCGCTTTTGAGCTGGACGAACTGTTGGGTACAGACGTATGGTATGGAATATTCTCCGATGGACTTATCTCCGTCGTACTAATTCTGGTGAAATAGGCGCCAGAACCCAGCAAACCGCCATTATGACTATCGACTCATCCTTGGGCGATTAGAGGCCCTCATGAGCGCCCGAGAAGATGAAGATATCCTAACTCTGGCTAACCTCCTTCGTTCCGGCCTCGTTCGCAATCTGGGCAACATCACCTCGCCCAAACTCTACATCCACGCCTATACAGGCACAAAACTACTGATTGATGACTATATCACGCAGGTTGCGCTCTCCATCCAACACGTCACGACGTTGCAAACAGCCCCTTTGCACGACAGCAGGTTCTCGTCGCAGGCCAAGTTGGAGCTGTTACATGATACGCGTCAGGCGTTTGGTCGTACGACGTTGCTCTTACAAGGCGGGTCGATATTTGGACTGTGTCATCTAGGTGTGGTGAAAGCGCTGCATTCCCAGGGTCTCCTTCCTAGGATTATCACCGGGACGGCTACTGGGGCTCTTATTGCTGCGCTCGTTTGTGTTCATACGGAGGATGAGCTGTTGGCGTTTTTGGATGGTGATGGTATTGACTTGACCTGTTTCGATTATCGCCAGCGAGCCTCGTGGGGGTGGTCTGATAATGGGTTATTGGGGACATTGTTTCAACAGATGAAACGAGTTATCCATAAGGGGTATTTCCTTGATGCACAACTTCTAGAGGAATGTGTGCGAGACAATCTGGGCGATTTGACCTTTGAAGAAGCTTACGCGCGCTCAAAGCGCATCTTGAACATTACCGTTGCTACGTCTGGCAAAACTGGGATACCGAATCTGCTCAACTACCTAACGGCACCGAATGTGGTACGCAGAACCATTCATTCTACCAATTGTTGCAACTTTCAGCTGACGTCTCATAGTTAATCTGGTCCGCTGCAGCTGCATCAAACTCATCTACAGTGACCAACCAGCCGGTGACAATATACTGCAAGGACGAGACCGGCTCAATTGTTCCATGGCCACACTCACAAGACGCAATCTTCCGGCCATGGTTTAACGTGCACTACAACGACGGAGAATCGCCACTATCCCGAATCGCCGAATTATTCAACGTTAACCATTTCATAGTCTCGCAGCCGCGGCCATATCTTATTCCCTTCCTCAGCACCGAACTAGATCTCTTAGACCGACGACAAGCAGGCAAATGGAACATCACCCGCTCTCTAATGCGTCTCGTCACAGCCGAAATTCGTCACAGACTACGACAGCTCGATTACCTAGGTCTCCTGCCGCAAATAGCAGGCCGACTCCTCATCGAAGAAACCATACCCGGTCCAAACTTAACTCTCGTTCCCGACCTCTCGTTGAGCGATTTCGCGCAGCTCCTGCAGCGACCCAGCAAAGAAAGTCTAGCTAATTGGGTTCTGAAGGGTGAGAAGGGTGTCTGGCCGGCTGTGTCTGCGCTCAAGGTCCGTTGTGCTATTGAGATCGCGCTGGATAAGGGGTATCAGATTGTTCGTCGACGGGGACCAAGGGAGACCTCACCTGTTGCTAGTATGAGTGGACCGCGTCGTCGTCCGAATGAGGGGGCTGTGAGGAGACGACGAAAGAGTGATTTTGGGTTTGGGAGGAGTACGAGTACGTTGGGATAAGCGACCTTTGCTTACAAGATACCAGGAGTATGGTTGAAATGATGAGATATGACTCGAATATATTCAACAATACGGTTGATTAAACATGATAGCAACAATAATGAATGCTGGTCGAGCCCATCTGGTTATATATATCTCTCTATGCTGCACCATACCGCATTACTTATATACAATCCTGCGAAACAAATCAAATATAACTCTATGTATTGACAACAGAGCAGTCTTGATCGTATATAAAGGCCCAAGTCCAGTGCAAGTATACAAAACAACACAACAAGCAATCGAGTACAGACTGACAACTTGAACATCAAAACAAGTCTAATAAAATGTCCCAAGATAAAACACAACACAACTTCTGAAAATCTAGAATATCCAATTAGGAATCAAACGAAAAAAAATTAAATAACAGAACTAAACAATGGATATATGTTAAAACCAAATCAAACCACAATGCCGCGCCGGTATCAAAAAGCGTATTATAAACCAGATATGTATCTAAATATCCCAAATTACTTTTCCCTCATCTAAAGGTTCGCGTAATTTAATTAGGGGACAGCCGTATGGGGCCTGTTGGATGAAGGATGATCGGAATTAGGTCGCGCAGATGGAGGTCGAAGCGAGTGAGCATGTCCAGAGACCGGTCTGGGAGCAGTGTCTGCCTGGGAGTTAAATTGTAATGGAGGAACTAGATCATTGTCAGTCTCCTTTATTTTCAGAGGGAAATGTAGATGATAACTTACTGCTAAATCCGTACCCATGGGCAGCTCCGTCCCGGTTCTGCGGGTTAATTTCCACCTTGATGGATACGTCCAGACCACCATACATGTCACTGAGACCGATGCCATCAGCGGCCGGGTGCGTGGTACCAACATCCTCCTCACCCCTGTGCAGCGGCGAGTGTCCATCCTTGGGCGTCCGCTTTGGTGCGTAGCCATTCGTAGCTCCCGATGCCTCGGGGCTCGTGGGCAGAGCATCGTTTTCAGTGATACAGGCGAAGTTTCGCGACGGCATTGTCGTCTTGTTCCAGGATGCGCTCTTTTCCACGCCACCGGGCTGCTGGTCGAAGAAGTCCATCATTGTTTCGTCGGTGTGGTCATCGAGATGGTGAAGCTTGTTTCTCTGAGCCAACAGGTTCGCCACTGCTTTAGGGGGCGGCTTGTTGGTTATGGCACTGCTGACGATGTTCACAATGAACCGGTGGTCGTGACCGGTTGGGACACCTAACTTGGGCTTCGAGTAGAACCGACCAATGGCTGCCAGATGAACGTCACCACCCAGGATCGTCACTCGAACCGAATGAGCCTTGGCAAAGTCTTGGAGACGGTTGATGAACATCTTTCGTTCCTTCTTGTGCTGACGAGCCGTGTAGTGATCATCCAAGTCGTCCAACAGATCGACTTGACCGTCGAACTGGTTGAATAGACCGCCCGCGAATCCGAAACGCTTGTTCAATAAACGGATAGGTGCAATAACGGGGGAGCTCAGAATATTCTCCAGCCATGCCAGACGGGGATAGGCAATGGGGACACCCAGGAGAACCACCAGATGCTTGATATCGCCGTTGGCCGCGGCCACCTCCCGCTCGAGACGGTTGAAGATGAGGTCGTAGGTATCTTCATAATTGACCTGGTGACGGGTCCGTTCTGTACGCGCATCCACGCCGATAAACGCGATCCGTCTGCCCAGACGCATGTACAGATTTCGGCTTTTCTCCTCCACGTACGGACCGGGACGCTTACCGACAATCCAGCTGTCATCCTCTGCTTGGTTCTCCAAGACATATGTGTTTTCCAACTGCCGCGGATCTGCGCCTGCGGTGCCGTTGACGGCACTCATGGTTTGGGGAGCATCCGTCGTGTACGTCGACAGCGGCGGAGCGATGTGATGCTGGAACAGGCAGTAGTACTTGAAAGCCACACCACCGATGCCCCGGAAGACGGAGCAGCGCATGAAGTGGTCCGTGTAGGAGCCAAAGCCATCAATGATGTCGTGGTCGTCCCAGATGTTGATCTGAGGGATCATCCCGTTGGCAGTCCTGAAGGGCTCTGTGTTGTACCAGCGGACGTAGTTAGCGTAGTAATAGTCATCACAGCGGGCTCGCATGTCATTGTTGAAATCGTGGGCGCGCCGCTTGTGAGGGTTGCCAATTGAGGTCCACTCATTGAGAGGACCATCCACACGGATCCCATCGTTGTAAAGCTGGTCACCACCACCGATCATGACATGGAACGGTTTGCTTTCATGCACCCGGAGCACTTCTTTCCACAAGGTGGGGCCGACCCAGGCATCCATGTCCGTACCAACTGAGAAGCCGTTGCAGGAGTGAAACATCTGGCGCATAGACTGGTCCAGTGCGGGAACCACAAAGTTCCAGGGCGAGTTGGCCGGTTCCCCCTCGACATACTGCAGACCCGGGATGTCATATTCCCAACGAGCCTCGTAATTTTCAACAGGGATGGCGATTGAGAACCGCCAGAAAGCCTTTCCTGGGTCTTCGTAGAGACGCAGTCCTTCAATCACCATCCCTTGCTGGGTCGGCACGTTTCCCCCGTTGACTTGAGCATTATGGATGTCCCCCACGGGACCCGCTTGGCGCAAGTGAAGCTGCGGCGGCTGAGGCTGACCAGGCTTCGTCACGATCAATACACTACCATGCCAAATCGCAGACGAGGGTTGCATGTGCATGTTCTTGAAGTTGATCAGAGGACCGGAAATCACGTCAACGTGCGGCACGCCATTCTGGATCGGGGCACCTGCGCACGAGGAACACATACATTAGCATCATGGTATGGATAAATTTGACATATCATATCAATCCCACGCATGCGTGTAGTGGTCACTCACCTTGGACCCCTGGATAGGATTCCGCCATGGTCCTGCAATTCTCTGGCTAAGTCGATATATGCGCAAAAATGACAGAGATGGCAGAAGCAATCACAGAGCGAATGCCACCCACTTATTATTTGTCTCCCTCCTGTTCGATCGAGGGGGAGAAATAAATAGTCTCTCGAGGCACGGATTAGTCACCGATCCCCAGGGGTTAGTGACAGTGATGGTCCGCGCGGAAGGGAAATTGCGAGACGCGATAAGGGAACAATGACCAGGGAAAGTGTGTACGGAGTACAATAGAGAGACAGGTGGAAAGGGAGCGACAGAGAGAGAGAGAAAAAGAGGAAAAGAAAGACTGAGGAATGAGAGAACGAGCGAAAGTCAGCAGCAGCGGAAATTAGCAGTAGGGCTGACCAAAACAGGAGAGCCGCTATCTTGGGTTAGCGCTGTGGCTGGTCTTGGCAATGACAGGGCGTGGAGAGGCCATTGGCCAATCGGAGACACTGGAGTAGTAAACCAGCTCCATTTTGAGCTACGTAACGCCACAATACAGCCACTGATTGGACTGAGAGCCGCAGTGGCGCAGCTAGCATGCAATGTGTTACGTATAATAATGCATAAACGTGCATAATGTAATTATGCCAGCACATGACATACACAACCACCTCCTTCCAGAAGGAGTCAAAGAATGCAGAATGCCTCTTACTAGATATTATTTTATGTTTACTAGCACCATCAGAAATAAAAAGAAATATGTACTAACTTCATTGTGCCCTGTTCTCTATACTCCAACACTTGCCATAAAACATCCTAGTTACAGCATCGACCAGCTTTCCAGATTCTGTGTATTTGTGTGAATTCTTTTCTTCTTTTTTTTCAGATTTTCCTTCTGCTTTCTTCCTCTTACCATTTCCTGCAGTTTAGCTCAATCCAGTTGTACTCAATGACAAAAAAAAAAAAAGCGTTCAGACGAGACCAAGCTCGAGCCTCAACCAGGACTCATACAAAAAGAGAAGGGAATGTTCAACGGCGACGCAAAAGCCTGCAAGCTGCCACCAAGGTCCAGGACGAAATTAACAAGACAAATCGCGAAAGATTGAATGAAACAGATTCAAAGAGATGAACGGAAAAAATTGAACGACAGCAAAATAATGACAAAAATGAGCGTGGGAAGATATCGTACCCAGACAAAAAGGGAGATTGCAAGAACCTGGACGGAACACCAGGGGCAAAAGACCAGAGACCAGAGAAGAAACAAAAGGAAAGACAAACGAAGCAAAATTGGACAAAAGAAAGAGAAGAGAGCAGCTAATCAAGGATAGGGCTCGGGAGAAGACGACGAACAGGAGCAGTTGATTCCTCCTCTTCGTTACTGGCCTCATCATGGACCACAAGACTCCAATCGTCATTGTCGAAACCCGGCTGCGGCGCAATAGATAACAAATCCAAAGTGTCTTTCACCACGCAAATTCCCATTTCAGTCAGCAGGGCGCCAAACCGTCCCCGATTCTCCAACGTATCCAAATCCGGCTGTCCCTGGATGAGGTCAAGGACGTTATTCAAAAGGCGCAAGAGAGGCATGTGATTGTACTCGGTGATTTCGAGACCATCATCCTGTACAGGAGCCGAGCGGACAACAACAGGGGAGCCGGGGCTCATTTCGAACTCATCAAAATCCAATTCACCCCAGAGCGGCGTCAACGGGACCTGTAGAGGCTCTTTGAGGAGAGCATCAGCTTGGCTTTTGTCTGCATTATCCAGCATCTCCTGGAACGCTCTCTCCTGCCTCTCTTTATCTTCGTCTTGATCGAAAGGGGCAAACACGTCCTTCAGATGGCGTTCGTTTCTAGCCCGACGCTTCCTAGCATCATTGTCGCGGATTTTCTTGCACGTGTCGAGCCCGGGAGCATGCCATTTCTTTCCACGAAGACTTCCCTCCTCGATCGACTTGTTGTACGTGAAGAGGTCGTTGAGGTACCGGTCGAAGTGAACCTTGTGGGAGAACTTCTCCATGGAAAGACCTTCGCGGACAGCAAACCACGCCCGATACGAAGCACGTTGCAGGGTGAGACGAATCTCTTCCATGATTTCCTCCAATTCGAACTTGAAGATCTCAATACCCTCATCCGTTTCCTCTGGGATAAGGGCTTCCGCAAAATCAACAGCAAACTGACAGAACGAGTACGCAACGACAAGCTCCATACCGGGATCATCGTGTGCCACGTACGAAGTTGTGCAGCGAGGATTGGTGCTCAAAAATTCAAGTCGACGGTATCGTTGTTCCAAGGCCGTTTTCATAACGTCGATCATTTCGACAATCGGGACGCAGTAGATGATGATGCCCTCGGTCCACACACACTCGATGTTACGCAGGTCCTCAGGCACCCAGGCGAAGTGACGAGCGCAGAAAGTTCTCAGGTTCCAATCGTACTCGAGCACGTACGCAGCGCCGTTGAATTGAATGTGGTGTTCGGGGACAGGCAAAGCCGCAAAGAGAACGCTGGGTTCTGGGCCGACAAAGTCAGGGTCGAATGTGTCGTCTTCGAACATCTCATCATAGCAGAGGGAGCGGCATTCAACACCATCACGCAACAGAGTACCATTACGCCGCGCCGTGAGGTCTTTCTTGCCCTCGATCTGAAGTAGGTACAAGTGGTAGTCAACGATGTGCCAAGGGTGGATGACACGAGCAGCGAAGGCTGCTACACTGGAGGAATTATTCAACTCTTGGGCTTTGGGCTTCGATGGCTCCCTGCTCTTGAACAGGTCACTAACCACCTCGCCGTTTGAGTCCTTGTCCTTGTCTTCGACGACCTGTTCGTCCTGAGACTGAGAGAAAGCAGGCTCGTCCTGGTTCCCGTCCAAAGATTCAACCTCCTCGCTCCCAGAGACGAGGAAAGTATCTTCACAGGAGGATGAGCTATCTTCGACAGACTCGGGTTCTTGAGACTCCACGATGGCCTGTCGGTTCCTCTTCATCTTGAAGAGAAGAGCCATGGAGTCGACAGGTCGACGAGAGCGAATCCTCATTCTATGGACGGCATCCTCGCCAGTGATGTGATTGATGTTGTTATTGTGCTGAGAAGTCTCCTGGCTCATAGTGACTTGACGAGCGAGACCGAAGAACTCGGTGGGACGCGTATGGTATGGAACGACAAAAGATAACAAGAAAGGTAGGGTTACGACCAAAGCGAGTTGCTGGAAGCCAAAATTAGAAAACGAAAGGTGGTTGTTGGGGAAAAACCAAAGACTATATGATCAGAAGTCGAGTTATGAGAGCTGGGAGAAGAAAAGAAAAGAATGAGAATTGTGTGCGAGAATAGAGGCGAAGCAGAAAATTGACCAAAAGGGACATCAACAACGCGAGAAGAGCCTCTTTTATAAATCTGGTGGCGCGTTTGGTCTGTGAATGAATGATGGCAACCATATAAGTATGCCTAACCACAGGTGATAATAAGTGAGCCCAAGGGACATTTGCATTGTCTACAACATATAAGAATGAAAAGAACTACAGCCCTATGACATTTCCATTTTATCTGAAACTATCTGATTATTTGAAAACTTTTCAAGAAAATTAAGCTGGTCACAGAGGGTCCGGGCCTGGGTCTCTTTGAAGTCGCATTGCCTATTTGGGACAATGTATGGTCCCGCAATGTAAACAATGCCTGAGGCAGCCTGGATCTTTGTCTTGTTTGTTTCGAAGAATAAAGAGCGAAAAATAGAGAAAGAAAAGAACACAGGAATTCCCTTGAGCATGGTATTTACAATGTGTCTTTGTTTCAACGGCTCTTTGAATATCGCACAGCCCTAATTCGAAGAGAAGGGAGAATCCCATTACCCTCGAGATTCGGCACAATTTTGATTGCCCGATTTCTTTCGTGCTTCTCTATTATTGGATTCTTTGCTTTTTCGAAACAATGCACCGAAGCGCTTTGTTGATTGTTTTATGGTTATACGACGAAAACAATGAGTCGAGACGAGATGAGTCGAAGGCTAGTCGATACTAGACTGGATTCGAAAGATTTGTGTTATAATACAAATGACTGTCCAATTTCCACAGAGAAGGGTATACAATGCTAACAAATATCTAATAAAACAGGACTCGTTGGAACCGTACGTACCCAAACGATAGCCCAAGAAAGTCAAAAACCGATCAATCAGAAGACACAATCTTCTCCCACCACGATCTCTCCTCTCGTCGCTTCTTCTGCTCTGCCTTCCAAGCAAGCGCCCATACCGTACCCGTGAGATAACCGCCTAGATGAGCATAATGGTCGAACTTGGCGGCACGGAAAGGAGTCACCATGCTCACGGCCTCGAAGGCAACGAAGCCAGCCAGGACTAGCCATCCGGGCGCTGAGAAGGTTTCCTGCCACTTGCGGGGAAGGAAGAAAATAGTGAGCTTGTCGCTGGTTGGTTGTCAGTTATTGCCGTATTGTCGTGAAGTTTTTGAGCTTACTTTGAGTGGAGCATGCACCAAGCAGCGACGAGACTTGACATTGCTCCGCTAGCACCAAGAGATGTCGCGGCTAGATCCTTGAGAAGCAGAGTGTGTGCCGCAAGGGACGTAAACGAGCCCAAGGCACCGGCAGCCATATATAGGGCTAGGAAGTTTCCCCGGCCAATATCATCGTGTACTGGAAGCATGTCAGTATTTGTTCGACCACCAAATCCGAATGCTGGATACTCACGTCGTGTTCCAATAAACCACAGGAGACCCATGTTCAACGCAAGGTGCTTCAATTTCTGGTGACTAAAGACACTTCCGATCATACTAGTTGCGCGAGGCCACGCGTTGACGATAATAAAATGCCGGTTGAGCATTCTCCAAGCCGGTGGCACCTTCCACAGGAGATAGACACCCAGATTCAAACCAATAATAGCCATGGCTGTCGCAGCAGCAGGAGGAGTTTCGGGAAACATGCGGTCCTGCTTCAATGGAGGTTCGTAGTTCTGGGCAAAAACGTAGGCAAGGCCGATGATGAGCAATGTTATTGCCAAAGATGGAATGATCCGACGGGCCTGCAGACAGATCAGTAAAGTCCTTCATCGTATGTGCATTGAGAGCGTACATTAGTCATTTGAGATACATCGACGTCGTTATCCATACCACGCAAATGGTGTTTTTGGATCCAGGCCAATAGCGGGCGTTGCTGGGGGTCGGCGCGCGGTCGAGCTATACCATCGGGTTAACAAGGTGCCAGAACCGCACAGAGACGCAAGTATACTCACCCTCCAGAGCTGTGGTGTTATCGATCGTTTGCAGCGCCTTATTCTTTTCCGCCTGCTGTTTCAGAATTTCGAGATCTTGTTGTTCACCCTCAAGCCATGCCTGGCGCTTCTTTTCTTCTTGTTCCAAAATACGCGCCTCATTTCGCTTGCGAAGTTCCAACAAAGCACTCTTTCCAGAGGGATCACCCTTCTCACCCCGTTCAGCGTCGTAAGTTCCACTTTGCGGTTTGTACAATCCCAGTTCTTCCGCACGGCGAATCAACTTCTGTTCCTCCTCCGCTTCTTCCCGCTCAATGCGGGCAAGAATCGCTGCATCCTCGTCGAGCGGGTAGTTTGTGCGGAGAAATTTGAGAGCTGTATCAAGACTGAGCTTGCGGACCGAACGTGTTACGTCTTCCGGGAGATCGAGATCCAGAGTACCGGCCTCACGTCTACCTTGTAGAACGGCAAGAACCCGGTTACCCACTGCGGGCGAGACCTTTGACTTTCCAAAAATCGCTTTGATTTCGTCTGCAGAGAACGGTTCGCGACGGAGCTGCACGCCATGTTCAACCGGAGGGGTAGATTCGGACAACGAGGAACGGGTAGATGAGAACGGTCTAGAAAGAATCGCAACTGGAGAAGGTGGATTCAATCCAACACGGAGAGGACGTCTTGTGGAGAGGGTAAATGGCGCAAGCGATTCGAAAGACCGTCGGCTGGTATAGTTCGAATACCACGATGGGAGCGAAGTGCGGAGATCACGACAGGCGGAGCGGAGCGGAATTGCATTGGACGGGGACATGCTCAGGGACCGGAGCCCTGGGCATGGAACCCGCCATGCGACACAGAATACATTGCTCATATCCTGCAATTATGGGAACGAATCCAGCTGCAACAGACCGGGTGGTGTTGTTGGCGGAGAATAAGCCGATTCGAAAAGCGAGCTCCGAGAAGGATTTCTCCGAAAGTCACGTGGTTGATCTTAAGATGCTGACTTTGGGCTATGAATGCATCCTTACAAAACAAGCGATTTCATGAGATCATTTCTGTCTATACCGGTGTGACCTACGTGCTCTGATTTATTACAACATCAGAGTATAGCACCTCGCTGTACGCATTTGCATTCTTAATATCGTCTATGCACGTGCTGATAACGATAAGGATACAGAAAACAACCCCCACATTCAGACTGTCTTGTACTCTACACCACCATCATCAAGACCCAAGAATATCTCCAAGCAAAATGTCGGACCAGCCGAATCCTATTTTCACCCACTACACCTTCGCAGACGCCATCAAAGAGCTCCCCCTCCCCGCTCTCTTCGCCAAAGCCTCCGAGCTCCAGAACTCCATCGCCCACCTGCACCGCTCCAATGATGAAATGAAAGCATTCGTCGCCGAATCCTGCGACTCGGAAGAGGATAAACGCGATATTGAGGGCTATGTATCAGAGAACGAGGGTGTTCTTGCAAAGTTCACCGAGCGCATTGCGTTGTTGAAGGCGGAAGTGGAGAGGCGGGGTCAGCGATGGATTGAGGTTGCAAATACGAATGGGACGGATACGAATAAGGAAAATGCAGATGCGCAGTCATCAGAAGCTCAGCCGGTGGTTAACGGGACCGTTGGCAGCGAGGCGCATCATGACGACGCAGACCAAGGGACAGGGAATAGAGACGCAGACGCAGGACAAAACGGGATCTACCTGTGATTCTCGGCTCACTTGTCCAATACTTTGGGACTGACTCGCACATATCATCTGCATGGGCATCTAGGGCAAATGGTGCTATGGATCATAAGCGGTTTAAATGGGGGTTATTGAGTCTCAGCCATTAGTCTTGCAGGCTGCCTATTCACTCGCAGTGTTTCGACAAAACTGAATCGCACAACGGACCCGACAAAGTCGAAGTGAGCTCGAAGGGTCCTGGTTCAGTTCAAACTGTCGGATGCTAGAGCTTTACGGCGACTATACATCAGGATTCGGCAAATAACGTTCAAGGGCAAAGGTCAAAAAGTCAAGTCATTTCCACATTACGCTATTCCTAGCAGAAACAAAGAAACAAAAGCAGAGCTTCCATCCAACAACGAATCCTCGCCATAAGAGGTTATGCACTATGTATCTGACTGGGCTGAAGAACACAATCATGCTTAGATGTAGATAACGACGAAAAACATGCAACCCTGACCTCAAAAACTAATTCAAGCGTATATGCAGGGATAAATGGAGACAAGAAAACCAACAACAAAAACAAGGATATCTGCTAATATACCATATGCTCCAATGTCTTGATCCGATGGGCGTACTGTCCACTGCGTTGATCTGCCCATGTCGTTAAAGATGGCTCATGAACAAAAAGCCAAAACTGTACTGCATAGAAATTGAGATAAACAAGTTTCCAACACCAGGTTAGAAGACAATTAATCGCCGTCGAGAAGCGAGTAAAAGAAGGTCTTGAGGCAGCCTTGTCACAAGCATACTTCTAGCTCAGCTAGATGTTTGCTGCGCCCAGTGTCCACCCCCAACTGCCTCTGGCGGAATGCGCTGTTGCTTAATAAACAGGTCGATAAGGGGCTGCATGGGCTCCATCTCCTTGTCGGAAACGAGCTTATAGTACTTGGCGACAGTCACGAAATGAACAAACGCCATATTGAGGATGTCATGTTTGTTGATGTGCCAGAAGGGGTTCAGCCAGTGAGCATGGTAGAGATGGGCGTAGCAACGGAACATTTGTTTCATGATACCCTGACAATCCTTGTAGAAAGTTGGCGGGAAACCACTGGACTTGCCAATCCACTCCTCTGCAGTAGCATTTGCCGGGGGGTTGGACGGGGCAGCACCGGAGGCCTCATTGATGGCAAAGGTATCTGGGGCATTAGCCACCTTGTCGGTTGGGAACATGACGGGGTCATGAATCTTGCTGATGATCCACTTCTCGACACGGTTAATGAACTTGGGAGCCGAGATCTTTGCGGCACGACCGTCCACAAGCCACGTGTAAGTCAGACTAGAGGAAGAAGGGTCCCATTAGTCGGAAATTCAAACTTCAGATTCCATGTCCATTGTATTGTGACTTACCGTCCTGCAGACATGGTTGGGCAGGTGGCCTCATTGCAAATAGGAAGGCCAGTGACTCCATTGACCTCTTGGATTACCTGCAGCATCGCATGAAGCAAACGGTACTGCTCGACAACTGTATAGTGTCAGTCTCTGGCATACATACTCCAACCATACCGCGCCAGGACCGCTTACTCTGATGGGCCAGCCATTCTCCCAGTTCCACATTCTTCGGACAGGCACAGAGAGTCAAGAAGTTACCCCTTACGTTCAGAGGAGCGTACTTCTCCTGAAAGAAGTATTTGGGTGCATCGGGATCGTATGCGGCGGGGCTGTCCATTGGTAGCGGCGAACCGAGAGACGGAGAATTGGGAGCAGGCGAGATTTGGGGAGCTTGAGCGACAGGCAATGGAGCGGGAGACTTGGGAGTCGCGTTGTTGTTGTTGTTGTTGTTGTTGTTGTTGGTGTTATTATTGTTGTTGTTCTTGTTGTTACCTCCTCTGCCAAACCCTTGGCGACTAGAGTTGAGACGAGTCCGAGTTAGCGCCAGTACTTGAAGCGGTGAGAAGCATAATGGAAATTAGGAGCAGATCAAAAGATGCCACAAGAAAAATGTGCGCATAAAAAGTAAAATCAAATAAATAAAGAGGACGTTTCTTTGTGCTGTGTAGCGTTCCTCCGCAGCATGGAGAATCAGGGGACAACCGGGGGAGTTATCAGTCCCTGAATCTCCCCCTTCCCCCCAAATAAAATCACTTACACACTCTGGAAAAAGGTCGCCATTTTGAGCCACGCAATCCTGAGGACCGGCAAGACAATACACTCGAATAAAAAGAATAACCCGCAGGCGATGGACACAGGGGAAGAAGCAACACTGAGGCAATTGGTGTGAATCGCCTCTTTTGGTCTGGCCCGTGGAGTTGATCCCGGAGCTAGTCCTGATTAGGAGCGGGACGGATCATCATGCTGTTCCGAGGCAAGTGAAGCTCCGGCGCGATAAACCAAGTAGAATACTGTAAAAAGGACGGGATTATAACGCCGAAACTGATTCCAACTTACGAAGCCTCGAATAAGGTGAGGTACAAGGATACAGACTGTTGAGCAGTCGATTTGAATAGCCGCGACTCGAGTTCATCAGATAGTTGGAGCGCGTTTTTCACCTTGAACCTGACCGGCCTCGATTCTTCTAATTCTACGCCAGCTCACCGATATTCATACACATAATGTCCTCGTCAGATGAAGAGATAGTGCGTCGTCCGGGACGCTCAGGTCGGGGTCAGAGTCCAGCTGGGAGCGAACACAGCAATACCCCAGCCGCAGACAACATGGACCTAGACCAACCGAATGGTGACGACGACGCAGATCTCTTTGGCTCAGATGGAGATGAAGGAGGACTGGAAGAACTGGCAGAGGATGAGTATGGATATACATATGTTGCTGTGAATACGGCACCGGCTGACCCTGTTCCACTAGTCAACCCCAGCGAAGACTCGACGATGAACAATTGAATTCCGGCGACGACGAGGGCCGTTATGATCGAACGGAAGATCGTATGGATTACGAGGGTCCAGGGGAAGGGGAGTTTGGAGAGACCGTCAACATTATGGACCTGGGCTTAGGTCGAGCGCCAGAGCCAGCGACCACAAATGGAGAGGTATTGCGCACTGATGAATGCAATTGCATGATCTCAATTGTTGATTTGTGTAACTCACAGGTCTACACTATGCCCGTTCCCACCTTCTTATCCTTTGAAACAGAAGAGTTCAACCCCGAGACCTATGTTGCGCCTCCGTACGCTACAGCAGCCACATCACTTTGCTGGCGCCATGACCCGAACGATGACTCTCTCCTCCAATCCAACGCTCGCGTTATCCGATGGGAAGATGGATCAATGACGCTTCAACTCGCTTCAGCCCCCAAGGAACAGTACAGGATATCAACCAAAGCACTTGCACCTCTTGACCGATCTGGCAACTATGACACGAAGTTGGATTCTCACGTCTATTTGGGTGCGGCCGCGGAAACTTCCTCTGTTTTCCGGTTGACTTCGCACTTGACACATGGTCTCACTGTTCTCCCGACAACAATGGAAACGGATGATGCCGTCCAGCGACTTCAAGAATCGCTGGCTGCGGCAACCCGCGGCGGCAAGAAGACCGCAGACGGATCGGCACCGGTCATCGAAGTCAAGGAAGACCCCGAACTGGCCAAGCGACAGGCTGAGCTGGCAGAACGTGAGAAACTGAAGGCAGCTCGCCGGCGCCAGCAACTCGCAGATCGCGAAATGGATCGCGGCCGCCGGGCTGGCGTGCCCCGCACCGGAGGAGCTGGCCTTACCGTGGGCGGATTGGAAGATGACGACGGCCTTCTCACCACACGACCACGCACGAAGGCAACTCGCAAACCGAACCGTCGCGGTGAGATCCACACGGATGATGAGGACTATGGCCGCCGGGGTCGGACCCGCGAGGATGAATATGACGAAGACGACGGGTTCCTCGTCGGTAGTGATGAAGAGCCCGAAATCGGCGACGATGACGATGAGGAAGAAGTGCTGGGCGAGGAAGAGGACGCCGATGCTGAAGCAGATGAAGACACTGCCGCGTCAGAAAGGCCAGCTGCTAAACCCAGACGTGCATCACCGGAGGCACCAGCAGGCGAGGCGTTGTCTCGAAAGAAGAACCGTTACATTGTGGATGATGAGGAGGAAGAATGATCTTCTGAGATTTTTGCCATTTCTTATATCTTTGCTTAATGAATATTGCATCTGATACACAGATATAGAAAATGGGTGAACATAATTTGGTGAAAATGGAATAAAATATGTCGTTTGGCATAATACCTGCTGTATATACCAAATTCAAATGCCACAATAACGCCTCGTGCGCAAAAGTTCGTGACTCGTTATAAAACTGTAACATGCCCGGTTGACCCTAAACGCCCCAGCTTGCCAACATGCCAATATGCCAGATGCAAATGCAATAAGAACGTCGGTTTTGCTTAAAACTCTGTACCATCTGGATACTCATGTGGCCCAAAGTCGAATTTGGATATGACATCTTTGACGCTCTGAATCACGCGAAGGCAAAGATAATCTTTCTCATCACATTGATCGTTGGAGAGGTCACCCTGACCTTCGAAGTTGGCCGACGATTTCTGTGGAGACACCCATATAGGCGCATCTTTCCCTGCATGCCATTTCTGTTGACGCTCTTCGAATTCCGTAACAAGAGAGAGTAAATTCGGCGAATCTGAGCAGCGCACGCGGCCGGCAGGGTCAAGGGGACCCCCAATGATAGCATTTCTGACTGTTTGGCGAAGCCATTTCCTCCAGCTCTCTGCGGAGTTCGGGGACGACTCTGTTAGTGAAGTCACGTAGGCAGGAGGGGCGGCCTGTTTCCCAAGTTCTACAGGGTCGGCTTTCGACACGCGCAACCATCCATCAGCGACAACATTTAGTAAAGTCCCAGTAAGCATGACATTTTGCACGCCAGTGGCATATGTTTTTGGGCATTCCGCGCACCGTATGACATCCCGGGCCGTCTTCGTACCAATAAACAACGAGCATATTGTGTGATGAGAAATCGGGAAAGGTGACAAAGAAGAAAGATGACTGAGACATAAATATAAGTATGATAAGCACGAGCATTGTGGAACGGCACTGGAAGAAGAGGACTGTGTATCGGTCGATCCCGCAGGCTTTGCGAATGATGAAGCCGTTGCCGCAGACACACTGGAGAAATCCGGCCATGGACTCGCTGTAGCGGGGAGCGGCTCCATGATCCCAGTGTTGTGTGTTTGCAAAGATTGACCATAATCATTATCCATAGATAATAGATGTGGGAAGGCATGCGGTACTCGATACGGTGCACAATAGACTTGAGGGAAAAGGCCGTCGGCGAGTGCATTTTCTTCAGGTAAGTGAGCACTACCAAGCTCTGGCCATTGTTCGATTCCCTGTATATCACCAAGTTCTGTGTCTTCGTCGTCTTCACGCATTCGTTTCTTAGGCGGTCGTCCCATCTGTTTCTGTATTGAATAATGGCAGACCAGAGACTGCTTGATGCATCGAGTACAGCCCGTAGACTCTCCGGAGCATTTCAGTTTCCTTTTCCCTATCCCAGTACAGTTCAGCCGTCCATACAAGCAAGTTCAAGGCCTTTCAGAGGCCGCTGGCGACTTACTACACTCATCGCAAGCTGCATGCCGCTTCAGCGACGGGATGGTTTCCGTACTTGTGTCATGATTACTGGACTCCATTGAAGAAAAGATCAATGGATTCCAGTCCAAGCAACTGAGCGACATTCTGAAGGCAATAATTCCTGAAAATTAACATCGAATATCATATGAAACACAGGGAAGAATTGCCTCCAAATGATGAAGCGATAAGATGCGGGTAGAAGGCGGTGTGTCATGTGGGCGGTCAGGACGGGAGCAGAAAGTATCTC